GATAAGACGCTGAAAGGAGCAGCGCTTACATGCTTGAAGAGACGTATAATTATGTTAACCCGGTAGTTTCTCTGGGCCCCTGCGCTTGCCCATCATGGCAGACATTGTGGCTTAATAGGTCAGTAAATGGGAGGTCTCACCGGGGCAGTCAGAGGGATAGCAATCTTTAAAAAATGCTCAAAGATGTCAGCATGGCTTTTAATAGAGAAAATACACAAAGAGAACTGAAATAACAGCAAAAAACATATTAGGGAATAAACAAATTTGAGCAAATTGTTGATTTTTGCTTGAATTGTTATTGTATGCAGCATAAAAAGGGCAATAAATTCCAGTTAGGCGCACATCTTTCTAAAAAAACACAATCAAAGCTGTTTTTATGCAATTCTTGTAAAAGTGCTGTGAACATAATCTACAGAGCAATAGAGCGAAAATTCAGAAGTGCTTACATTTCCACAACTGAGCTAAGCTAAGCCTTTTGCTGAGACGCCCCCTCTGCTGTATAAGGAGAATCCAGCTTTGCGCCTCCTTATAGTGCAAAAACTGCAGAGGCACATACATCCGGTCAAACTTTCAATTACTAATATTCTGGGTGCTAAAAGGCAGTTTCCCTTCAAGGCCACTGTGGTTAATCTTACAGCAAGTGCCAGCTTTAAGGCGATAATCATGCGAACATGTGACACAAGCACAAAAACTTGCCCTAAAGGGAGGCGAAACGGACCTCTGAGGTTTTTTTTTCCAAGAAACCAAATCAGTCCTTTAAAGCGAAGTCGCAACCTTCTGTGTAGTTTCTAGACTTTTGTTTTGATTCGGCTGTATATAGCTCGCAGAATTTCCTCCCATGCTGTGCGGTATTGTGGTCAAACACTACTGGATTACTGCTCATTAGCTGTGCAGAAAAACCCGCTGGGCTGTGATTAATACACGAGACTTAATGGCCATTTCCAGTTTCATCTCCTCTTCACTTTTACAGCAGGGTTATGTGCGATGACAGATGCCCAGAATTAAAGCCTACAGAGCTGAATTAACTTTTCATGCGTTTCCTTCTCACATCCTTGTTGTTACTTTTTGGTCGTTGCTTGCACGGCCTGAGGCTGGCTTCTTCTGGTGTCTTAATTGCAATTTCATCAAGAATTTAAAGCCTGTGTAGCCCTCCCCATTCTTGTCACTGTCACTCCACAACTATAGCCACCGCGGGGTACTTCAAGGGTATTTAAAGCAGCTATTGTGTGTCATAAGATAAGTCAGGAGCAGCTTGGGAAGACTCACTTTCATCATTGTAGGGACTGCCGGACCTCCTTTTCCCCCTCCGAATCCATCCGTCTCTCACTTTCTCTTTCATGGCTTTATCACTCAAAGGCTCAGCAGCTCAGCAGAATATAAATGAATGAGGGCTGGAGGAAGGGGAAACAGAGAGGAGGTCAAAACAAAAACCCATGCACACATCAGCAAGTACATACCCTTTCATCCTGAGCACCGCTCACTTATGTTGAGTAGATATGAACATTTTACATTATAGATTCATCACACACATCTGTGACAAATGGGAGGCTTGGGATGTTGAGTAGTGTGTGTGTGAGTGTGTGTGAGTGTGTTTTTGTGACTGTGAATGTCAAATGCATATTATAGGTTTACCATGATAATCAGTGTATCGCATGACAGGTTTGGTTTATGAGCCTCCAGTTCACCAGTATGACCGTCTTTGTCTTGTTTTTGCAGCCAGAGGTGACCACATCTGAACATGCTGTATGATGTTACACCTGTTGCTATTCATTAAATAGTGAGTATAGTTTAGTTAGCCACAATTTCCGCAAAGAAGGAAGCTAGCTAACTTGAATCTTGTTACGTAGCTTCATGAGTGAACTGCAGGAGCCTCTTAACTTTGAGAATTATCACTCCTTTTACCAATAGAAAAGATGAAAAACAACTATTTGGTAAAAACACTACAACTAGCTGGGCTAACAAGTTTGGTATACTCATACCCGCTCATTATCGATTATAAATACAGCTGTCATGAAACCAGTTTAATCATTTTGCTGTTATTTTAGCCATTTATTTCAATAACGCTACCAGTTCTGTGACCCAGTCATCTTTGGAGCAGATGCTAGCCCATAAATGATTTTCATGCTTTTATTTTGATATTTTTCTCTGCGTTGCGTTTTGGTCGCTTTGTTTTCTGAGTTTGTTTTGAAGTACACTATGTCTAGATCAGTGGTTCTCAACTAGTCTCACCCTGGGACCAACATTTTTCCATGGTCCTTAAGTTACCACCCACTTTTATGAAATTCAAAACAAGCACATTTATTTCTTAAAAAATAAAAAAAATAAAAAAAAACTTTAACGACTCAAATCTTTCACATAAATACACCCATTTTATTGAACAAAGTGCATGTCTGATCACATGAACTGAGGACAACAACGACTAAAGTTGCATTAAGGAAACTTTCAAATATCAAATTGCACAAAATGGAGACCAACAAAACGAAAAATTTGACTTATATGCATCTCTGCATTCAGAGCATATTCAGAAGACGGAGGAGGAGGACCATGCAACAGCCTGGACATTAGTGAATAAATATCAAATTGCACAAAATAAACACCAAAAAAAAAACCATGTAATTTTACTGCATTCAGGCCACATTAATAAGAAACTGAGGAGGACCATGACATAACACGTGCCTTTCAAAATAAGCTATTTTTCAAAATAAAAGACATGTCAAACATCAGACGCACATTAAATATTTTTTACTTTTTTGACCAGCTGTTCGCGACCCATCCAGAACATGCCCGCAACCCACTTTTGGGTCGGGACCCACCAGTTGAGAACCACTGTCCTAGATCATAACTGAACAGAAAGAAAACAGTGAAACATACAGTTAGGAGGTACAAATGTTCAGCTGACCTGGCCCAAAGAGGTACAAGCTTTAACATGGCTTTTGGATTCACAGTAAAGCGTGGAAAGTTTGTTTTTAAAAGTTCCTCTCAAAGGGCTGCTATAGGTGAGTTACTCACAGTCTGCCTCTTCCTTTGAATGAAGTGCCACCCAGCACAGTTTAAATACCACTGAATTCTTATTGTGTGTATAGTGTCAAAATATCAGTAATTTGAATTTTGTACAAACAGTAAATGAAAATTTTACTTCATTTATGCATGATAAAATACAGGTGCATAGACACCCAGACCTTAACTTAGCAAACCACACACGAAACCACCACCTGAAACCACTGTACAAGTATACTTTTAGTTTAGCAGAAAGTTAAAATGTTTAATTTATTAATAACCCAACAGGTATAAGTCCTTTCATTGTTTTTAGATTCACAATCAGTTATTAAATATCAGGTTTAAAGTGCCATCTGAAAGAAATCTAAAAAAAAAGCTGCAACAGCTAGCTTGCTATCATCTGCTGCTTCTTCTTCATCTCCCCTCTGTTTCATGACGTGTGGACCACTACTGTGAACTCATGGTTGTCAGAATGATATCAATATTTTCTTTTTATATAATAAAGATAGTTATTGCCAATCCCAGTATAAACACTCCAGTGGTTTCCTCCCACTGGATTCTGGATTTGAATTTTGAATAATTATACTGTCCTGAAAATTAATAACATAAGATGGTCATGTGGTCATTAGCACTTACAGCCTATAACAGACTTTTGTGTGCACTGCTGAATCAGAGGTGAGTCCTACAATAATAAAGTACATACTTTGTTTAGAACATCTTTACCTCAGTACTTACCTGTTTAAGTACATACCTGGTTAAGTATGTTCTTAACAAAATACACACTTAATTAATTGTATACTTAAGTACATGTTTACTGTAAACAAGTACTTATTTAACAACGTACCTACACTCCTACTAAAGTGAGTGCAAATACATGCATCCAAATACACAGACAGCAGACTGTATTGTTTGATATACTTAAAAAAAAAACTAAAAATACACACACACACGTGCATAGACACTTAAGTACATTTCTACATACATTAAGACATACAAAATATTAATACCCCTGGTACTGTATGTAATATTTATGACAGTGAAGCTTAAAGCTTTTCCTTGCTCACAACTTCACCCACACACATGTCCCTTCCTACAAAACATATGCTTCACACAGACAGCACACACTGCTGGCATTTGTCCTCTCTTACCCTGTTTTTCTTTCAAACACACTCACACACAAACTATGACTCATGAATAAAACCTCAGCGAGGAGAGACAACTCACACACAGCTGCACACACTTACAAATCAAAAGAGGCACACAAGTGTGTGTGTGTGTGGCAGAAACACCATCAAAACCACAAAGTGCTGCTCCTGATTGGGTATTGTTTGTTTTGTTAATGAGCGTGTTTGAAAAAAAAGAGAGCTTATCTGCCGTCTATTGTTGTAAAAACAGAAGTGGAAAAATCTGTGCACGCCGCCGTGGATATGTCTTAATATGAATGACAGCGATCATTGGCAGCCATCTATCAGGCTGGACCATATGTTGCTTTGGGTGGGGAGGGAATGAGGGCTTACTGCAAAGCCTGCCTTATCCTCTGGCATTACAGTCTCTAAGAAAGGATTTATTCTTTAATTCTTGATTAGATAGAATTTGCTCCCCAGTGTGCGAGCGCAGTGATACACTGAGCAGAGATAACCTGCCCCGTTGGGAGAAAAAGTGTGTGCGTATGTGTGTTTTAGTTTGTTTGCTCTCTCTCCTAAACCCAAACGTGCACACATACACACTCTCACATACACACTGACCAACCTTGCCTACCCCCTGGTGTGCCATCCCATTTAGTGCTTGGGCTTTTAACACATTGTGATAGGGCTATTATTAGAAGCAATGGATTATCAATCAGGGATTAATCCTGATTGATGTGTTTGGCCCGACTGAAAAAGGACCACCCTCACTGTCACACTGTTTGTTTTCATCTTTGTGATGAAAAAAAAGCTGCTTCTATCCTTTTTTCTCTCTCTATTCATTAGAGGACATGAAAGAAAAGAGGATTTATCCCCCCCTTTTTGTGATCAAACCACTAGTTCCACCAGCAGCTTCACCCACTACTCAAGACGTGAGGAGACCGCTGAGGAAGACATTCATTTATTTAGTTCCTTCACTCATTTATCTTCCTCCCCCTCGTCTCTCTTTGCCTGACTGGCTGCTGAGCTGACTGCCTGCTTGCTTGCTTGCTTGCTTGCCTGCCTGCCTGCCTGGCTGGATGGTTGGCTCCCTCTCTCACTGGACTCTCTCTGGCACTTCACTCACACACTGCGTGAGCTTCGCTCAGGCTGGGGCTGGAGTGGAGAGAGACAGTCGGGCTTTTGGAAAGTGGGATCGCTTTTGGCTTTCTCTCTCTTTGTCTTTTTTTGTTTGTTTAATGGACTATTAGATGCGAGCAGAGGAAAAAATCTGGCTCTCTCTCCTACAGCACTGACCACTGACCATCCTGACTGTGCTGCATCCATGACTTTACATACCTGGCTGGTGTACGGGCTTGGATTTATCTCGGTTTGGGCACTTTGCTTGACACAGGGTGAGTGGTTGTAAAGTGTACATTCTTATTAAAATGCACCGATAATTCACAGTGCATTGAGACAAATGAAAATGCTGTTGTGTGTATGTGCTTGCGTGTTTGTGCGTGTGGTGTGTGCGCGCATGTGCATGTGTAGATTTGTATGTGTCAGGCGAGACTGTGTGCTTAGACTAAGTGGTCTTACAGGTGCAATAATCAAGTATAACAGACTTTTCAAGGCGCTGTTATAAACAATACCGTGTCCAGTGAAAACAGTCATGAGACGATTTAGAGAAAAAATGTAGAAATGCAGGAAAGCGGTTGTAAATCAATGTTAAAAATTTGCACTGTATTAAAAAAGCTTAGCAGTATATCATAAAAGTAAATATCCGAGAGAATGTTCCAGACTAAAACCAGCAGGACGGATCACATTAAAATAATGCACAACCACACTGAAAGACAAATCCGATAAATATGCTTTTGCTCTGCATATAATTGACCTGGGAGTTCAGAGCTCAGCCCCCAAACGATAGGTAATATCCATATGTGGCACACTAAATTTCCCCACAGAGCAATAATCATTGACCTGACTCGGCTCGGCTGCAACCTTTTTTTTTTTTTGTATTTATTCCACAAGGGACTCAAACCAGGGGGAACTGGGGTGATGTTGTGCACCGAGAAATGATGCTGCTTTGCTTGATTCATATCACTGTGTTTGGTCTGAGTCAGATCACCTCTGATCCCAGCGACAGACCGGAGCGTGAAGTGAGCTCTTGGACCGATTAATGATGCGGCGTTCATAAATAGGACAGCATCCATGAGAGGCGGCAGCTGAGGATACAAATAACTGGACATGGATATTATTGCGATGCGGTGGAAACAGTATCAGATTATTCGATGAGTGTTTTTTTCTTCTGCTTCAAACGAACAGAAAATCATTAAAGGTGCTGGTTATGCAGGATTTATATTAAATTAGCATTAAAATATAGCTATTGTAACATAACACATCATTAGGAAGTAGTATGCTGAGCAATAATATATCAAATAAATCTTAAAGATTCAATCTGGCATTAAAGCAGTTTCTTGTATAACAATGGTGCTTTTAAAGGGACTTTTAGGCATTAATTTGTGTTAAGTCTGCCAACAACATAATGTGCAAAAAGACAAACAACAAAACAAGTTCCCCTTTTTCTACCACCGCCTCTTCTTTATTTTCCAGTTTTCTTTGTCTTCTAACCTTTCTTATAATTACATGCATCATGCATATAACAGTATTCCGGCTCATCTCGCTAATTGGCTCATTGTTTAAGTGCAGATAAGCCTCACTAAACCAATGATTGACAAAATTGGATTTAGGTCACAGTAGACTCTAATACATGCAGAAATAATCTTCATTTCCTATGCAAACTGAGAGCAGATCTGTATAATAAATTGCAATATGCCGTGAAATGCTGAATATCTCTTTCAATATGTCCTCATTATGATGACAAATGCTCACACCGGGCAGAGCGTCAATGTTTCATGAGGGTGGAGTGCAGCGACAACAAGGCAGCAGGGTGAATTGATAAAACAGGTTGTTAGCCAGATGTAAATGACTCGCTTTTTATTTCTGCCACCATTCTCCAGCTCTAATGAAACACTCTAATATTAATGAGAGCTCACGCTGCATGGTGTATCACCAGCGGGGAGAAGATGACACATCCCCTAAAGGCTGGCATGCGTTTGCTGTCCCCTGTGAGGCTTTACATTGATTCCAGCAGATTTCTAAAGTGATTTTTGTAAGAGCATTTGCCCGGGATTAGTTTGCTCCTGAAAGCTCCATCAGAGCTTTTGGTGGGCTATTTAACCAAGCAGACGTAGCGAGAGGCTCGTGTCCGCTTTCTGCCCTCACACTCTGTCCCCAGGTTTGTACAGATAAAGAGGCAGGATTGGTTTCAAAGCCAAAGCTGATCTACTATCTTGTGCGTTGGAAAAGAGAGGGAGGCGGATTTTGGAGGTCGGGCACAGGTGTGTGTGAGTGGTCTGCGTTCACGGACAATCCATTTAAGCTCTGGTGGATTTGTGGTGTTTAGGCTTAGCCTTACTTTCTTCAGAGAGTTAGAGGAAGAGGAAGTGAGACAGAAGAGGAAACTGGAGATCAAAGAGGCCTTTGGTGCATTTCGTTTCTGGAAGGATGAGCTTTAAAATTCCATATGATTCAGCGGGTATAAGCTCCTCTTTCAGCAGCACAGGGACCAAAACTTCTCTGACAAGTGATCATGTTAGCTGTGTCTATCAACTGCAGGTGTCAGGTATAAGAAGGGAAGGTAAACAGACTAATCTAGCTCCCCTCTATTTCTCCCAGTGTGCTGGAGCTTCCAGTACTCACAGGGCGCTGAGTGGTAGACACACACAGCTTCAGATCACAAGCTGAGGCCAACAGGCAGACATCTCAGGATGGTGTAGCTACAACCATAGGGTGAGTCACCTCTCAGCACAAGCTGTAAAAGAAGAGGAGAGGAGAGAAGAGGAGAGGAAAGAAGGAGAGAAGAAGACAAATATCAAACTCTGCTCTTGGTTGTGATGCTCTCTCGGAATACAAGAAACTGCCTTTAGTTAAAAGAAAGAGGATTGCTTTTAAATGAGGTAATTTGCACTGCTTATACGCTGCATAGCTTGAGGAAGAGGAACTACTGTGCTGCAATTTAAGTTTAATTCTGCAGTTGCAACAGGAATAATTAAAACGGTATGAGAGTGAATGCAGATGTGGATTTAAAACCATGGATTCATCAGTCAAACTGCTGTTTTGGAGCAACCAGGATAACTTCAGTATTTACCTACATGGCTGAAAAGGTGGGTCTCATCGTACTGATGTAAACTTGCAGAAAAGGTCAGTTTTAAAATTTGCAGGAAGTCCTGCAGTTTGCCCCCCTTTATAAACAGGATTTTATAAGTAATGTAGCGTACACTCTGATTTTATTTGAAACCTGAAGTAGGCCAAACCATGTCACGGAAAATATTTTGATTCACACTCTGGAAATAGGTCACCAGGAACCAATAAATTAAATATCCCATCTGGAATGAATCAAGAAAAATATTCTTGAGAATGATTGACTACAAATTAGAGGTGATATCACGGTATGTTTTCAGGAGCTAAGGCTTTCAATTCCAGCAAGACTGGAGCAGCAATCACAAATCAAACTTAAATATCATATTACAGAAAATACAGGCTATATGACGAGGGGGGTCCAGACGTTTTGACTTAGGGTGGCCGAACTTTGGCGCTGACTTAAACAAGGGTATGGTAGGCAGCAAACTACAACAAATTTCATTTATTTATTCTTCCAGTCACCTCCAATCATACATATATGACCTGCAACAGACATGAACTTTTTAAAAGATTTGTTAACACCACAGACAAATCTCCTAAAAGTTCCTTCTCAAAGGACTCTGAAAGAAGACGTGTGTCCAAAGTAAAAATTTAACTACTAAAAAATAGAAATGTGTAGATTACTAGCATTCTGTTGTAAAATGGCACAAACCTGGTACTTTTTTCCTACATGAGTCCTAGCTCTAACAGGGCAGGTTGACAATCAGTCAGTATATTCTGAGTTAGGCTGTGGTCGTAGTTCATTCAGGCAATTTAACTGGACTACTCTCTCTGTCACAAATTACATGAATTATGCAAAAATCGAGGGTAGTACATTACGATCGGGTCGTCTCCCAGCTGATGTATCACAACAAAAACACAGAACGCATCAGAAAGAGGCTAACGGGATGTACGTCGAACGATGAAAACACAACCACTGTTTCTTTGTCAAGGTTTTGTTTACTACTTGGCTTCTAGACAATACATTTGTGCTGTTCAATTCTCAGGTGTGCGAACACCGGAACATGAGAACAACTATTAAACAGTTACCTCAGGACTCTTTACAAAAAAAGCAGCCTCAAATCACTCACTTTACGATGTTAACTTTATTTCTTTATTCTTTAAAGCTCCTGTAAGCAGCTTTTAGTTTGCCTCATCTTTGGCGCCACCTGTGGACAAAGCATTTTTTACATTTCTTATCCTTTACATGCCTAATTAGAGTCATCTGGCAGAAAAATCTCACCCTAATGACCTCTGACTGCTACATGCATCATTAATTGTGAATTTTTCTGGAAATGGTAAAGATAGAGCTGTTGCTATAGCTACATGGCTGACACTCGCCCCTTTGCACTGATTTGAGATATGAAGAATTACAGAATAAAAACTGTCAGCCTGTTACTGATGATCTTGTTTACTTATAAAAAGGCATCAGTATGGATTTCAGTTTGTTTCATAAACATCAATAAAATCCTCACAAGAGCTTCAAAACTGTATTTCTTAATAACTCATCCAGTTTGATTAAACTGAGGCTTGGAGTTTTGCATTAATTTGTATTTCTAAACACATACATGATGTGACTGAAAGGTAGACAAGTTGAAGGCAGCTACTAAGATTTGTTTTCAACACTTTCTGATTAACCAAAAGTCAGTTTTAGTGGTCAGCATTTCCAATATGACGACCATCATTATGGGCAATATGATGCCAAATACGTCCTTCCTTTTAGTAGTTTTACAATCTCCGAATTCTACTCTGTTTGTAGGTCAATAAAGTGTAAGTAGATAAATGGGTGTGTTTCTCCTGCAGTCAAGGGGCTGCAGTGCTATGGCTGCAACATCATCCAGGGTCAGAGGTACGTGGACGTGGGCTGCTCAAACCCAGAGGTCATCACCTGCACCCACTCGCACAAAGGCTTCAAACATCGGTTCTGCATCAAGACAGAGAGCAGTGAGTGAAACCTCCTCAAACTAAATCACAAATACACTGAAGTCATGTTAATGTGTCTTCTGCTTCAGGTTGAGTTACTGCGCCTGGTTTGAGTCATATTTGGAGAGTATTTATGCCGCATTAGAAGATTATTAAATTGTGATGAATTCACCCTGGCGTACCACTGGACATTGGCATAATCATTTTTAATCATACTTTCATGTTAATGTTCTTTGTCCACTGATGTGAATATTTTATTTCTCCTTGCACTGAGGGTAGTTACATAACCCTACTTTGGTGTGCTTTGCTGAGTAAATTACAAGTCACTCATTGTTTGATGTGAAGTCGAATAGAGGATGTGGACGTGGCTGCGGTAAACGGTGATGGTCAGATGAGCGGCTCTGCTGATATCCATGCAAGCGTGGACGATGCAGCTGTTCCTTTGCTTGACGTTTAACTCAGCTCAGTCATGTTGAAAACGGCTGATGGGGCACCTTTGCTTAAAGAAGTGACACGCTAAGACACGGACTGACACGAGCCCATCAGACACAGTATGATTGTCAGAATCTTGTGTCGGTGTCTTGGTTGTAATCTGTGGCCAGTCAGACTGTTAATCTGCATGTGACCCTGCCAAACTCAAATCTAACTGATTCTGGTGATTTTCCAGAGGCGTCTTAGGGGTCTAGTGCCCTTTGTCCTTTAAAAACAAGACATCTGTCCTTCACCCAGAGTCAGCACTCTTCATATCATGTTCTAGCTCTTTTAAGCATCATCCATCTGATAAATGAGATGCAAATAATGCACATATACTTGACTATCTTATCTCAAATTAAGAGGGTATCCTGATCTTTTCAGGTTGTCTTTTCTCACCTACAAGATTGTTTCCAAATCCACCTTAAACTGCAAAACAAATCTCTGTGTCCCCTAAAACTAGATGCTGGATTATAATGGAAGAGATGTTGACGAGTGCAGATCACGTACAAGCTGCTAATGAGGATCAGGTTGATTTGAATATAAGGTTGAAGAAACTAGATCTTAAGGTTGCATTCATATAAGATGTTCTCATGCAATGTAATGCTGCTCCCTGATCAAGTTATATCATTTTCATTAACATAAAACTATAAAAACATCACATAGGTGTCTAAATATAGATTTTGCAAAGTAATCTGATGTATTTAATCAACACTTCTCCAATTTCTATTTATCGCATTCAACAGCACATAAAGTACCACATATGAGCGTCTTGGTTTCATATCCTGTGTTGTGCACCTTTAAGCTCTCTAAATGTCTTCCTCATTACACTCTTGCACTTTCTGCTGCTTACATGTGCTTTATTTTCTTGCTGAGCTAAACACCAGCTTGTCACTCTTCCTCTGACTGATTGTCTTCCTTTCTGTCCATCCAGCGGCCCTGGGTATCGTCCTGACCAGCGGTTGTGCCACATCCAGACACTGCCAGCAGCAGGAGCTGCCAGGGGTGCGCATTCACTGCTGTGACTCAGATCTATGTAACAGCGCCCCCTCCTGGCATCCACATACGCTGCACTATTTAAGTGCTTTGATCAGCCTGCTAGTGCTGAGGATGTGGTTGTGATATGGAGGGGAGATGACACCAATGGACTTTGGGAGAAAGAAAAAAACATTTGATATCAGTTACTCTCGCCTCTCTTCTTAGATGCTCATGTTTAGGGCTAAATGAGAGTTTTACTACGTATGGTGTCACCGGTGAGCATCTGGACATCATAGCCTTGTCCTTAAGCTAAACATATTTCATCAAAACGGAGATGAAGTTGCAGAAATCATAGTGATTTTATTGTGCACACTAACTGGCTTATAAAGTTTATATGGTATTACGGGACATTTGTGAAAGAAAGATGTTAACGTCATAAAGTCACTTCATTTAAAACAGTGGTTCTCAAGTCCAGTCCTCGAGGCCCACTGTCCTGCCAACACACCTGATTCAAATGATCAGCTCGTTATCAAGCTCTGTAATGGCTTAATAACGAGCTGATCATTTGAATCAGGTGTGTTGGAGCAGGGGAACATCCAAAACATGCAGGACAGTGGGCCTCGAGGACTGGACTTGAGAACCACTGATTTAAAGTAATGCAGTTACACACTGAGTTTATATAGAAGCTTACACACACTCAAACATATACACCCATTTTATCTGTTAAGAAGTTTATTATCTTTCTTGAGGTCACATCTTCATGTGCAGTCTGTTGTTTTTAAGTCAAAGGCTATTTACTTTGCGAATTTAAAGATATTTTTTTAGTTTGCTATTCAGCTCCTAGGCTAAGCTTGGGAAAGCACACTGCATGTGGTTCTGTGTACAGTGAAAGCATGTAATGTTGTGAATTATTGTATTAAAATGTTTAATATTTTTCAAATTAAAAAAAAAGCTCTGAACCCTCTCCTTCTGTTCGGTAAAAAAACACAATGGATTAACAACAGCACAAAGTTAGAATATTGTGAAATAGCTCATAATTTATACGGTTTCACAAGAATGTACCGAAATTTATAAATTTTAGACCAGCTGATTGACAACAGAGATTAAATATGAATGTGAAATGAATAAAAATGTAATTTCACACTTATTAAAGAAAAAAAGAAACACAATGAGCTGGTACAGTATGATCACAAGAGTCGAGATTGTTGCTTTTAACACTGCAGCAGCCATTGTCTTACACATACTCCATAGAGGGTCATTGTGTTTTCTCAGCTTCATCAGTTAGTTACATGTACTACCACAAATAATAAACCCTTCATGAATAAAACATGATGTTTTTAGGCCTGTACCAGTCTATTAAAGCCTGAATACAACTGTGGGTCACAGAAAAGCACAGCTGCAGCAGAAATTTTATCTCCTGTGGACATAAAACATGCCCAGCCCAGCTCCAATTATTTACTCAACAGTTTATAGCCCTACTTTCCTCATGGTGCTTATTTAAATGTGGCAAATGTGTGATTCTCACTGAATACGCAAATATTGTTTCCCTCAGACCAACATCATCACATTTATATTAAACGTTATGGCCCTCAAGCTGTCACACAAAATGGGGCAAAAACAACTTCAGACAAATGCAGCAATTAAAAAAGCAGAGCTTGAATCAGAGTCAGTGGTGTAGGTGGACACGCTTAATGTTTCAAGAATGTAGAAACCCCAGTTCAGTGAAGTTGGGAAGTTATGTAAAATGTGGATAAAAACAGAATACAATGATTTGCAAATCATTTTTGACCTATATTCAATTGAATACATTACAAAGACAAGATATTTATTGTTCAAACTGATAGACATGATTGTTTTTTTTTTTGTTGTTGTTGTGTTTTGTTTTTGCAAATACAACTTATTTGGAATTTGTAACCTGCAACACACTCCAGAAAAGTTGAGACAAGGTCAACAAAAGACTGGGAAACTCCAAAAACACCTGCTTAGATCATTCTACAAGTGAGCAGGTTAAATACCCCACAGGCTCTCTTGTTCACAAGCGAGGATGGATCCAGGTACTCTACTTTATGAACAACTGTGTGTGCTAATAGTTCAATAGTCTAAGAACAACGTATCTCAACATACAATGGCAAGGAATTCAAAGATTTGATCATCTACAGTCTGTAATATCCAAAGATTCAGAGAATGCAGAGAAATCTTTGCACATTAGCTGAAAACCAACACTGAATTCCCATGACCTTGGACCCTGAGATGTCATCTGAGATGGACTGAACAAAGTGTGCTGTGGTCTACAAGTCCACATTTCAAATATTTGTGCGATAGAATGAAGTTTATAAGTTTGAACATTAAAACCTTGTCTTTATAGTGCATTCAATTGAATATAGGTTGGAAACGATTTCCAAATCATTGTATTCTGTTTTAATTCACATTTCACATATTATCTCAACTTCACCTGTAATGGGGTTTGTACAACTCAAACTTTTCTCAGAAAAAGAACATCAGATTTACTCAGCTTTTGGAGTGTGTCAGCTGACACGTGTTCAAATGAAAGCGTCATCAGCCAACCCATCCAAATTATACAGTTAATGCATTTTAAAGCTCCTGTGGGGATACTTTGATAGAATATAAAACAGAGACAATCTGTGTCTCTACCTTGTGAAGAAGCAAACGAGATCATTGATGACAAGATTGGGAATTTCTGAGGTGTTATTTTTGATGCTTAAAACTACTGTGAGGGGTTAAGTACACTATAAAGGCAGCAAATATTCAGGGTGAGTGATTAAAAAAATACACAAAAGGAGATTTCTTCATCACAAACATTGAGGGAGTTCCAGTTTTCCTCACAGGGGGTAACAAAGTTAACATAGACCTAAAGTTTCTCACAGGAGCTTTAAGTTAAATGCAGGGATGATGCTGTCTTTCCATAGTATTTGTATGGTGTTAATTCAATCAAATTAAGTTGTTGTTTTCAAGGAAAACAACCATTAGCCATCAAAATAAACAACCATTATCTCTTTTGACATACTGCACTCAGACAGGTTATTATGGGCAACTTAATATCTATTACTGAAGATAAAGTGTACGTTTTGTCTTGACAAACAAAGCAAAATATATTACCTTTTTAATATCTTGCATTCCTGACCAGTACTTGTAACTTTTAACTATCAAAGAACTTATCACCTGTCTGAACTTGGTGACAAAGATTTTAGCTTTGAAAAAGTAGAATTTATGCTAAAGCTGTTGAATTAGGTTATATTAAATTGCCCATGTGAGCATAATGATATGGCTGGTCAGTCTACAGCAGCTGAGGTCTTCAAAAGTGAGTTGTAGGGTAGAGTGGGGTAAGATGAGTCATTTTTTATATTTCGGATCACTACATCAAGGCGATGATAGTTTTGTCTCTAACTAGTGTTTCTGCATATATTTAAAGATGTTGTGCGTTCCTTCAAACTAACAGAATGAGTGTAAACCCTAACTGTCTCAATAATATAGCATGCCAAAAAAGTGGACTCCTATGGTCAATTTACCCCGTGTATAGGGTAAGTTGACCATAGGAGTCAGGTAAGTTGAGCCGTATCCCTACTACCCCCCACTCTCCACCCCAGCCCTCCCTCACCTTCTCTCTCCCTAACTAACAGTCACTTTTTCACATTCATGTGTATTTTTATCGATTACACGCTATTCAACTAGTCCAATAATTCCTTTTATGACTATGGCATATAACTGCTAAAAAGCCATTTTAACATGAGAATGTCTTTAAATGATTCAGAACATTCACAGCTGTATTTTTGAAAAGTAAAACATTTCAACGATCTGAACTGAAACTCTGATCCTCTCATCAGACTCCTTTACTTTCTCAGTTGAGCCACTGGTTCAACTTACCCCAGAACTACTATGTTATGACTTTATCAGTCCTCTAAGCTAAAATGGTGGACTTTTATTCGAGGTTTTTGACCTCATGTTGTAGCTCATATATACCACAATTGATGTAAAAAACAAATTTAAAATGATCTTTTTTGGTCTGAACACAATTCTCATAAAACTGATGACAGACTAAATTCACTTTTAAGAGTGAAAAATGTTTTTTGGAAATAAATGTCTAACCCCTTCACCCATGTGCTTCTAACCTTTACAGACTCCATGAATTTTAACACCTGTGCAGGTGAGTTGTTACGGCAGAGAGTTGGTTTTCTTCACAGAAACAGAGCATGTTTTCCACTGTCATGTTGTAAAAAAAATTGTGGAGGCCATGTTCTTCTCTGTCCTGGACTACGGCGATATTATACAGACATGCTGGAGTTTCAACTCTTAAGCCTCTGGACTCAGTTTACCACTCTGCTCTCCGATTCATAACTGGTGATTGGTACAACACTCATCATTGCATCCTCTATGAGAAAGTTGGTTGGCCATCACTTGATCACAGAAGGAATAAACAAACACTGGTTTCTGTATATTTTCAAAGCCCTTACAAACCTGTTAAAGTTTTATGATTGCTCCTACATGACTCGTTCTTCTGGTTCACTAACTCTGAAAGTTCCTCGAGTCTACACTGAACTCGATAAATTGGCATTTTCATTCGATGCCCCTCACTCATGGAATTTCCTCCAACAATCTCTAAAGATGACAGCTTTCCCCTTTCTTACAGAGACTTTAATTACTGACCATTGCTCCTCTGTTTGTAACTGTTTTCATTAATTCCTTTGCTGTTGTGATTGATTGATTGATTGATTGATTGTTTGATTCTGTGGTCATATGAGGTCTGTGATCTCAATGACATTGAAAATGAGGGAAACCTCAATATCCTTTCGAGAATGAAGGTTTGAGTGAATGAATGAATTGATGCCCACCTCCTAAATATTTGGTCACATGATCAATTTCTTTTACCATTTCCAAGCAACATGGGGTGGCTCAACTAACCCTTTGGTTCAACTTTCCCCACTCTCCCCACTCATAACTTTTAACTATTAAAGAACTTATCACCTTGTGCTAAAGCTGTTGAATTAGGTTGTATCAAATTGCACAGGTGAGCATAATGTCATGGCTGTTCCAGTCTACAGCAACTTAGGTCTTCAAAAGTGAGTTGTACAGGTCTAAAAGGTGTGACTGCATCTATTCAACTTTCAACTTAGTGATCATTTTCATCGTCTGATCCAGGTTTAAAGGCTCAGTTTTCATTTTAACACCTGTGCAGGTGACTTTACCTTTCCTGAAGGAGTGCAGATTATTGGTGAACACACCGCAGTCGCCGCATATGATGCTCTTTGTCCCAGAAGCCCATTGTAGAGAGCGGAGGAAACCCTGTGCCGTGAGCAGCCATCTTGGATAGACAGATCATACTTGAGCCAGGATAACCTGCATTCCTCCTCTGAACAGCTCTACAACACAAAGCTCTAAAGGTTTATATCTGGTAAGGAAAGCAGAACAGAGACTACACTCATGGATAATGTCTGATATTAGCAGAAACACTGATGGTTGTGCTGAGAAACAGCTGTAACAGTTAAGTTAGCTAGCCTGGCTGAGCCGGGAGGCAGCTAACCGCTTTAGCTATAGGTGGCTAACACTAGGTCGTTGTTTATCATTAGCGTTCAGGAGTAGAAGAAATAGCACTCTAAACGAGGATAGCGAACAACCTTATGCGACGAACGACTAACCCAGAGATGACTTAACAGGGCTTGACAAGCTAAGTAAGATCCATATCTACCATAATCCAGCCTTTGCAGCTAGCTGGCAAACCAGCAGGCTAACGCTAGCTTCCGTTAGAAAGGTGTACGGTGGCTTTTTAAGATAATGCGGGAGCATCTTTGTTTTTTCCGCCCTAGTTCTAGTTATATGTCTTCACTGTGTATGTTTGCACTAGTAACAGTTAAAACCTACATGTTGGGATTGATAGGTTTTGTTGTCAAGACACAACCAGTGATGTCAGCAAGCTGTTAGCTGGTTAGCTAACGCAAGTCTAGCTGTCAAAACAGGTACCTAAAGGCCGGGTTTGTCAATAAGCCCGATCATGGAGCGATTGCCCAACGCCAGGTGTTATCAGGCGGCGCATTTATTGTTGGTTTCTTGTGCGGTAGTGATACAGTGATGCACACAAGCTCAATCATTTCTTAGCCAACAGTGTGTTAGCTTTTTTCCCGTCCCTGCTGCTCTAAACAAAAGATCTGTGCAGTTGGAATTGCAGCTTACACCCAAAACAGAGCCTATATATATGAAAGATTTGCAAAGATATCCCTGTATTCAACCCCCAAATGCTGCATCGTCCCTGTGTTGTATGCCAAAGTACTACTAGCAGACTTGATCTAAAACTTGATCATTTGCATGTTTATATTTGCTTTAGTGTGTGAAATCAGATAAACAACATTAACACATCTAAACAGGATGTATACACAGCCAGTTTATAGCAAGTGTCTCGACTGTAAACAGTAGTGATGATCTCATGGTGTTGCTTTTAGGGCTGGTAAGGAGTCACATGATTTGATAAGTGAGGTACCATGACTGTGTATGTGTGTGTCATGGTTTCCTGACAGCACAGTGATTTTTTTAGTTTCCGAAAGTGGTGCATCCTCTGCTGTATGGGAAGTGACTCTGAAGAAGAGGAAAAGGCAGTGACAGTGTTTCTTTCTGCGAAGAAAGATTCTGCGTGTTGAGGAGTAACAGAGAAGTGCTGAGGCTGCAGTCTGGTCACATGGTCTTGTCTCGCCTTCTCCTTGATGAAAACCCATGGGGTTTATTTCTACGTAATGAGTTGAAAAACTTGAGAGTGGGCTGGTTTTCACAACCCCTACCCTCACTTATCCTTTCCCTTACTGAAAACTACATAAGGGTCATGTGACAGTAAAGGGCTTTGAAAAAGTCCATTGTATTCGCCAAGAATATAAAGATTTGCAATAGGATGTAATCAGTAAGAAGTTCCATCTTTCATGCTCTTAAATTGAAAATTCAAACGGTTGAGGCCATAGACTTTATATAGAGTGGACAGCATCTGCCTCCTTTCGAGGTGAAGCCGACCCAAGAACAGCACCCTCTGGTGACGGGCTGCAGTATAGGTCATAAATCCCGCCTCTGCCAGCCATCCTTATGGAGTTGTGGACAAATTTTAGAAATTTATTACACCGAACATACCCCCCCCCCCCCCCCCCCCGCTTGTGATATTGACATAAAGTTATTGTAAGACTAGTTTGTGCTCAAGTTTTCTTTTTTCTGTGAAGCTCCGTTCATAAAAGTTATTAGGGGGTTCATGTTTTCTTTGATTGACACCTGATACAGCCTATTGGCGTTCAGGGATTGCGTAGCTCACCCAGGGGATACACTGTTTGAGCTGAGCGTCATCACAGCAACTCTCTGCGACTCTCCCGTCGAATGCGCACAACGCTACTGCGTAGCGCTGGTTCCAGGAAATGAAGAAAAATCCCAGAAATACCGAGAGCTTTTTTGGCTTCAAATCCATATACAGGCGGGAGGCGGAACCAAGTTGTCCATACAGTCTATGGCTTGGACTAGCAAACATCTTTTTTTTTTTTTTTGTTCAAACAAAGCATGTGGTACTGACCAGACAGCATAAGATGATGATCGCACAGATAGTTCCTGCATCGGTAAGGTAGCCAGAGTTATTCTCAAATGTCAGGTCAGGTTGCGGAGACTGTGGGGGACTGAGCCAAGTCTTTTCTGGGGCTACCAACAAAAACAGTCACTGCCTGTCAACATCTCTGTGAGTTGTTTACATTTTTTCAAGGGATAATCATCCATCAGTTTTTCTGTCTATCAAGAAATCATTCTCTTACCCAGAGCCACTGAAATAGTTCTGAGTTATCATGGTTACTCAGTTTTATTGTCTGTTTTTTGTTTCTGTATTCAGGCTGACATCAGGTTTTTAAATTCTCCCCTGAAAGGCTTGTTGGAGGAGTCAGTTTATGTGTCAGCATGTGTCATCATGATGGTACCCGTGGCCCACCATTACCAATGTTCCAATGATGCCTTGACCTAAATTAACCTAAACCAAGTAGCCTTGCATGCCCTCTGGATTCCTTTTCTAACAATTCAGTGTCTCCAGTCCTCCTCAACCGCCCACTCCATTTTCTTCTGCTTCTGAAAAACTCAGCTTCTTTATCTTTTTTTACCCATATCTGTTTTTAAAATCAGTCTCCATGCTTCCTTCTTAGATTCTCATATCACATATCCACATTTTTTTGTGGTTGTGTCAGCATTAATCTGGCTAGTCGTCAAACATGGTCACTGAACTGCAGATGTATAAGCATAATACCAGCAGTGGGCTCTGATGTGTCACTGTGATTTCACTTTCAGAAACTGCTTTAAGTGCAGCCCTGTTTTCAGTGAGCCATAGATCAGAGAAAAACACTGGTGTAAGGCTGAACATCTCTGCCATGGACATATCAGGCTGCTGAATGATTTTGCTCTTAGTAGTTAAGCCTGAATTATTTACTCTTACACTGTAGCAGCACCTCAACGCTGAGTTATGAGGCTGCTCTCTTAAAGATATCCTTGAAGTTAGCAGATGGTACTGAAACATAGATTTAACCGTGAAGTAGTTCATTAGAAGACACACATCTTTCTTCATGTTGTACATGACCTGATCATTTATTTATGCACAAATGGGCAGTTCAAGAAGAGAATCTCCTCTTGGCTTTTCAGCCTGTGGATTTATAGCATATGGAGAGATGGGTTTTTTATTTTGTAGCAGAGGGGATATCATGTGCTCAATCTAAAGGCTTTTCCCAGCCTGCCTCTTCTATGGGTTGTGAGTGGAGTGTTAACAATGATGCATCACTTGGTATCAGTTAGGTGTCAGGGTTATTTTTAGCCGAGCTCCGAGGCCATGATGCTGGTAGTTTTCCTGTGTAAATGTAAAGTGCCACAGCGTTTACCCCCTGACAGTCTGTGTCCACTCACTGCTGTCAAATTTAACCCGAGTCGTTGCACTGCTCTGTCATTATGAGAAGACAGCACCATCTTCACCTCTACTGGTTTAAATGATCCCTCATTTGTCTGAATGCTCACTTTAGATCATGGCTACTACAATTACCTCTGTAAGTTTGTGTGAGCCTTTCCAAATGCAGCCAAATGCGATAATACATTGATCAAATGCATCTCACACTGTAGGTGGACCTCAGTTGTTTTTGTTTTTATCATTTAGACATAAAGTCTCAGTATGTAATAGGGCCTGACCGATTTTCGCCGATATTTTCAGAAATATAATGCGAAGAATAAGATTTGGTTTCACTTCGAAAATGTTCTGCCATTTGAAAAGATCCCCCAACTTATCCTGTAGATGGCGCAGCGACCTCATGACAATCTTCATCCACTAACTACCTCACAGCACAGCAGAGTGACGGATCTGAAGCAGACAGCTCAGGGATGCACAGAGGAGAGTGGTCCACCTCAACAGTAAATAAACCAGTTTGTGAAATACACAATAAGTCAACAAGTTTCAGTTCAACCCACTTTACGATGTTCCCCACTGTGCTGGGGTGTAGTTGAAAACACTTTTTTGGTCCTAGTTTGATCAGTCCGTCTTCCTGTCGGCGTGAAGAGCAGTAGCCTACAGTATATATCTACAGTATATAGTATACTGTAGATATCTACAGTGTATATATATATTTTATAGCTTCATAAAAATTTTACAAAACGGCCGCTTAATCGGTAATTGGATTTTTCACCCCCCTAATAATCTGTATCAGCATCAGCCCCAAAAAATCCATATCAGTCGGGCCCTAGTGTGGTCAAATGTCATGTCATTAAGATAAACAGTTGTTATCATAGATAATGTTGCATTATTGCAGGTGTTTCTCTCTGTATCTCAGTGGCTGCTCATGTTTAAAATTACTGTTATAAATATTATAATCACCCTTAAACAAAAGCTTTTCAGAAGAATATCCATCAGTTTCAATCGATCTTCAATCTCCAATCACAATCCTTATTAATGTAAACAAGGAGCAAATTTAAAGCAAATGATTTATCCAGATTCCACACAATTTACTGCTGTACTTTTTTTTACCCAACGTCAGATAAGGTTCAATCATGTCCTTTCTTATCTTAATCGTCTGTAAGTAAAGCACTTTGCAGCAATTAGGAAGTAACAGTAATGAGTAAAACTTCCTTATAGCTGACCAGACCTCAAGCAGAACCACTTTACTACGTGTACTAAGTGTACTTTATGCAGGAAGAGTAAGGAAGTGATGTGTATCTGATGATATTGCTGCAAGGAAGGCTGTAAGTTTGACTTGTTTTCAGTCTGATGTCAGAAAAATGCATCATATTTACATTACATTTGTTTTTTGTTTTTTGTTGTTGTTGTTGTTGTAACAGTTAAATCTGTGTCGATAGTTTTCACAGTCACTTTAAATAATAAAGAATCAAACTGAAGACAGGAATGAACATTTGTTAAAATCAGTGCAAAAATCGTGTTTTGAACATGCCACGCTGAAAATGGCTTTTTCCTTTCTTTTTAGAATCGGTGCATTTTCATAATTGAGATACTCATGCATATCAACATTGTCTTGCAGTCTGATTCTTTAAGCTTACAAGGGTTCCTTTGAGACAAGACTAAAATCTCAGTATCAGTGCAGACTTTTTTTTTTTTGGCACTGGTAGCTCAGCTGGAAGAGGATGTACCATTACAGAGGCCAGGGTTCAATTCCATGTGGCCCTTCTAATGGATATCATCTCTCTCTCTCTCTCCTTTCTCCTCCTCTCCTTTCCACCTCTGACTGTTCTTATCCCAAATAGGCATAAAAAAATCCATCAAGAGGTTATTTCAATTAATTTCATAGCTGTAAAATCTGTAGCATAAACATATGAGTGTAAATTGATAAAAGTTAATAACATCACGTTGGGTAAAAGTGTTAATGTTTGCTGATGAGTATAGAAAGTTTAAAGATGATCAGTCAGGTCAACACAAGGATGCATTCATGCTCGCTTTCCTTAATTTTTAGCAGTTTGTCACTTTATTTCCAATGTGTCAAAAAACAACAAGACGGTGGCTTTTTTGTTTGCCTACATTTCCTTGTGTAAGCAGAAATATTCAGTGTGTGAGGTAGTGTAGTTACAGCACCTCCTATTTAACCGACTGAATAAAAGGGTTTGTGTTCACTCTCATTTCGATCGCTCGTACAGTCTCAGCTGTTACATCAGAGGGCGTAATTCATCAGACCCATGTATAATTCATGGTATTAATCAAGCCCATAAGCACTGATATTGATGAGCACTACATTTATAAATAGGTGACTCTAAATTACATTGTTTGATTTGGTAATAATTCAAATGGAGTGTTTACTCTGTGTGTTTATTTTGATGTGTTAATTCACTTGCCTACAGAAGTATAATGTTATTACTGTACCTGCGTGCATTGATGGAGGACCTAGCCTCACCCGGCTCACATTATTATGGATCTGTTTGTCCGCTGGGATTATGGCTTTGTACTATGACACGGTTCCTTATGTGATCAATTGAAGTTTAAGCTTGTGCAGCACGTCATGTCTTCTTACTTCAAACAAGACGTGAAAACATTTCTTGAGAGATTTTGTATCTCCTTTAAAATGTAAAGAAAATTGTTCATAACTATGTGAGGCACTTTATTTCTTTTATTATACTTATTTTCAGTCAAGTTTTGATACGGAGAACATTATTATTGTAAAAAGTGCACATTTCCTCCAGTGACAGTTTTAATCCCTAAATTGTCTTTCTTTTTCTCTTTTAGAGCCACAATGGCCACTGCACCGTACAACTACTCCTACATTTTCAAATATATCATTATCGGTAAGTATGCAATGAGTCATGTTGAGTGTTTAGGCACCACTAAGTGCAGTGTCAATGAGTTATATTAGGTATAGCTATACACTAGTACAGATCCTGACTGCCTTGTTATGTCTTCTATCGTCTTTTTCCTTTAATTTGCTAAATTTTAAGACACCTGTTTCTGCGTGTTCTACCGAGAGGTGCTATTATTAAAGCTCCTATAAGGAACTTTCAGTTTGTTTTGATTTTGCCACCCTTTTGTCTCCCTCCCTTAACAGCATTAATTGTTACTCATTATGAACAAATACACCAGAAAAAGACAAAACAAAGCCTTTTCTCTAGCATGCTGCAGCTGTTTCGTCTGACACCTCCCCTCTTGAAGCCTTAAATATTACAAAGCAGTAATAAACAGTCTTGTTGCTGTGGCCTTGTTTGTCTTTGGAGGTCAAACAGAGACATCACTGTTAATTTCAGGCCGTTTCACAACCAGTTAAAAACTCCCCACAGGAGCTTTAAACAAACAATTTCACATGTAAACACAAACATGCTCTTTAAGGAGAATAACAGTAATGTGCCCTTTTACTCTGCGCTACTTATCAATGCCTAACTATGCAAATGCTTGATGAATTTTTAATCCCTTTCCCCTCAGTTGGTATCATGTCCCAATGCTGCTGCTGCTGCTAACATGTTTTTCTTTTAGCGTGAGACCCTCTCCGTTGACATGTTACCGCGTTTGCTTACACATACAATTGCACACAGACTTCTGCATAAACACACAGGCCGACAGCTCGGAGCTATGTACTATCCTCTCCAGTGAAATCTGAAACACCCTGCCTCAAAGCCAACAATCAGCCTGGATATGAGAGGGATACGCGTCTGAGTTTCAAAGAGCACCCAGGAGAGACAGTAGCTCGCCTTTCTCCTCTTCTCTGTCTAGGAAAAATCTCACTTTGTTTTTGCAAAGTTAAGTCTTAAGAAGTTGTAATCCCGCTTGCTGGGAGTTGCGTGCAAGTTTCAAAGCTGCTTGTTTTTGTTTCAGCAGACTGCTTTCTTTTTTTTTTAAATCACTAATGAATTTTTAGTACCTTCTCATAAACCAGCATTCACAAAATATAGTTTATTTTTTCTCCCAAATCATGTATTTATACTAGATTTTAGTTGGATTTTCTCTTGTTTCAAAAAAAGGGAAATAAGGGCTCTGAAGTTACACATGGTTACACAAACAAGCTCAACCTACAAAACAATTGTACCATTAGTGTCAAAGTGGATAAGAAACAGGAACCATCAAAGTCTGTTGGACGTTACACATTATATCTAAGTCGTTCTCTGTGTCCGTCTCACCAATCCACATGAAAAAGGGAGTATCGTCTCCGACAGTCCCTGAGGGGCTGCTACATCATGCATGGGGGTAACTCTGCAAGCTTGAATGGAGATTTGTTGTTAGTTTCTCCCTTGATCGACCTGAGTCTCTCTCTCTCTCTCTCTCTCTCTCTCTCTCTCTTCTTTTTCTCACTCCACAGGGGACATGGGGGTAGGGAAGTCATGTTTGCTTCACCAGTTCACAGAAAAGAAATGTAAGTGCCCGCCCTGATCTTTACTCCTTTTTCACCGACACATGTGTTACAGTGTATGTAAGGTTGCCGGGTTAGACTGGAGAGCCCGAACCGCTCGAGATTTCTTTATGAACCGGCGGAAGTGGAAGGCGGAGAAGCGGAGTGTGAGAGACTCTTCTTCTGTGTGCGAGTCAGCTGCAGCCTCCCATCACCATTCAGCCCCGTCTTGTTTGGCGCTACTATTAACGAGCCAGATGCTGTGTTCGCAATTCACACGCCAGCGTCACATCCTGCATCCACACATGCACACAAACACACACGCAGACACACAAGGGCGATTTTGAAAAGGCTTTCAGTGTCAGTTTCAGACAGATTTGCCCCTCACAGTGTTGATACTTCAGATTTCGACGACCGCTTGTTGATGCACCTGCCGCAGATCCCGTATGAAGATTGGCGGTGCGTGTGTTTGTGAAATCACGTGTTCTCTGTATAAATTCATCTCACATGACTGTGTTTTACAAGCTTAAATTAGAATTTGGTTAATTTACTGGAAGAAGAACGACTTTAATGATTTAATCTAAGAAAATCAGTCATGGCTCTGACTCGGCTGACAAGAAGGAGTGCTGCTGTGCTCAATATCACTGCTGCAGGGAAGAAAATAACAGCTGTGTTTGCTTCTTTATGAGCAACATGTTGTATAAAACTAGAATTAGCAACAGGTTAGTGTAATAGTTTTAATTAATCGCTCAAAAAAAGGTGGCTTCTGCAAATTATAACTGGAACTCCTCAGCAACACATGAGCGTTTTCTCTGACATTTTTGCTACATGTAAGGGCTGAAACATACAGGATCCATATTGAGCGTATCGGCAGCATCGCACAGCAAATAGGCTGTCTTTCTTATCAATGCAGCATCGCATATGGGACGCATATCAGCTATGTCGCAGCAGCACTGCTAAAGATACACAGCAAGTCTATTTTTGCTGCTCTATGTTTCCAATGTGCGTCAATCCACACAGAGGAGATATATCTAGACAGGGAGTTAAGCAGGAAAACCGCTCATGTCATCCGGTATTTCAAAATAAAACACCATATAGGGACTCCCGACTGTGGCTGTGTCTCATTTCAGAGACCGCATCAGGCTGAGCGCGCTGAAGCGTTTTTGAATGGAGATTTGTTGTTAGGACACACTACCCTTTGGAGGACTTCCTGGTTGAGTCGCCAAATGGCCCCGCCCTCAGGCTCTCGTCACGACTGACTTAAAGAAAAGCTGTGGAGCGCAGCATTTTTTTTAAATTGTGCAACCTTGCACAGACACAAAACAACAGATCCATACAAGCACAGATCATTCCCACAAAATTCATCCAATAATTGTTTTGTATGAAGGAGTATGAGGGCCATATTGAGATTTTTTTTTAAAGACTTTGAGATGTAAGTCGTGAATTTACGAGAATAAAGTCATTAATTCATGAGAATAAAGTCGTAACCTGTTATTTCAGAGGAGAGTTGTTAAAATTAGCCTTCTTATTTCTTATGGTTTTGATTGTGGTAGCAGAGCGGATCAGTTTATCATGCTTGGTTTGCAGATTTTAGTGAGTTCAGAGATCATGCGCTCATGCAGCCTGAGCTGACTGTGTTTTTGGATTTCTTGTATTTTCACAGAAAAAAACAGTCACTGAATTATATCCAAATTAGCAGGAAATCGACCGCAGAAAGGAAAGACAACTGTTGTGAGCATGTTGTTTCCAATAAACTGAGACCAACTGATTGGGGCGTCGCTACGCTCCAAATACACATCCTGTAAGCGGTACGCAATGCTGCTCTACGTGGATCGTACCAACATAGATCGTGTATTTTTTCAGCTTAAGTGTCACCAGTGCATGATTGTTGCGGACATGATCCTGACGTCACTTCCTCTCCCCCCAGTCATGGCTGACTGCCCCCACACGATCGGCGTAGAGTTCGGCACACGGATAATCGAGGTGAGCGGCCAGAAGATCAAGCTGCAGATCTGGGACACAGCAGGACAGGAGCGCTTCAGGGCCGTCACCCGCTCCTACTACCGCGGCGCTGCAGGGGCGCTCATGGTCTATGACATCACCAGGTACAGAATACTCAACTGTGTATGTGTGGGAGATCGGTTACTACACAGTCCCAGCTATACACTGTATGTTCTCATGTGATAACCATTGAGTTCATGTTGTAAAAACATTTATGTTAAAAAAAGTAAACGGAAGTTAAAGCATCTGATAAGTGCGCAGGCTCCCCCCCCCGAACAAACAGGAGAAGTTTGACTAAGGGGCTCGGTCAGACCCTTTTACCCAAACTCTTAGACAGTATCAGCTGTAGCAGAGTAAACACAGTCCAGCATGAGGAATTTATGTCCACACCACACCCAGCACCCACACTGAGGACATGAGTGGAGAAACTCATGTGAACAGTCCACTTAAATAATGCTGTGGTCGAGAATCTTCAAGCCTCCAGATTCCCCCTGAAGTTAAGCATCCTGTCATTTTACACCATCCGCATGAAAAGACAGCTGCAGACTCCTTTCTCACCGAGCTGGCATCTTGTTAGGTCTTTGCCCGTCGTCATAGTAACCTCTGTCCCTCTATTGATGTCACGCAGGAGAAGCACGTACAACCACCTCAGCAGCTGGTTGACTGACGCCAGAAACCTCACCAATCCCAACACTGTGAGTACAGACATTACCATCTTCTGATTCTGCGTCTTTAGTGCACGGACACAAAGTGTTTGTTTCACCATGCGGTTTTCCTCCGCCTTTTTCATAAGCCCTCTCCCCAGAGTCTGTTTAATACCACACGGCCATTTCCATCTCTGAAATTGGATTTCCTGGTAAATATGATTAGCTCTAAATCATACCACTCTCATTTACCATGCCGTGTTTCTTCAGGGAAGTGTGCCTCTGCTGTGCACTGCTTTCACTCACTCTGTCATCCTGTGAAGAAAGCTCTCCCTGATGTACAAACATTGTTTTTTAAATAGAGAGATGATGTTTGGCCTTCTTTTAGCTCTGTTTGTCCTTCTGTATTGTTAAATTAACAGTTTTTTTTAATGAATGTGATTTTAATAGTTTTTATAGTGTTATCTCCTTCACTTTGGTACAATTTACAAAGTAGTACTCAGCTGTTTTCTTAGTTGAAGTGACTTGATTCTACCACACAGTGGCAGTGTTGCGGTTTGGTCACGTCTCCTGCCCTGACTTGTGTTGTTTATTTTGAAGCTGCTATTCTAGTTTCTGCCAATCCATTCAGCTTTAAATGATTACAGGAGACACGTGAGAGTTCTTAGAAATCAGCCAAAATGAAAATCTTCTCACCTCAGGGCACGACACTAACTTATTTCACAAGGAGCACGTGTGCTCCAAAGTTGAAAAAGTAAGGAGCACACAAAAAACTTTCGGGGCAGAATGAAAATTGACCAAATAATGTTTGTCTTATTGGTTGACATAAGCACTAGGGCCTGACCGATATGGATTTTTTGAGGCCGATGCCGATACAGATTATAAGGGAGGAAAAATATCTGATTAGCGATTAATTGGCCGATTTTTAAAATTTTTTATGAAGTTTTAAAATTTTGTTAATTTAAGTAATATGTCAACATATTTACTTATTTTTTTAACAAATGGCTGCTTTTGAGCCTTTCAAACACTTCTCAGTGTTTATTTAACAGTATTATTTTAACCTCAGTTATATTCCACGTATTTATCATGAATCAAACTCGGACCAGAAAAGTGTTTTCAACTGGTGGATTAAGATTTTCATGAGGTCGCTGCGCCATCTACAAGATAAGTCGGGGGATCTTTTTAAATGGCAGAACATTTTCTAAGTGAAACCGAATCTTAATCTCTGCATTTTATTTCTGTGAATATCGGGGACAATCGTCGAGTTTTGGCTGATTACCGATTAGTCTTAAACGGGCTAAAATTGGCTGATTTAATCGGCTCGCCAATAAATCGGTCGGGCCCTAATAATTACTATTATTTGAAATCAATTTTATGTCTTTTGGTCACATGACATGGAAGCTATTGAAGAAAATGTTCAAAATTTGCCTTTAAATTTAACATTTTTAGAGGACAAATTAGGGAAATAAAGAGGTTTGTCTTATTGGTTGACAAGTATTTCTTATTTCAAATCAATTTTAGGTCAATTGGTTACATAATATGGAAGCTATTGAAGGAAAACAGCCTTTTCTGAGAAGATCAACTGGTAATTTATTGATGGTCCCTTATTCAACACGCGATGTTGACAACGAGGGTGCCGGGTAGATTTAACGGTGTTGTAGCTGTTGCTATTTCCAGTAATAGAGAGTGAGAAGACACCGGTAGATCCGCAGTGAATGACCGTCAAATATCCAACCGAAAACTAACTTCACCGCGATATTTACATGAAAAAACATTTGTTGCCTCGGCTAACTTTTTATGCGCACATGTGCCCCCAAATACATTTTACAATTCGCACACATCTATTTTTAGTCGCAAATGCGAGTGAAATGGTCGCACTGTCGAGCCCTGTAGTTTCTTTTTTGATTTTCATCATAACTGCAGGGATAGACAGAACTTGCTCTTCACCAGTAAGTTTGAAGCTCTCTTCTATCACACACTGATTCTTTTACAAGTTGCGAAAGATCCTGGAGAACTTCTGAAATTACAACAGGAAAATCAAAGTGTGACAGAAAGACAGGTTTATGCAGGACATGCTGCAGTTTCAAAAGAGTCTCAGTCGAGTCCAAGGAAGCTCAGTCCATTACATCAGTGTATTGCAGCACTAATTACATCACAGTTGCTAGGGGCGTGTGGGGGTGTCAGTTCCTCAGCGCTTCTCTAAATCGATCTGTTGGACGACTCCACTGTGCGTCAGCAGTGTTCCTAGCCCGCCCTTGGTTTTCTGAGCCCTCTGAGGTTCTGGCAGCAGATGTCTCACAGAGAGAGGTATTATGTCTACGAGATGGTCTTACTCTTTCTCTGCCTTTCTGTTTGTTCGTAGGTGATCATTCTCATAGGAAACAAAGCTGACTTAGAGGCCCAGAGAGATGTCACGTATGAGGAAGCAAAGCAGTTTGCCGAGGAGAATGGTGAGCAAGACACGCTGGAAGGACAAAAAACGAGAGTTCACACATTTCACTCAGTTCCTTAGTTGACCATTTAAAGCCTCAGTGTGGAATTTGAAATTGTTATAACACACAGTATGTTTACATGCACAATTAAGTTAAAGGGATATTCTGGCATAAAATTATACAGAGTTAGACACCCCCTTGAGAGATGAATGTTGCCGACCGCTTGCTTCTCTAGTTATACCAACTTTAGTAATGACCGCAGGATAGCAATACAGAGCGATCTGAGGAGCCATAAACAAACCTCAACCAAAACGCCACTCTATAGCCACAAATAATGCACAAAACGGTACCTAACTTCATCAACAGTACATATAGGGTCCCAGCCATAGTACTAGCCACCAAACATCTTTTTAACTTTGCCTGATTTCTTTAGCAAAGAGACTAAACACAACTCACCCACTCTCTTCCAGCAGGCGCTTGTTTGTAGCGAGACCTCAAGCTAGTCCATTACGGACTGCTGTGGGGTGATGCAGCTCAAGGAAGAACATTTATGATCATTTCTTTATGGAAATGCAATCAGACCGAGACACTAAGGCAGAAGAACTACCGTGTCTGCAGGGCAAAATGATTAATATGGTGATTTTTTCCTTAAAGGAAATGATAAAGAAATGATCATAAATGTTCTTCCTTGAGCTGCGTCACCCCGCAGCAGTCCGTAATGGACTGGCCCGAGGTCTAGCTACAAACGAGCGGCTGCTGGAAGAGAGTAGGTGAGTTAATGAAGCTAGGTGCTGTTCTGAGCATTATTTGTGGCTATAGAGTGGCGTTTTGGTTAAGATTTGTTTATGGCTCCTCAGACTGCTGTGTATTGCTATCCTGCGGTCGTTACTAAAGTTGGTATAACTAGAGAAGCAAGCGGTCGGGAACATTCATCTCTCAAGGGGGTGTCTAACTCTGTGTCACGCTGTGTTTGACCCTAAATTAATTCTATGCCAGAATGTCCCTTTAAGTCAGTAAGACAGATAGAGTAAACAGAGAGATTATTTCCAAGTGGGATTTATGAGAGATCTATGTGAGTTTGACTGACTTTGTCCCTGATCAATGTCTTACAGGTCTGTTGTTTCTGGAAGCCAGTGCAAAAACGTGAGTCTGCACAGCTTTACATGAACTCCTCGTACATCCTCAAACTACAACCTGCTAAATTTCTCCCCTTTTTTTTGTTTATGCTCAATCTTCAGAGGTGAAAACGTGGAGGACGCCTTCCTGGAAGCCGCCAAGAAGATCTACCAGAACATCCAAGATGGCAGTCTGGACCTGAACGCCGCCGAGTCAGGGGTCCAGCACAAGCCGTCAGCCCCCCAGGGCGGCCGGCTAACCAGCGAACCACAGCCGCAGAGGGAAGGCTGCGGCTGCTAATGACCAAGCAAAACCCCTTCCATCTTCTCCTCGCCTCTCTCTCACTCTCTCTCTCGCTCGCTGTCTGTCAGCCATCCCACCCTCCATCCATCCATCCATCCATCCCTCCCTCCACTCTCACTGCATCAAGAAGGAAGGGAAGGGAAGGGAGGGTGGACCTGGGCCAGAGTGAGCCGGTCTGTGTGGACTACATCTCTTCCCTCCTGCTTCTCCTCCTCCGACCCCTCTGCCACTCTCACTCCTCCTCCTCCTCGTCTTTAATCTGTGTGTTATCCTCTCTCTAACGCTCCTCTCTCTCCCCCCTCCACCCTTTTGCACCGTTCAGTCTCCACCTCACCCTCAGTCGTAATATCATAGACTTCACCACACGCATCACACGGGTTACTGACACTTGACATAGATGTAATGTTCATACGATAACGATAAAACGAAGACTGTTTTTTTTATGTTTGGTTTTATAGCTCTACATGACATGTAAACACTGCATCCATTCAAGCGGCACTCATCACTTCTGCCTGTTTCTTGGTCTGAATTATAATCTCAAACCCCCGATGCCTCTCCTGCATGGTTTACCAATCCAGCATTTATCGAGACACGCCGCTGCGATGTCTCACATGTAGTAATCTTACTGAGACCGGGGCAGCGAAAAAGCAATGAAGTAGTGTATCATGCTGCTGCACAGCTAGAGGCTCTGAAGTGAAAGAATGTGTCGCTGACAGAGCATTTTCAGCGGGGGTTCGAACCTGCTCGCGGTTTTTAATTCAGTTAAAGGAGAGAGAGGGGAAAGCAGAAAGAAAACCATGAGTTCTCTGTCTCTCCCTCTGCGTTAAGATATCAACAGAAGGAATATTGGGTGTTTTCCAGCTTGTCTGTGTGTGTGTCTGTGTGTTAGGAAGTTGAATGGGAACTTCTTTTGCTTACAAACACTTTTTTTCTTTTCTCTGTTTTGATAGAAAGATCATTCACATTTGTTTCTTTGCACCAGCTCTCCTTCTCTTCACTCATTTGAAAACCCCCCCCCAAACTCTCCATCAGGTCATATCAACAGATTCTGTCTTTTACCAGCATTTTCTTTGTCATTGTTTGTTGCCTTATTCTAATTAATGTTCTTACTCGATCTCTTTTCGCTGCACTTGCTCTTCACTTTGCCGCCAGACTCACCCTGATTCAATAAATTCTTTTAGGGTAATTATCGCAAATACAAGCAGTGGCTGTAAAAGTACTTCAGCAGCATGGTCTAAAGCCCACTAACGACTTTTCAAACGTGGAAAAAAAAATAAAAAACTTGTCAACACTCCTTTATCTCAAGTGCTGCACTGAAGAGCTCAACTGTCGTTCATTTGGGCAGTCCTTCCTCTGCCTTGTATATTTCAACACCAAGCAGCATGCCCCCAACCCCTGAAACAGTGAAATTGTCAAAATCCAAATCTGCTTCTTTTGTTTCCAAGTACAATTTTTCTGTACCATAGAGTGATTCCCTGATCGGACAGCTGTAAATATCGCTTCTTAACTATTGGTGATGACCTCGCTACTTGGGATTTAGAAATTTATTTGCTGGCTCTGCCGAGATCTGTACAGTTGATGTGCTAGTGGGTTGCCTGTAATTCATGCTTGGGAATTCTGTAACATAGTTTCTATTAATAAATGTATGTAAAGGACAGACACCTAGACTCCCCCCACCCCACACCACCCTGTCTGCACACTACTGAACCTGTTGATTGGTTGAGGGGAGAGGAAGCGGATTGATGACGTGCTAACAAGTATTTATGTCTGCAAACTTTCTTTCCTCTCATCTGTGTGGAGTGGAGAATGGGGCACTTTTATGTTTATATTATGTTTTTCTTTTTCCACCCCATTGTCGCTCCTCCGTGTGGGAGGGGCCTGCATCGCTGTCTTAACTTTTTGGGGAGTGGGGATTGGTTTGTTATTGTGGGAAGTCGGTGGGCTGGGTCTTTTCTTTTGTCTCCTGTGTCCCACCTCTTTGCAGTCTGAGTGACCACTTCCTGCTTTTGTCTGTCCACAAGTACAAAAAAAAAGTACATATGTATAAATTTTTAAGGAGCTGTGCTAACATTTAAATGCGTTCTTGAGTGTATATGATTTTAAAATGTTGACATTTTGATTTTAATGACAAAATACTCTAGACAGAAAAAATAAATTATACATAACCTGTTGCTGTGTGTCTGTTTTGTTTCATCTGAAGTTAAAATAAAGAAAAAAAACACTAGACTCAGTCATGTATTTCAAGTAGCACAACTGCTGTGTATTTTATTGCAACAAAAATTGCACCATGGCAAGAGGAAGAAACAAATAGGAAAAAGAAATCTTATTTACAAGGGAAAGTTAAGTTTGTGTACAAAATCGGTGAGGATGCTGAGACAAAAAAAAACAAAACAAACAAAAAAAAGTAGTGGTATGGTTGTAAAGGGGTTGAATTTGATAAAAACGACAAAAAAAAGCCAACACTGACAGTACCGTGTTGAAGTCAAGGCAGCTTGTGGTTGACTTGTGTCCTCAGGCTTCGCAGTCAGACGGGGCACAAAGGGTGAAACAGCACAAACACTGACAGTGTCCAACATTTGCAAACGAGCATTAAGGTACGTGTGATGTTAGAGTGGAATTTTATATGTTTCTTTTAAGTCCCAAGATGGTCAGCTTCTCACTTTATACATCATGTAAGACAGCAAGTGACATCCAAAAAAACATTTCAGTCCAGTGTTTCCCCCAGGATATAGGAACGTTGGTTGTTTATTCCGGGGTAGAAATGCCTCTAAAACAGCATTTAAAAACCCTAGATCAGAGGAGGCCGCTGTGTGGTCGGAGAAACGCTGCGCTAGTCTGTGATCCCTCTTTGCAAGGCTGGGCTGCTACTGATGGCTTTAGTGACTGGCATGTTGAGAAAGTAAAACAAAAACAAAAAAAACACATAGGCCCATTCTTTAGGACAACACGAAATAAGAGTCTGTCAGATCTTGCACCCTGGTCCCCCTCCAGATCAGACTGGAGACAAACATTTTTGGTAAGGCAACCAAAAAAAAAAAAACTCCACACAACTCCTCCTGTAACAATTCAGCCGATAGTGTTTAAGGCACTACAAGAGAGCAGGAATAAAACAAGGAGAAGGCTCATTCTGCCTTATTTGTTTGCTCCCGTTAGGACTTTATGGCACATTGTTGAAAATACTGCAAAAACGCATTCATACGCACCAAACACTTGCACGTTTTCACCACTCGGCACGCAACCAATCACATGATGATGACGTGGATTCTTGTTTGTTATAAACAGACTGACTCATTTCAGATGGAGATGATAATGAGATCAGTTTTAGTGTCTTAAAGGCATCCTGGAGCGAGATGAGGTGAAGTGTTTACTTTGTGGTCATTGTCATCGGCATCAGTGAAAGCTCAAAACGCTGTTACCAGTGATGGGAACGAATATCACAGGCCTTTCTTTTATTAGTGTGGAGGGTAAAGGGGGAAAGCTAAAATACAAAAGAGACGTGACTCCTCCTAAAGTGATTGGTGAAGAGTCATGTTAAGAAAGAGTTGGCCCCGAGCCTCTCGTTCAAAAGGCTAAAAGACACAGTTCGTTCATGGTTAAGGCCTTTGCAAACTCACCCACGACATCCACAGACAGATTCCTTTGATTACATCCGCAATAACCACAGGCTTAAGTGTTTCAGAGTGTCCAGTCATACAAACCTACACTCTGCTCCTGCTCTGCTGCAGGATTTTACCCTCAAATCTCCAACATGAGCTAAGCATGGACCCTGGATCATGTGCATGCTCAGGGAAAAAAGGGTAGAGTAAGATCAATTCTTATCAGTTTCATATCTTGGTGGTTTGAGATTTTACGGCGCTACCTCTGAACAATGTCCCTGATCTCTTTGACAGAGGACAGCAGCTTGCTGAAGTCCTGCTGTGCGTTGGCGCCCCCTGTGGCTGTGGGGCAGATCTGCAGCTCGCGCAGGCTGCTCTCGAGCTTGTTGATGGCCTCTCTGAAGGCGAACTTGTTCCTCATCTGCTGTATGGAGTCGACGTAGCTCATGCAGTACTTGGACAGGTTCTTTCCGGCCTCCAGCACGGCGCTGTGGCTACCCGTCTGCTCTGAGTTGCGGGAGATGGCGGCGCGCAGCAGCTCTGTGCCTTCCAGCACCATTTCCCGAGTCACGGCGGAGTTGGGGGTGCGCTCCGAACCTTGACGGGTCGCTGTCTTGCGGAGGGAGCGTCGGCTGTTCACTAAGGGGATGAAAGCGTTGGGCGAGCTCTGATCGCCAGGAGAGGCGAGGGAAGAGGAGAACCCTCCAAGGCTCTGGCTGGAGAGGGAGCTGGTCACTGAGGAAGAGGAGGAGGAGGTCTTCAACGGTTGAGGTTTGGAAGAGGAGCCCAGGGGCAGCTTCTTGGAGCCCTCGCTAAGCGCCGAGCGAGCTTGGTCGCTGGCTGTGGCTGTGTGGTGGGACTCTGAGGCAGAAGGGAGGCCCTTCGCTTTCATGTCAGAGGTGGTGGATGAGGGGGAAGGGGGATCCTGGGTGGGACTGCGGGAAATCTTGCCTGTTTTGGCATTAGTGGGTGGTGGAGGCGGGGCCGGCTTGGGTTTCTGTATCTTCCCTCTTTCCCTGACGGAGTCCCCAGAGTGCTTGTTTCTGCGGGCTCGGCACTCCTCTCCAGCTGCTCCTAAAGCGGGGAACACATTAGGCTTGAGGAGCTCAGCATGGAGAGCGCTGGTCTTTGAGTTCTCCAGCCCAGGTAACCCCGGTCTCCTCACAACCTTAGGTGTCAACGCTTGGGGGCTGGAACCGGGACTGAGATCTGAGTCTTTACCTAAGAACGAAGCTGAAACATCAGATGATGTGTTCAAGCGTGGTGGAGGGGTCAGAGTGCCCATACGAGGGGCGTTCTCCCCTTTTTGCTCACTGGTTCTCTTACGAGGCAGAGCTGGTTTGCCCCCGAAGGTGCCTGAGTCAAAGTGTCGCTGACCGAGGTCTCGTGGCAGTGTCACAGACTTCCACTCAGTGCTGTCTGAGCCTGTGGGTATACTCAAGGACCAGAGGAACCGCTTAGAGTTGGACATGGATTCCTCCTCGCTGGGTGGGGTTGTGGCCGCTTTCCCTCCAGGGCCGGGCACTGCAGGGGCTCCCTTCTTCCTGGGAAACAAGGGTCCCGGGTAGGTGGGAGCCCCGTTAGTGATCCCCCCTGCTCCATTGTTGTTAATACTCAGGAACTTTGCAGAGTCCAGGCCGTGTGTGACGTCATTGACGGCCGCACCGTTGTTGAAGCTCTCAGTGTCTCGGGGATCTGGTGTGACACCCCTCCTGTCGGTGTGGACATCCATCTCCCTGAAAGAGGAGCTGCGTTTAGGCGGGGCGGGGGCGTTCTTCTTCTTCTTCTTGATCAGGCTGAGGAAGCCGCTGCCTCGGGTCTTGTCTTTGTCTTTGGGGAGCAGGCGGTCATCCTCGTTCAGGTTGCTGTCCAGGAGTGGGCGCTCTTTCCTGGGGAGCATGGGAGATGAAATAGCTGCTTCTGCATCCGCTGGATCTGAGAAAATAAGCCAGGACGAAGAAGAAGAAGAGGATTATTAGTGACAGGGTAATTATTATTTACGGGATAATTATTAATCTGGAATTGAAAAAAGACAAAAAGAACATTGTTCAAGAAAAGTAAATAGGATTTAACAGAAGAAGTATGAGCTGAGAGGTAACTCCAAAAGCCGTAGTTCAGGTTACTGCCAAAAAACTAAGACTACACTCGGTCTCACAGGGTGTTAAAAGCTCAGACTGACTTCACTCAAAAGGAAACTAAAAGGAAATTTGTGATAAAACAGCATCAAGATGGTGACTGCTAATCAAACAAGCTGAAAAAACATCTAGTCTCTGTCTTCCTTTTACAGTTTTCGAATCTGGTACGAGTAAGAGAAACACTTTTATTCAACATACACTGTTACTATCTCACAGTGGTTATCTTGATGGACTATTTTCTAAGAACTAAGGAGGAGTTCAAGTTTGTGTGAGTGATTCACACCTGGACTGTCTCCATCCCGGTTGTCCATGTTTTTGCGGAGGGTTCTGGTTTTTGTGGGCAGCTCTGGAGCCTGCTGGATGGGGCCTAAGGTCACCTTCTTCCCTTTTTTTCCCAGTTCCTTTTCCACCTCTGCAAACACAAAGACAAACAAGATTTAAAAGAGGCCAAGAAAGGGATTTCAAGATCTTAACTGTTTCATGAACGTTACAAATGAACATCATTCCGTGGATGTGACAGAGCACTGGACTGACCATCAGAGATGCTGGACTCTTGGAACATGGTCTCAAAAGCTTGGTGCGTTTCAGCAAAAGAGGGTCGCTCTAAAGGGTTCCATCTCCAACCTGAGAGGAAACAAAAATCAAAGTTAGACCAAACCGAATTTCAGCACCTCTGGCTTTCAGGACGAAAAAGTTTGGGCACTCACAGGCTCTCATGAGCTCATAGACCTTCTCAGGACAGCCCTCGGGTCGGTCCATTCGGTATTCCTTCTCCAGCAGCTCGTACACTTGAGAGAGGTCAATGCCAGGATATGGAGACATGCCATAGGTGGCTATCTCCCACAGAAGCACGCCAAATGCTGGAGATGCAGGTATAAAATCAGACTCACGCCAAGAATCAATTCATGGAGCAAATTAGGAAATACATTTGAGTGTTTTCTGAACGGGTTCAAACTCACCCCAGACGTCAGATTTGATAGAAAACTTGTTGTAGGCCAGACTCTCTGGAGCGGTCCACTTAATGGGGAATTTAGCCCCAGCATGAGCGGTGTAGGTGTCTCCAGTCATTAACCTGCTCAGGCCAAAGTCGGCAACCTTCACCAGGTGGTTCTCCCCAACGAGACAGTTTCGTGCAGCGAGGTCCCTGGATGAGAGGAATTACAACAGGGGGTCATGATGGAATCGAGACTTCTAAAAACCTGAATTTGAAAAAATAATTTCATACAAGGAGCAGAAACAGCATGACAACTGAACAAAAATCCAAACCAACACGAGAGACAAAATGTACAGGAAGAGCGACAAAGCTTCTTTTAATGCACAGGAACTGTTTTGTAAAAACTAAGAGAAAAAAAGAACAAAAGAATCAGTGAAGTGTTGTTTCAACATCAACCCAAGTGTTGGATTTCCACAGATGTTTTGCATAAAGCAGAGCCACAAGCTGCGTCTTGTCAAGTTTGAAAATTAAAAATGAACTCTGGCACATACAAAAGACATAAATCATCTCATCTCTGCTAAAGGACCTTTTTAAACATGCCAGAACAAACAAACTCTGTTACAACATCGACTCGTCTGTCCCTCCTGTGAGAACAGATTATGGAGTTTGAGGGGAGCAGCTCAGGGGAGGGGGAGAAAAGAAAGTATTGAGACATAAAAAATACTTTTTCAGGGTTCCTCTAGCTCTGACTGACACCGCACGACTGAGATCGCTCATTAAAAACCGAGAAGATCTTTGCACCCACCTGTGGATAAAGTTTTTTTTCTCCAGATACTCCATCGCAGAGGAGATCTGCGTGGCCATGTGGAGCAGCACCACCGCGTTGACCTCCTCTCTGTTGCACTCCCTCAGGTAGTCTAGAAGGTTCCCATGGGTCATAAACTCTGTGATTATGTAGAAGGGTGGCTCCCGTGTGCAAACACCTGCAACCAAAACACACAAAGACAACAAAGTGCATCAGTTTTAATTACAGGGTTTATATTTTCATGTATTTTCACTTCTTCAGCCCAGGTTAAATCAGGCAAATTCAAGGTGATGAAACCCAGCACAGAAGAGTCATTTTACATACCTAGAAGTTGTACCAGGTTTGGGTGTTTGATCTCTTTCATTACAGCAGCCTCCTTTAGAAACTCCTCCACCTCCATAGTGTCCTCCTGCACAGAGTAATTATCAAAACAATGAGCTGAAGCCAAGATGCAGTTGCTGGTTTGTAACACCAGATGGTGGCATTATTCAGCATTATATCAAGAGTGAAAGCTGACTCTGTGTAAAACCAATAAAATTTTTCCACTTTATTACAGGGGGATTAAAAAACACCCTTTCCTGATAAAAGGAACACGTGAGAGATGAGTCCGGTCTTCTCACCTTTAGTGTCTTAACAGCCACAGTGAGGTTGTACTTCTTCCAAACCCCCTCATAAACCTCCCCGTACTGGCCCCCTCCCAGTTTGTGCTTCATGGTGATGTCAGTGCGCTCCATCTCCCACTTATCGTAGTTGGGAGAAACTCCATAGATGGTCGGCTTGTTCCGTTTTGGCGCCGGGTAGTGTAACGTGGTGATGAGGCCGTCGGCCACTGTGGAATGGTGGTGCACCAGCTCCGCCAGCGTGTTGAAACGGCTTTCTGACGAGACGTAGAGCTGCGGGAAAAGAGAGATTAGACCTTTGAGGAGGTGTGTATGTATCACTTAAAATAATCACGGCATGTCAGGAGTCATGAAGAATTTCACATCCTGTGTGTAAGATCACTCAGAGGCCTGATGAAACAATGAAACTGAGCTGAAAAAGAGAACAGTTGAAATACCTTTTTTTATTGTTATTTGTGCATTTTGTTTAATCCTAAAACATCTTGTTCACAAAAAGAGGCAGCTTTTATTTCAGCTATTTTAAAACCATCATTTTCACCTAGTTTGTGACTTTAAAGCAGCCTAAGAAGTTATTTTTAAAAAGCTTTTTTTAATTCGAAAGAAGGTTAAATTAAGAGTTTTTTGTTGTAAATTTCCACCGTTGAGTATGCACTGCTCAAAAATAGTGTAATGGAGGCCTGAATGACTTTTCAAATGCTCACAAAGTAACAGCTAACAGAAATGAAACCAGTTATCTGCTCTCTTTGTCCCATCGGAATCAGTATCAGCCCAGGTTTTCTCAAACACTGCATCCCTGCCAAGTGTCACCTGGTAGTCTCAGGTAAAAAGAGATAATGTCAGGAGAAAAATGTATATTTCGAATAGTGTTGGTGGCAGCTAAAATGGCCATCACTAGAAATGGGCTAAATGGGGGGGGGGTCCGATTACCGATTAATCGGCAGATTTTTCAAATTTTCTATGAAGTTATAAAAAATATTTATACTATAGATATACAGACTAGTCTATACAGTATACTAAATACTGTAAATATACTGTAGGCTACTGCTCTTCACGTCGACAGGAAAACCGACTGCTCAAACCCGGACCAGAAAAGCGTTTTCAACTACCCCCACCCCCCGCCACCGATCGGTGCCTCGCGTTACTCATTTCCGGTCCGGTCTCATTTGGAAACATGCAGCTGCCTCAGTAAGAGAAGTAGCTCGATCACATAATGTGTACTGATGTTTATTCTACCGTTACTGGCACGGCTAACAGTGTAGCAAGGCTAATAGCAGGTGGCTAACTCTAACTTTAGCTTATATATTACATTGTGATTCACCGATTACTCGGCGGGACCGAGACCAGCACAGCAGGAAACATCGTGAAGTGGATTGAACTGAAACTTGTTGACTTATTGTGTATTTCACAAACTGGTTTATTTACCGTTGAGGCGGACCACTCTCCTCCGTGCGTCCCTGAGCTGCCTGCTGCAGATCACTCTGCTGTGCTGTGAGGTAGTTAGTGGATGGAGATTGTCATGAGGTCACTGCGCCATCTACAGGATAAGTCGGGGAACTTTTTAAATGGCGGAACATTTTCGAAGTGAAACCGAATCTTAGTCTCCGCATTTTATTTCTGAAAATTTCAGCGAAAATTGGCGAGTTTTGGACGATTACCGATTAGTCTCAAACGGGCTAAAATTGGCTGATTGAATCGGTTCGCTGATAAAGCGGTCCGGCCCTTGTTGATATCCTTGGTTCAGGCTACAAACTTGTTCATTGTTTATATGTTTATTACACTGTTGGAAATTTGTTCAATACATGTAAAATTTTGATAGATTATTGATATGTGAAATCAATGAAAAATAAAATGAAATAATATAATATATATAAATAAAAAATAAACTGTAGTGTTAAAATATACAAACTTTTAAGTTACAGAAGAGGAATAACAGTTATTCCACATTAAATAATATACTAAATCCCAATAAAACAATAATACAATATTTCCTCCATAAAGACCGGTCTCAGCCCATTCCTAACTTTACAGGGCATTAGTCAGGAAACTAGCGGACGGAAGGATATTGGTCAGGGCTCAGTGGACACAGTCTTTTCCATTGTCCAAGTCTTACATAACCCAGAAATGATTTGCTCTACAATGTGGGCTGTGCATACTTCATGACTTGTGAACAGGCTCTTTGAGCGAGCTGAGGGCACGTGGAAGGGGAAAAGGGGAGAAAGAACAAACTTGACTGCAGTGAAAGACCTTTGAAATCTAAAGAGGATTTAATGGTCAGTTGGCTGCTCTCTTGGCTAAAACTTTGACCAGTTCCTAAATCTTTGTGGGAAAACACATTTGAACTAGAGAAAGACCTCAGTTATTCGGAGCACGGTTAATCACAAGAGGTCAGCTCTGCAGCTCAGAGCGCTGAGGTAATCTCAACTCGCTCGCTGGAGGAGTCGATCATACCAGACCCTTGAGTTCTGGCTCAGTGGGAGGATGGAAAACAATATGAGATGGGGAACCGTGTGTGTGTGTGAGAGAGGGATCGTTCATTTGTGTCGTGTGTGTGTGTGTGTATGTGTGCATACTTGGCTGCATCTGTCTGTGCTAATGCATGTCTTAGCATGGGCGTCAGTGTCTGGCCTGCCTCGTGTCTGCTGGCCATTATGAGCAGCACAGTGGTGGTTTAAGGCATTCTTGTCATAGCTAGCGTTCCTCATGCTAGCTCACCTCACTGCATCACAGACCGGGGGAGGGGAGGGGAGGGTGACGGGTCAAAATGGCAGCGGCTCCTTAACTGACATGGCAGTTTTGGGGGATTCCCAGTCGATAAAGTCAGCTGTACCTTACTAATGAAATAGTAATTCGACCATGAAGATGAATGATTCCTCACACCACAGCTGCAAGTGCTCCCGGATCCGACTTCTTCATATTTAAGACCACTGCTAGCATTTATTTTAAAGTATTTGTGAGCATTTGTTACCTCTCTAAGGTTGTAAAAAACCTCAGTAACAGAAACAACTTAAAGGGATATTCCCGCGTAAAATTAAGTTAGGGTCGAGACATAAATGTTGCTGACCGCTTGCTTCTCTAGTTATACCAACTTAAGTAACGACCGCAGGATATTCATTCATCTCTCGACAGGGTGTCTAACTAAGTGTTATGGTGTGTTTGATCCTAACTTAATTTTACGCCCGAATATCCCTTTGATCGACTGGATTTTAAATGTCTTGTGCGTGTTTGTTGACGCCCACCTTGCTGTCAGACGCAGTGTTAATCCTGTAGTGATAGACTCTCCCCTCGTACCGCAGGGAGATGGACCTCTGGCCGGGGCTGCTCTCGCTCTCTCGGACCAGAAAGCTCCCGTTGATGCCCGAGCTGAGCAGGTACTCTGCGGCGTTGCGTGACACGGGCCCATGGTACCAACTGTGCTTCTCCAAACTGTTGACAGGGGTGATGTAGTTGGACGGCACCCAGCCCTGGCCGTTCTTCGTCTGTGCCTCGCACCACTCTCCGTTGTGGTTGTAGCCCAGCACACGCAGCTTCTCCCCTAGCCGAGAAAAGACAGAAATTCTTATCAAGTATCTCCTGGCTTCTTACTCTTGTGAAGAACTTCTACTCTGACTTGTTTTTCTGAAGACTTTGTTGATGCTGTCGTAACACTATGGCTGGCGTGGGCTTGGTTTTTCAGAAATGCAGGAATTCACTGTATCTAATGTGTTGTTTCCTTAGATCACAGCTCTTTTCCACATCATGTGCTAAGCTGGACTCAATGCATGTTTTTTCTCTTCTTCAGTTTCAACAAAACAAGTGAAAAATGACTATAAATAATTTATTAATATCCCTTAAATCCTCCTGATTTCTTTGCTAAACTCCAATTTAAAAATTATGTCATACAGCGACATGTCTCATATTAAATCTGGAAACTTAAGTCAAACGGGACATTTTCTTGTTTATTCCGGCACATATGTTCCCTCCTTCCTTCCTCTGTTTGTGTGATATGTTCACGGTATTGTTTCACGGTCAGTGCAGAGGAAAACAAAAATGTGAGACTGTTGTCAGGAAGTGAGAGTCAGACAGGGATGTAGGCGAAGAGGTAACGAGACAGGAAGCAAACAAGCACTTTTACAATATGATGCAAAACCTCACAGAGACTCAGGTTCACCTGGATGCATAACAAAAAAACACAGAGGGCATTTTCACCTTTAGTAATGCTGAGTGTGTTGTCACCGCTCGCGACAAAATCATAGAGTGCGACGAACAGGTTGGGGTCATTCTCGCTGGGTCCGGCCAACAGGTTCTCTTTGGAGTTCCAGCGGGCCGCTTCAGTCAGACCCTGACTCTCAAAGTCTGGTCTCTGGAGAGCTTCTGAAACAACAAAAGGGAACAAACACATCAGAATATAAATAGTTAACAGGGATGTGAGAGGGGAACATCAAACAATGCATTTCAGAGGAATCTGTAGGTGTGTGGAGTATGCACTGTGCAGCAGATTTCCCATTTAACTTAACACATGAAGAATCCTAAAGCAACATTGTCCACTGTTGTCTCCCCATGAAGCATTTCTCCAACAAGCAGGTCATCAGCTGTGATCCCCGATGTTGGATTAGAGCCCTAAACCTGATCATGTGACCTGCTGTCTGTATAACTTTTCATTTCCTGGATTATCTCTTCATTTTCCCAAATACCTAGACAACTGCCACATGTCAGACTGTGAGAATGTGTCCCGGCACGAAGCTCAGAGAGAGGATGTGCTCCCTCTAACAGGTAATAAGAGTTCAAAGTGCTGAAATTTATAGTTCTCTTAATTACAGACAGCTCGGATTATAGCAATTTTAAAGCAGTAAAACTGATGACTGCATTTTTAAAAAGTGCGAAATCTCAATACTGAGAATAAATGAAGGGAGAGAAGAGGAGTTAAATGAGGGGAGGGCTTTTTTAACTGCAGTTTGGCCTAAACATGAGCCTGGCTGTGTGGCTTGCTCAGCTGTTGTCACACATGTTTCAGAGGCATCTTGCATTTCAACCCCCCCAAAGCCCACAGACACCCACATCCTTCCAGCAGAAACAACAGTCTGAAGCAGCACTGGACTCTTACCTTTCCCTGACAGCTTTAAGATATGAGGGTGCTTTAAAGGATGACACTAAAATACTTGAAACCCACCAAATCTCCAGACTGATTACAAATAAAAGCATGCTAGGGTGGCTAACAAGAAGAAACTGATAACATCAGTTAAACAGGCCAAACATTTAATAGGAAAATCGCTTGAAGCTGCCACATTCCTTTCATGTCTTAGTTTTGATAAATTACAGCAATTTGTAAGTTTAATTTTTAGGTAATGAGGCCCAATTTCATCTTATTGAAGAGAGTTCGAACATTTGAACAAGGCCAAACAGACAGAGGAATAACAGAATGAGACATCTGGTGACTACAGAGTCTGAGGATTTGGCAACACAGGCAAGAAATACTGATTTCTAATATGTTGTTTTAGTGATTTTACAATTATGCCCTTCGACAGCTGCAAAACTATTCACAACGCTCACAGACGCTTTACACACTGTCTACATTTTCCAAAGGCAAGAAAAATCATCAAATCATGATTAACACGTTAATGAAAAGTGTTGATATTTTCTAACTTGATTTGGAAAATCTGTTGGACTTTTATTTTGTAAAATCATCATGAACTTTTTCTTTCACAGATAATGTTTTAGAGATGTAAAATTTTCATCATTTGCTGGAAAAACCTGGAGCGAGTTCAAGCTCTCCAGCTGCACAATGTAGCAAATCACAAATTACTCACCACATTTGTTGCATAAGTGGATGTTAGCTCGAAAAATTCCACATATCTACAGTGAGTTTCTGCAGAGAATGAGCGGTGAGATCATCTAATCTTTTGCAGACTTTTAGCCTGATGACAGACTGCTAAGGTCTGTCTGGTCTGAAGGAGACTGAGGTGGGAAAATCAGCCAAAAACCATCCAGATTTTTGTGTGTTTCATACAGTGACTTTGATTTATTCACATTGTAAGAAAAATTGACTTGACCTGAGGGAGAGAACACGTTGCACTGAGTGATCACAACACAATCAGGGCTGATTTTTTATCAGGACAGAGCTGCGAGCAACCACAGATTCAGTGAATAAAAGGTGAGACGAGGTAAGTCCAGATGAGGCTTTTAAAAGTGAGATGAAAACGGGTTAAAGAAATTACAAGTGGGAACAATTGAAGAGTCCCAAAGAGACTTCAACTAGCTGCTAATAGAAACACATGAGGGGCATTTAAACTGATCTTCTGAATCCATGTTTAGTTAGCGCTTTCTTGACCAACCACAACATTATAAAATCAATTTCTCCCTAGATTTCAGGACATTCAGCTCTAAATGTGCTTCACTGGGATTTCTGGACCTGTTTGAGGTCTCCAACAATAAGAACTTAAGCTGGACAGTGATCTCTACTTGTTCTGTGGGTTGAGAAACCTTTGTGTCTATCTATCTTTGAATAACTGAAGGAGTATTTGCGCAACTTATCGCTAATTTGCTCAATTTGTTCTCAGAGCTCATGAGGAGCTGAAGAAGTAGGGCTGGGCAATAAACTGAAAACTTAATGAAACCGAAACTTACGACAGTAACCAACGTCATTCTGCCCATGTTAATATATTCCGTGTCAAAAGTTGTAGCTGCTGGAGCGGCGCCTGAAGTAGACAAAGTTAATGTGGGAGGGGGTGAGCAGCTTGTGGAGTAGTTATCGTCCATTTATCATTATTGAAGTGAACTGCTCAATAAATCGTGGTATTGATTTGAGGCCATATTGCCCAGCCCTATAATACTGCAGATATTTCCATAAATCTGTGTGTCTGCCTTTCATTTGTCAGTTATTAGTGTGTAAGACAAATATCTCTTTAAATATGTTATAATGGACACTCAGCTTTTAAGACACTTGTGGATTTCATCTGAGAATCAGAGGAGGAGGCCGTAAAATTAAAATGTTAGCAGTGACCATAAACCAATGGCACCCCACCTCCTGTCATATGGATTCCAGCTTTACTTCTAAGGCTGAGGTTGGAGGGTTACCCTTAATAAGAAATTCTGCAGCTGCAGTATTAAAAGTCAGTCTAGCAAAGTCTCAAATGAAAACCAACAAACACCAAGATTGTGCTGATATTTAAGCTGATCAAAGCTTGGTTTGGTTTCGAGTGTTTTTGACTATTCATTTTTCTTCTGTGGTTTAGAGCTGAAGATTGTGGGGACTGATATCAAACTGAAGAGTAAGAGTATTATCCTAATTGTAGAGCTACTAAAGAGGCTCTAAAGTCCAGACAAACAGCCTGATTTAGATGTTTGGAGTGCAACCCCAAAATGTTTTTGTGACCACCAAACATGGCAGAGCTCTGTAGCCATGGTTTCAGAAAATATGTCTCGCTAGTTCCTAGAAAGCAGCGAGTAAATACACGTATACCATAAAAACAGTACCAACCCAAGGAAGTAAACACAGCGAATGGTGCCAGCAGCCAAGCAGCCAATCACATGACTTTGTTGACAAGTCTCAGGAATCTGTGTATTGAGAGGCTGGTGAGAGACTTTCACACAGCCTCTGATGCCAAGTTTGGCCCGAGAGCCTAAGCACACTGAGAAAATCAAAACCAAATGTGGTGGTAACAAACCTGCCATTTTCCCAGTGAGAACACAACAGATTCAGTTTCATCTGGAGCACGACTGTTTGGCTTACCATGTCAAAAGAGACAGACCTAGTGAGTTTTGGAGCAATAATCTGGGGTACTTCCCTTGGCTGGAAGAGATATGGGTATCTCTGCACCTCATGTCACACAGGGACAGAGATTCTCCACATTCATATGGTTAAGAAACCATGAAAAATGTCTCTACCATAACCCTGCAGTGTGGAGTGATGTAGAAACTACTGTTCCTGACGAGGTCTGGTCATTGTCTTGTATTCATTTAGCATTTTATCAAAACTTTGTACATTAAAGAAGGGGAGACAAAAGGCAGAAACTGTTGTCATTGTTAATATTCAAGAAAGTCGTAAGAGAGAATCAAGAAAGAAGAGTTATGGTTGTGCTTTTTGTCAGATTTGGGTTGAAACTGTGGCAGAAGACGAGGACCAGAGTGTGATTCAGACCTCAGATCAAGTTAGGCATGCCATATGTCCAGAAAGAGTCAGGCCTGGTCATAAAGTACGTGGGCTGTGCATTTGACCAGCTCGTGCCACACATGTCCACTTTACGGGCCACAAATACCACAGCTCTTTGTGAGAGGGTGACGGCACACTGACACATGGACGGTGACAACACCCGCTCAAAGAGCGAGGAGGAAGAGAAGGATGTAAAGAATGTGAAAAAGGGAAACCGAGGTGAGCGAGTGAGAAAATCAGAGAAAATGGTGGAAATTCACTGCATGCCTTACACTTGAAATGATTAAATGTGTGTGAAGCAGTCATGGCTATGACCGCACTGCTGCGAGTAAAAGGATTGCAACATAAGTCACAAAGTGACGCAGAAGTGACGCTCGATGGGAAAGAGACTAAAAACATCCAATTTCACCTCATCTTCCCCAGAGGATGAATCCAGCCAACATTAGTGATCCTTTGTCTATCAGTTTTATCAGTTTTTGGTTGTCCTTAGTAAGAAAACTGACTTCAAATTTGGCTTTATTGTAAGTTTTTTAGATCAGGAACTTTCCAATTATGGTAAATCCCCAGAGGATAAACCCTGGGGGACGATAGGTTCCTCCTGCCTTTTTTATAGTTCCAATGGTTAGCTGTCTTTTGGGAGTTTTCAGGGAAAATCTGAACAGATTAACCGTCAACATGATGAAATCACAGAGAGATTGAAAATGTTTAGTGTCTGTCTTTCTAAATAAGCTGATTTACACCTTGGGTTGAAGGATAAAAAACACCCAACAGTAGCCACCAGGGTCCAAAAACCCTCAGTCTATATTACAGAGTAGTCCACTTCAAAGTTGTTGGCCAAGGTCCCCGGCCCTCATACTTCTGAGAAATCCCTAGCATGTTTATTTCTCATGCACCACCTGAGCGGGAAGCGATTCATGCCATGCTTTTGCTGTGTAGTGTAAAGGGTTGCTCTAGAACCAATTAGAAGAGAGCAGGAGATGTCAGGTGATGTAAAGCAGCTACAAACTCCAACTCCTGTGTCCTCTCTTTGGTCCTGGGGTGTCTGATGATATCCTAAGAGAAACAGAGTTATCTCCAGCTCTGACAAAGCAGTTCAGGTCAGTAAGTTTTACTTGCAGTGGAACATCTTCGCAGGATTTTTGCTGTGCCTTGGACCATATGTGCTGGAAATTTGAGACTCTTTATCACTGTCATCCCCTTCAGTGGGGAGCGTACCAGGACCATTAAGTCTATTAAATCACTTGGTTATGCAATCTTTGGCACACATACAGCCTGACTGCCTTTTCCATTGCCAATCAATTACTGTTGTTGATCATGACTGCTGGATTTCTTCAAATTCACCTTTGTGTCCCATCAAACATCAGAGGCAAATCAATCATCTATTCTCGGTGTGGCATTAACATCTGTCTAACTGGAGGGAATGGAAAAGAAGAAATCTGCAGACTCTAAAAAAAAGTCCGATCATAGTTTTCTGAGAGTTTATCATGGAAAGAAATCAGCTAAAGTGCGGGGCATAGCAGAGAGGTGAAAAGGAAAGCACAGGCAGAGATTAGATCCCCTCTCCTCATAAACAAAAGCTAAGTGGGACACGACCAGGAGTCAGATTTCCTTGTATTCTCCTCTCCGTCTCTTTTTCCACTTCTTTCCTTTTCTGCTAGCCAGTGCATCTGGCCTCCCTCGCCCTCCCCTGTGCTCCCTCTCCGTTTTCCCCTCCCCATTCTTCTGTTTCCACAGTGCAGAAATCATTGTTGAGCCTTCACACCGTGATACTTCATCTTTTACCCCCCTCAGCCCCCCCCCCTTGTTTCCCAAGACCCTGCTTTCTTTTCTTTCGGTTATTCTTCTGATTGTTTATACGTCTCTAAAGTAAACTCTAAGACAAATGTCCGAGCTAAAAAAACAACACTACAGCCATCCAAAAGTTTTCTTACCTTCCAAGTAGCAGCTGGAAGAGGACGAGAGGCCTTTCTTAGATTTACACCCCACCAATTTCAGGCATATCTCCAACATTTTCATTTGCTTTTTTTCCCCTTCCCGCTGGAAAATGTTGTTGTTGGTTCAAATCAAAGGTCCGTTCAGTGCTTTCCCTCTACATGTGTCCCACAGAAGAGAAGTTAAAAAACTGATCTAAAAGGAAACAGCCTAAAACTCGTTGATTACACCGGTTTTCTTTTCTTTCAGTTGCCGTAAATCCTCCCCTCACTCTGAAACAGAAAGAGCACCGTCTGCTATCCGGCAAAGTCTATCAACTTTCTCTCCTGAGCGGCTCCATGTTTTTTCCCCCTCTTGCTCTTGGGCTTTCGTTTTTTTCTCCACTTTCACATGAACCAAAAAGAAAAACAATCCAGAAGAGCAGGTTAGGTCCAAAAGATTGCGAGAGCTGTAGATGTGTCAGTTTAGTGGGCAGCAGGTCAGTCTGGACAGTGCCATTCCTCCCTCCTGTCCTCCTGTGCGAGTGTGTATCCGAGGCGCAGAGACTACTCGTGCTCCAGCTGCCAACAAAGGGCCTCTTTCAGGCTCAGCTTGCTGCACTCAATGACATCAGCTGAGCCCTCCCACCTTCAGCAGCAAACACATAATGTGGAGGGGAGAGCGCCACCACACACACATAAACGCACCCACCAAGAAGAATACAAAAAAACTCAAGACTATCACCCCAAATTTCTGCCGACGTGTCGTTTGAAACTTTGAAGTTTTGATTGTGCATTGTTGGAGCTTATTCTTCTGTTTAACCCATGAGATGATTACAAGAAGCCCCTCCTACAGCTTTTTACCCCTCCTTCCCCCCCTCACTGCCTCTCTCTCATCTTCCCCACTTTTCCCCCTCCCTGTATTCCCAAATGTTTACAGGTTGAGGAGTCAGTCCTGGAAACAGGACCGGGTTGTTAAAGACAAAGCTCAAGCTCTCAATAACAGGGGAAGAAAAAAAAAAACAGCCCTCACACACCACTCAAACAAAGGCTTGTTTGCCCCGAGCCATTCCAACAAGGGATGAAGCAAGCTGTGTTTTCAAATTAATGAAAATGAGAACATTATCTTTGGATATTTGGAGAAACATGCTGTGTCATGTGAGAGAAGATAGCACAGATGGATTGGAGGTAGGAAATAATCATTGAGAGTTTGTTTAGCAGTCTTGCAGCACACTTTTTCAGAGCTCAATTCTTATAAATGAATGTCATAACAGTGAAGTAAAAGTTCCTCCATCATTTTATCGAAAAAAAACACACAAGAGTTATGTATCTTTTTAATTATAGCTATGTAACTCATTATGTGTAATATATATTTTAAGACCTTTTAGTCATCATTTCACTTTAGATTAAAACTACAAAAGACTCGGGTTACTGATCAGCTGACGACGTCTGGCAAATATTTCTCTATTTCAGAGACAAACATGGCGTCAGAGATAAGAGGTCCAGTCAGAGGGGTGATTACATACTGGTGGGAAGCCGGCTTGATGACACCAGAGCACATAGCAAGAGTGCCAAACCAGTCTACTGGCTGACCCGGTCACTGGAATTTCCAATCATGCACAAAAACACAGACTTAAAAAAAGCCCTTTAAAGTGAAATACACACGGTACAAAAACAGGATTTTTCAGGACTATCAGAAACTGATTTTAACGCATCAGATTATATATAAATACGGTTACAAATGCCTCTCAGTACAATGCAATATATCTGAACCAGAATGGGTACCTAAAGCCTCTTAAAAGTCCTAAAATGTAGGTCCATTTGTTGGCTGGACCTTCATAGGACTGGGTTTTTAAAAAGGTACAGAATTTTCCAACATATTCAGCTGATAACACAAGATGTAAACTGTTGCAGGAATATAGGTTGACTGGTCTACTTGGCAAGCATCGCACGAGGAGAGGCGAACAATAACCAGATGTTTCGAAAGGCAAAACTGATTCATGTGCAAAATATAAGACGGGGAGAAATATGAGACGAGTCGAGGAAAAGAGAAGAAAAGAAAATCCTGAGATAAGGTCATAGATACCTGAGAGAGAGAGGAAAGTACTGCAACAAATGAGGCAATGTACTTTACGCCTGCCTTTGCTTATGACACGATATGCTAATGGTTCAGCGTGTTAATTTCAAATCCTCGTAAAATATTAACCGTAAAACTCAGTTTATGAGATGCACTTTTAATGCCTTTGTTGTTCTCGAAAAGAAGGGGAAACATACACACAAGTACAAGAAATTTACCAGTAGAACATGCAGAAAGAGTTTTTTTTTTCTAAAAGATAAAGAGGCGAGCAACCGCTATCCTATAAAAAGCCAAATAAAACTCATGCTGCAGGGAAAAGAAGAAAAGACACAATCTGTGGACAAATGTTTTAAAGAGGAGACGGACTGTGTCGTCCTGATTAGAACAAGAGCGCCATGTGGACACAAGCGGGGAGGGGAAAAAAACGATGGATTCAGGAAAACAAAGCACCCTGCAGTGTCTGCTCAGGAAACAAAAAGGATGAATGATGATCGTCTGACACAAGTACAAAACAACTTTCCAAATTTAATCTTCTGAAAACTCAGACTTCTTTGTGGAATCAGGTCTCTCTCTATAGTTGACAAGGTCTCAAATTCAACAGTAACTTATGTTGGCATGCTGTGCTAGTTAACTCTACAGTACATGTCTACCTACTCCCTCTAAAAGCTGATTTATGATTTCTTTACACTTACATACAAAAACCAAATTATTCAGTAAAATAGAGCAGCTCAGTTAAAGCTCCATGGAGCTCCATGCAGTCAAGAGGGAAACCATGTTTTGGAAATGTGACTTACTGCACTCTTCAAATCAAGCTTTGGGCAATTGGAAACTGAGGAAGTTTAAGTTAGAAACATATTTTTAGTCAAAATGACAAAACACAGCGAGACATACGACCCAAATTTTTACATCCAGGAAAAATATCTTTAACGATCAGAAAACTGACTGAAAAGTTTTGACTAAAATATCAACCAAAAGTTGATGACTAAAACTAAACTGAAATCAAAACCAAGTTCCTCTGATTACTTCTAAAACAACACAAGACAGAAAGACTAAAATATGACTAACATCAACCACAATTTTCTTAAGATGACTGCAAACTCGTTCAAATTTCTTGAAAACATTAACATGGGGAAATCTGGGTCAGATCCCTGCATTTAACATAAAAAGGGTGTCACAATTTCAATTCTCATGACCACTGCAGGTTTCAACCAACCCTCAGGTCACTGTTTCTGGCAATATTTGGTCTCTTCGCCCACTGGCTAACTCTGACCTATATACAATGGAAAAGCGTGCAACGAAATGTAGTCCCTGGCACAGCTGTTGGATCAGATTTAAGGATCCTTAAAACCCTTTAACAGGTCAGGGTTTCTGTTCTGCATGTAGTGCATCGCCCGAGCACCACGTCACATGGCACCAGAGCATACATCATCACTGCACTGCTGGTATGGCAAACATTTGTTCTCTCTTCTGCACCACCCCGAGCACCAATTAAGAAGAAATGCAGGCTTCCTCCGACTCTGAGAAAGGCCCATTAACTCACCGCAGTCAGTAAGTGTTGGAGGGATGAGAGGATGAAGGGAAGAGAAGAGGGGCTATAAAAAAGAAAGAGAGAGAGAGGGGGAAAGAGGAAAAAAGGTTGCAGATGGAGAAACATGAAGCACATTGTTTGGAAGTGAGCTCATAGGAGAATCGCTCGCTGAAGTTTTATAATCCGAGCCGTGGATGTTAACAGTTAGCTGACGTACATCCACCCACGGGGTGGTTTTTTTGGCCCTTTTTTCTCTCACGTAACCCCCCGCTTTCTCCAGTCCCTTCTTTCAAGTTTTGACCAGAAAACAGGTTGAATCCTGCAAAAACGCTCCGAACATCACAACTCAGCTGGAGTCAGGTTAATATTGACTATAACTCATTTGCCAATAATGTAAATCAAATTGTATCTTTGAATGAGTGACTTGGTATTGAGCTTTCCATTACACTTGGACCTGAGTATGTCACATACAGGTACGTGATTAACTCCAGGGAACCTCTTGATTTCTGCCTTACAAAAGGAAACACGCACACAACACAAACATTATCACATTGTCAAGCAATGCTAAAAATGAATGCCTGCCAACACTCAGCATGAATCCTGCCCATCTCAGTAATGGAACAAGAGTTATTACACTTTAAAAACTGAGCGAGCTCTCTAATTAGAGAGGAGGAGAAGGCTGGTAGGGAAGGACAGAGACAAAGCCATATAGGTCCCTTCTAATGATTCTGTGTGGTTCATCATTACCTAACCCAGCAGCCACTGCAATCTGTGCAGCTGAGTGTAATTAAATATCAAGCACTAGGTAGGATTTATGTGGTGTATAGATGTGTGCGCATGTTCGTGAGCGTGCGTGTCTGTTTACTCGAGCCAGAGTGTCTGAGGCGTGCAGACCAGCAGATGAGGTTAAGGGGTTTAGGGTTCCACATAATTCTCCACTAAGTATCGTCGACGGGGGAGAAAGGACACTTAAGAACAAAACAGTGGCTGCTCTGGATCCAGGTCAAAAGCCAAAGCAGCCTGAGGTGGTAATAAGTCACCGATTTGGGCAAGAGCGTAGAGAAAAATAACCAAAATATTTATTGTAGAGAACAACAGACAAACATGATTGTTTATGTTGACTCTCTCAGGGCTTATAAAAGCTGTTTTTCTCTCAGTATTTTACAGTTAAATAATAAAACTTAAGCTGGGTCCATTAAACACATTTTATAATATGCGTCCCTACATGCGTGCTCTTGCATCTGCTAACACTCTCTGGGAAAACTGTGCACATTTGGTCGACTCAAAGATCAAACCTCATACCCCTTGCTTGCCGGCACTAGGGCCCAACTGATTTATCGGCGAGACGGTTAAATTGGCCAATTTTAGCCCGTTTGAGACTAATCTGTATTCGGCCAAAACCCGCTGAGTTTTGCCGATATTTTCTGAAATAAAATGCGGAGAATATTCGGTTTCACTTCGAAAATGTTCCGCCATTCGAAAAGTTCCCCGACTTATCCCGTAATGGCGCAGCGACCTCATGACAGTCTTCGTCCACTAACTACCTCACAGCACAGCAGAGTGACGGATCTGAAGCAGGCAGCTCAGGGACGCACGGAGGAGAGTGGTCCGCCTCAACGGTAAATAAACCAGTTTGTGAAATACACAATAAGTCAACAAGTTTCAGTTCAACCCACTTCACGATGTTCCCTGCTGTGCTGGTCTCTGTCACGCCGAGTTAACGGTGAATCACCATGTAATATGTAAGCTAAAGTTAGAGTTAGCCACCTGCTATTAGCCTTGCTACACTGTTAGCCGTGCCAGTAACGGTAGATATATATATTATATATATAAAACTTAATAAAAAAAATTAAAATCTGCTGTTTATCAGTAATCACATTTCCCCCCCCTTATAACTGGTATAGGCACCGGCCCCCAAAAATCTATATTGGTCGGGCCCTAGCCGGCACCAGAGCTACTAGTTAAACGTAATCTCAACATATAAATCTAAAGATTCTGCGAGGTCATAAAGCGATGAAAAAAATCCCACTCTGCAATCAGACAGCGATCGTGTCCTGCAGAGGGATCAGTGTCAAAAGTTTAAATGTCGTTATTTATTGCATCACCAAATCGTGCAACAACTAACTCACCTTTAAGAAAAAGTGAGTTGATTAGCCCAAATTTAAATTTCCATTTTCTCAACTAGGAAAAGTGCTTCAGGACATTCGTACTCTTGAGTCCATTAAAAGTCCACTGGAAGACCAGCTGAGAACAGTAACTAATACAAACGGGACAGACCTGCATGCAAAGCTGAGAGCAACCACAAAATCCCATGAAGTGGATTAGCATGTTGATTTCAAAAGTGAAACAAATGCAGAGGTGCCTTTAGCCCTCATCCCTGTGCAGGATCCTGATGGCGATAAAACCAAATCACTCTGCACTTGATTTATTACCTCAGTGAATATTTTGCTCGTAAATTTATGTTCTCATCTTCTTGTTTTACATTTTTCAAATAGCATGTTCATTTTGTAAATTACAGTCACATTTATCTAAAGTAGAGTTTGTTTTAAAATGTTACCTGTAAAAAAAGAAGTTGCTACCACAGTGACCTGATAGAGAGGCAGGTATGTTTCTCCACTCACTAGATCAAATGTGATCATTTCCTACTCCAAAAACACACAAAGGACCAAAGTGCAGAACCCAAGGCCTAAATAAACTGATTCCGAAATCAATCGGTGGCGTCACTCTTGCCTGTCAACCTCTAAAAAAAAAGTATCTAAATCAGCCTAAATCAGCCCACCCACTACTGCAGAAACTGGAAAACCATTTTAACAGACACACAAAAAGGTGCAACACTCAAGCTACACTCAAGCTTCTTTCTCCACATGATGCACTGCTGTAGATCCAGACAGAACTATGTAGTACCAAAAATATGCAAACCTTCGGAGAATGGAAATGTATGCACTCTAGCCAAGAGTTAAAATATCACACACTGGGCAAACAGAAAGCCAGGTCAAATGCACACAAGTAATCATCACTTGTCAGGCATAAAACACTGCACTAATTATCTGTGTTGAAAGGTCTGTTAAAATAAGGGAGGAAAAAAACGAGGGCAGAGAAACGAGCCCTATATGCCGAAAGAGAGGGTGCTAATCCAGTCCTTTTTAGAGCTTAACTACTTGATTTGACCGAGAGTGCTGGAATGAGAGCGCAGCTTTTATATTCCATTGTTTTATGGGTGTGCAGAAGAGGAGAGCCAAGCTCTTTAGGGAGGGAGAGTGAGTAGAAAAAGGGATTGTTTCAAATTGAAAGCAAGTCCCAAAGAATCTGCTATTACTTTGGGTAAAATATATCAATTTAGCAGCATTTGATAAGAGCAGACAGAAAGTTTCCAGGCCAAAAAGAGAGCGAGAGAGCCAATGGATGTCCTGTATGCTTTTGCAAACTATCAGCCTTAAACGTCTTTGAGATGTTATCTAGATGCCTGGGGAAAGACCCCATTTGTCTGCATGCCCACTGGGGCAAAAAACAGAGAGACGTACACAGAAGAGAGACTCTTGCAACGAGGCTCTCAGGCTGCAGCAATGGAGCTGCTTGGGCTCTTCTTTGTGTCTAAGTGGATCCAGATGCAGCAAGCAAAGCAGGCCCCCTCTTTTAGAGCTATGAAGAGGAGCTAAACACAACACAAAAAAGACAAGACAGCATACCAGTACGGTATAGACTAGTGGGGGGAAAAAAACAAAGCAGACAATAATGTAAATGAGCCAGACAATACCTAAGTGGAAAGGAATTGTTAAATCCTGCTTGATGGAAAGTAAAGCGAGGAGAGTACAAGAAAAAAATGCGACTTATGAAGAATCTACCTCTTTTTAAAGAACAAATCCTATTGTGACAAATCATGTCCCCACAGATTTCCTCTGGTAATCTGCACAGGGACAGATGCCTTCTGACAAAGAGGGCGATTTAAAAAAAAAAAAAACACAGAGCTGGCATCTGAGGTAGCAGGTTGTCTGCAGAAAAAACAACAGCTGCGTCTGGTGGACCAAGTCGGCGACGAGCTCCCACGCTGCATTCCTAACACAACTTGGAGGTTCACAGTATGCTTTTGTGTGTGCTGTATGTACTGTTTATTTTTACGAGTGTGTGATAGAGGCATAGCAGGCAAAAAAAGAGGTGTTTGTCTGGTTGTTTTGACAAGAATTGTAGACATGTGAACACAAGTTATGTCCTGTTACTGAAAAAACAGTATAATTACAATTAAAAAGCGAACCAGAATTAAAGCAATTTATATATTTGCTTTAAAAAGGGAATGAATAAGTAATATACAAGGTACCTTGGTAGATAATTACTTTCAGTTGTTAAGGCCCGGCTGCATAACAAATACTGTTAATGATGATGAAGCTAATCAGATTATCTACAACAAGGGTGGGAGCCAAGATAACATCCATGGACTGTTTGTCCCTAAGCAACATGTATACAGTATCAAATAAGTACAGTGTGTGCAGTATAGTTCTGTACAAAGACATTCTGTACCTTAGATGTGCAGAAAAAGCTCTGGTTTAAGCCTTTGTGTGCACCTGGCTTTTGAGTCTTCCCTCGCTTTGGGAAGATGGCTTTGGCTTCAAAATATATCCGCTCTAAGTAGCTGATCATTTTTCCTTTTTCAATCTTAAAGTTACAACCTCACTCGTATGAATTTTTCTAAATTTTCTTGCCCAAAATATTTTATTCATCCTCTGATTTTGACAGATAAGGTGCTGTGACTTACTGTTTCTGCTTTGCAACTTTCTCACAAAGCAACTTATTTTTCTATGATGCGGTAATGACCAATAATTGCCACTTACGCTTTGTTTATTGTCCCGTAATGATCATCTCCAATTGTCAGCTCATTTCTTATTTTTTATTGGCATATCACCCCTTTTCAGCTGTTATAACAGAATATCCACTGAATCAAAGAGTGGGACGAACAAAGACAACTGCACAAAGGAAAGAGGAGAAGAAAAGAGGGAGAGAAGAAGAAAGGGAAGGGAAACAGGGGATTGCACCAGTTATTTGAGAGGAATGCACAAGAGGTCACATTCTTCACTACACTGCTGTGGCTTGCCCCATGTTCAACTCTTGCTCTCTCTTTTTCTCTGAGTAAATAGGCAATATTACTCAACACTCTTGCTGCAACAGATCACACACACTTAGCGAGAAAACAGAGTGGGAAGGATCAAGAGGCAGATGCTGAAGAGGCTGAAGGCCAGGAAGCGATTAATTAGACAGTCATACTGATCAGATGCTCATTATATAATCGTTACACAATCCTCCTTTTATGGGCGGCTTTTGGACAAATACCCGTAAGAAAAGCACTCGTGTGAACAATATAATTAACAATGGTTGAATATCGTCAACAACACCTGTTAAATGAGGGTAACAGGTCATTTCTTTTGCTGTAAAAGTGATCAAAAGAATCCAGCACATGTCCATCTCGTCCTGTGGGTCTGTTCTCACTCACCACTCTATCTCACCTAATGCCCCTCAGTCGACGAAACATGCAACAACAAAAAAAAAAAGGACCACGATGGGAAGAACAGCGGTCGAAACTCCAAATACTGTTTATTTTATAGCTTTGCCAGGAGCCAATTTAGACACATTCCTTCTAATTGCTTACAGAAATTTAAAAAGTAAAACAAAAGTGCTATTTTCTGTCTGGTTTGGGTGTTTTTTGGTGGTAAAATTTCCTTGCATCTCATTACATCCACACAGTGTAAGATAATGTAAATCTTCTGTGCTTTTTATACATAATCATATATTTAATCCAAGCAGATGGCTGCCCACGAAGCTTGACAACAGCAGTTAAGAGAGTGGACTTGTAAAGTGCTGAATACCTTGGCTACTTTGATTTATACACACAGCTGTTTTGTTTTGACTAGTCATCAGGTAGAGTGGTAATAAAGTGGACTCTTCCAGGTGGTCAAGAGTTGATGAGAGGGGGAAACAGTCACTAATCAGTCAAGTGTCATCCGACAAGGGACAAATGAGTCTCTCACACACACACAGATTTTTAGAGACAAGACCAGCCAGTGTGAGTGACAAGACACCAGGGGCCTAACAGCTGGCCTGCATGAGCATTTCTGTGAGGCGCCGGCTGCAGGGGTACAAATGTGGGCGTGCGTGCGCACACACACACACACACACACACACACACACACACACACACACACCCTCCTCCATTCTAGAGGACTCAGAAGGATCATGGGGGGGGGGGGGGGGGTGGATTTGGTGTGTAGACTATAAAGATTCCTCGAGCTCCAGCCAAGAAACAGACAGTAAGAGACTGAGAGAGAAATTGATACGCTATCTGCATCGACAAGGAACTCAGCTGTTGCGGGAAAAAACACATGCTCACACACAGACACAGACACACAGTCTTGCACATACACACACACTCATAGACTAAGGGGCAGGGGCACACATACACAAACTAGAAGCAATCAAAAAAGCAGGTCCCAAAAACATCACCTTTACACTATCTTGGTTATCAACATAATCGTGGATGCACTGATCCAGTTCAGGTAGACAAAAACCTCATTTTAAGTAACAGAGACAAAAGGCTGATCCAACGGCTCATCTCTGGGGCAGACTCAGATCTATGCTATTCTGTTTACAAGCTTTTGCATGTGCTACGTCATTAGCGTCTGTAGGTCAGTGCACTTTGCTAGGGGGAGAGCAAATGTAGCATGGAGACAGCGGTATAGACTTTATTCTCGATTGTATCACAAACTCTGTATGCAGAGTGATAAAATTGGATTTTATAGGGTAAATCTAGGATGAGAGATTCCTCCAGTTCACTGAAAATGAGGAATTCTGCTGCTTAGTTGAACCCAAGTACAATTTGACAACACACCAGTTAGACATGATTTACACGACACACAGTGCAGTGCTACAAGCTAAAATCCTCCACAAATCACACACCAGTGACTCCATTCAGACTGCTGTTACAGACACACGTAGCCATCAGCATCTTCCCCTGAATAAATCTGTTTGTTTGCATTGTAATGTGACAAATTTAAAGCAATTTAAATACGACCTTTTCCGTCTTGCTGTTTAAAATTTATGTGCAGCTAGTCGCTGCAGATCTCATTCTGAACTCTCTTAGTTTGGATCATTGTAAAATTTCATCATTTACAAATTGAATTCACATGCAGATTACCTTTTGGGATGCCAGAATGATGAGTGAAATATTACCAAATATGAGTTAATATTTAGGTGTCTTTATGAAACCTGCTGCTGATAATAACCAAAAGAAAAGACACAGAAAAAGGAAACATTAGGGGTATTAAAACCAGGGCCTGACCAATTTATCAGCGAGCAAATTAAATCAGCCAATTTTAGCCCGTTTGAGACTTATCGATAATCGGCCCAAACTCGCCGATTTTCGCCGATATTTTCTGAAATAAAATGTGGAGAATAAGATTTGGTTTCACTTTGAGAATGTTCCGCCATTTAAAAAGTTCCCCGACTAATCTTAAAGAGGGCGCCACGACCTCATGACAATCTTCATCCACTAACTACCTCACAGCACAGCAGAGTGACGGATCTGAAGCAGGCAGCTGAGGGACGCACGGAGGAGAGTGGTCCGCATCAACGGTAAATAGACTAGTTTGTGAAATACACAATAAGTCAACAAGTTTCAGTTCAACCCACTATACGATGTTCCCCGCTGTGCTGGTCTCTGTCACACCGAATTAACAGTGAAGCACCATGTAATATGCAAGCTAAAGTTAGAGTTAGCCACCTGCTATTAGCCTTGCTACACTGTTAGCCGTGCCAGTAACGGTAGAATAAACAACAGTACACATGACGTGATCGAGCTACTTCTCTTTCTGAGGCAGCTGCATGTTTCCAGAAGAGACTGGACCGTTAATGAGTAACATAAGTTAAGACGCGGAGGCACCGATCATCGGTGGGCAGTTGAAAACGCTTTTCTGGTCTGAGTTTGATCAGTCGGTCTTCCTGTCGGTGTGAAGAGCAGTAGCCTATAGTATATATTTTATAACTTCACAAAAATTTTAAACAATCGGCTGCTTAATCGGTAATCAGATCCCCCCCCCCCTTATAATCAGTATCGGCATTGGCCCCAAAAAATCCATATCAGTCTGGCACTAATTAATATAAATTGTTTTAAATAAACAAAATTGATGATGCGGTAAAATATTAAAGTTATGAGAACGTATAAATAGACATACACTACTCCTAGTTTTTACTAAAACTTTTTTGAATGCCTTTGCTCATACACAAACGTTTGATTAATGTTCCCTTTCAGATACCTGTAAGAGCCATTGTGCAATCTTTACAAAAGCCTGTGGTGAGGAATGATGAAAGATGCAGCTTATCTTTTATCAGAAAGTCAGATGATTCAGGATTGCCTTCAGCCTTCAGTTCTTGATCTAACCACTGATTTATTAACACAGAGGAGGAGGAGGAATCCAAACATAGAGGACAATTAATTCCTTTGACATGTGTTCACCAGCTAGTAAGTTAAACAAAGTTTCTACTGACTCCCACAGTCGGTGTCCAGCCAAGTCAGACTGCACACAAAAGGATGAAACAGAAGGAATATTGGCAAGTTAGATTTGCACTGGATCCAGTAGTTTGTATCTTAATGATTCAATGCTTACTTCTTGGAGTTCTGTAGCTTGCATCAGATGAAAGGCTTTCAACTGTTTCAGTAGAGATAGTTTTTGATAAGAAGCAGCAACGTGGTTTGTTATACTGAAATATCACCATTTATTCTTCTTGACTAAAAGAACATCCTCATCTTTTGCATGTTTTTGGACAGCTTCACTGTAAACATAGTAATAAATCAGTAGCACTTAAAAGTCACTCTCTCCCATACTATACTGTCTTATGATTCTGGAGTCAAATGTTCTACACAGTTGCTTAATATTTACACAAATATTATACAAACATTTTCTGCCTTTCTTCTTTTTCTTTTTAGAACTACATCTTGTTCAGAACTGCAGTTTACCCAAATAAAAGACAAGAATGCTATGACTACATGTGGCCACCAGAGGGCACATTTTCTTCCAACCACCAACTCTGGAAAGGGCAATAACAGAGATACCTCAAATGAGACACACTAATGTTTTGATCTTCTTTCCTTCAAACCCTCCATCCACCAAATCCTCTCTTCCTGCATTTTCTTCTACCCTGTAAGCTGATTTTTGTCAGAGAAGGACAGTAAGATAATTGAAAGGCATCACTCCTTCTTTGAATAATTTTATGCTGCAGTTCCACTTCCTGCAGCAAATTGAAAATATTTCAACAAAGACACTGTGCCCATTCGACATTTATGATACTCTTATTTGTGGTAAATTCATTTAATCCTTTTCCAATAGTTTTATAGAATTTTGATGATTTTACTGAGCTAAAAATAACTGTTGGTTGCTGGAAGCATTGTTTTTTGTCAAAGCTGGAGGAAATGTTGATTTGTTGGTGTGTTATCTAACTGTTATGAAACAGTTAAAGGTGGGGTAGGCAGGAATCCGTTAAAGAAGTTAAAGTTAAAGAAGTTTTTGTGATGTATATACAAAAGAACTTTTAATATCAGTCAATAGCTATTAGTTATTGATGACATTTGGTAATATAACGATATTGCTGTGTTTTGTTATGTCTGTGTAGTCGACATTTTAAAATTTCAGAGCACTCCGCTCTTTCTGACTGTAAACAAAGCCGTTCTCCGCCTCCCCCAACCTGATTAGTTGTGAGGCAGACGCTGCTCCCCTGTGTCGATCAGGAGCTCAAACAAAGTTAGCGTGCTACAATATCAGACAGTAGAAACCAACCAGAAAGTACAGAAAATTGTTTGAATCCTCCTTTGGCTATGACTGCCGACACAAGCAAGAAAAAGTAAATACTGGAGACTCTGGCAGAATAACAGACGCATAACAAGGAGGTAGACCGGACAAGAGCTAAGAAGCCGGGTCAACAATAATGGGGGACACTTCGGGATCTTACAGACCCTGTAACCTTTCTGCTGGACAGGTAAACCGCTTTAACAAAGTAAGCCAAGTGTCTGTACCTCGGGTCCTGGACTATGTCACTTAATCCTAGTTATAGAAGTCCTGCAAACGTTGTGTTTTCTGGTAGTCTGTTGGCATCTACAGTAGCACCAATGCTGTTTACTTTCACGTTGACTGGGCCCCATTTGTAATTATCTGAAGTATTTATCTACATTATATGTGAATTTAATTGGAACAATCAAGCGAGCAGGAGCGTCTGTTTGTGGGCGGGGCTTGCTGGAGCAGAGAGGGAGGGGAGAGGAGGAGCTGAGGGGAAAACTGGTTGGGAGGGGTAGAGTTTACATTCAGGATTTCTCCCCTAAACTGGCACCTCCTCAGATCCTGCCTACCCCACCTTTAAGTATTTTTTTTCTCATTAAAGTGAAATTGAGTTTTATCCATATCAAACTGTAATAAAGAAATATTGGTATAGATTACTTTGAAAGCTAGTTGGCTAGTGCAAGCTTAATTTGGTGCCTATTGTTCTTCCTTTTTCTTTGCACAAGTCACAAGTCATGACCTGTGAGCAAAGCATTCTGTCAGATACAGGTGAATCTAATGTCTGTGATCTTTGCCATGACCATCAAAGTTTAAAAATCCATTTAAGATACTGTATGTTACTGGCTGAGATAACCATGAGTATAGGATTGTAATGTGCATTTAACAATATCACTGTGCATGACCTTGTTCTTTATTTAACCCAGTTTTTATTTAACCCCATCACTCAATTTTTTCTATTTTTAGAATTACAGATAGCTGGATGGAAAAATCCAAAGTCCCAGAGACTTTTAATCTATTGAGGAAACACCAGGAAATGGCGATAAACATAAAATATTTAATCAGTTTACGCTATTCTGTTTCTGATTAGTACTTTTTATTCAAGGTTTTTTTTTCTTGCTTTATCAAATGCAAAACAACAACAACACTATAAAAGCATTATCTATCAGCAACCAGCCAATCAAAAACAGATATCAAACTCTGGTACAAATGAGAAAGTTGAAAATATTTGAAATGATGAAATTACTGAGAAGCTGTGTGTGTTTTTTCTTTTTGAATTTTTTCTTAAGGATAGTCGTGCTCCTGCTAGTCGGCCGCAGTATAAAGCAAAGAAACGCAACAGAAATGGATGACAATTAGCTCTAAAATCGGCATCCATTCTCAGAAGTTATGAATGGCTGGACATCTGCAATGACCGCAGTCAATCCATGTCAAATTGTAGTATCCACAAATACACACGACATGCAACAGACAACTTGGAGAAAAACTAAAGCGCATTCTTGTGAACTCTGCACGTACTTCTTTTTATGCAGGTTGAGTAACATACTGTCGCTTTTAAGCTTGCCCATGATCCATCAAAGCCCACAGTGAACTTGGGGGTTACTCAGATAACTGAACCACACACAGAAAAACAGCTGGAAATGTATTGTGTGAGCTACGGCTCCCAAAAATTCACTACCCTGCTCAATCCTTGTAATCTTACTCTCTCACCAGTGAGATCATACCTCCCTGCTGTACAGTACACAGAGGTGCCAAGAGCACAGGCAGGTCTTTGCTTGCCCCTGACTGCCTCTGTCTCTCTCCCAGGCAGCTGCATGCAGAGGTCTGAACCTGCCTGCTGAGAAGCAGCATGCAGCTGGCTAGCTTACTGTTAACTAGCTGGGTTTCACCAGGAGGAGAAAAAACAGAGATGTAAAATCCTGTGTTGTTATTGCCCTCCTCTTGCACTATGAGTCACATCCCCCTCTCCTAGTCTAACCTGCTCATCACAAGAGGAAAGGGGGCAGAGAGAGAAAACAAGTATGGCCCATGTCACTGACCCTTTACCAAATTCGATCCTTTTACCGGCAAAACCTTTCATTCTGTTTTTCTGACCTTCTCCGTCCGGTCCCCCCTCTGTGTTATGCAAGACTGAGACTCTGTGGAAAGTATTCCTGCCAAGTCAATCACAGCCCAATGGACACATTTGGTAAACTTATCAGTTAGCTAGATGCATGGCATGCATCTGGTTCAATGACAAGGGGTCATTTTTAAGAGCTGAGAGAACGTGAAGCCCAAAATTTCAACTGAGAAGTTCTTTTCTTGGATGGTGACAAATGGACCTCAGTTTTTCTTTACTGGTATTTACATTGTCTCTTCAGCTCCTAAAAGTTTCCCCACATATGGCAGAATATAGAAATGAATCTAGATTTTTATGTTTTTTATTCCCCCAGTGATCATTAACAGCATCATAAAACACCAAAGCTAAAGCGGTTAAAAGAAACGCTTGCTGGCATTCAGTAAAAACTATTTAAATTTGATTTATGGCAGAAAACAAGCCTCCCTGACTGAATCTGAAGACCTAGCTTCACTTGGCTCCATGTAGACATCACAAAGGCATTTTAATGAGTCAGTTCTTTATAGAACGTTAAGAAGTTAAAAACAAAAACTGAAGTAATCTAAAGAATTACCAATACTTTCTTTATGTTAAAGTTTCAACTACGAACATTTGCTTCCATTTAAAGATAACCGTGGCTTTTGAAAGGACAAGTGTTAAGAAAATTTAAACCAGAGAGAGACAGACTGCTTCCTGTAGTCATGGATTTAAAGAAGTACAAAAACTGGAGGAAACATCACCAGGTTAATAACCTGTAAGTGTGTTAATTGGTCCATGGCTTTTCAAAGCATGCTGAGGCTCTCAGCCAGCAGCAGTCTAGCATTCCCTTTGGGAGTGCAGTGCTAGAGCTTTCACCATTAAGCATGCATGAGGGTGATTAGTTAATTCAGACAGAGCCGTGTTTTAAGTCTATTTACTACTCAGCTGTGTAAAACACTTGATTCTGATGGGGCAAACCCCATAACAACAGTGTTTCATATTTGAAAGCCAAGTGTTTATAGCAACAACTTGATCCCACACGTCGGATCAATCAGCAGAAAGGAGTTAAGCACAATGACAGCACCTGCTGACAATGTGGCAAAAATGTGAGTTTTCTGTTAGCATTCGGAGTTGTTAATCACTGTGTCAAAACAGTTAAGTGTCCGTTTCAGGCAGCTTTAGAGTGTTGGGTAATAATGACAGTTACCAGGTACAGATGTGAAAGCAGCCTGAGGAGGTACGAGGCCCTAACCACTTCTGTTTAAAAAAATAATAAGAAAGTGGAATAACATCTTGGCCTGCAATCCAGGCAACGACAGCAGAGCTGGTGGGTGCATTTTTAAGTGGCAGATTGCTGCAGAGTAACTTTTACCATTTAAAGTAATGCCAATAGTGACAGATTGACATTTGCCTCATTTATGCTAACAGGTATATCAACTAGGAAGAGGACATATCAAAAAGTATGAACATCTACAGTAAATTCCTTCAGAAGTTGCATTAAAAACATGTAATGACTAAGAAGCACCTTTGTGTTTTAACTTGATCATAAACTGAAATGTTCAGCTTTATGTTTATTTGTACTGACAGGATGCTGAGAAGGAAATTTGGCTGATTTTACAAGATGTCCACTTGGTGTCTGAGAACAATTCTGCTAGATTTTATTAACGAGAAGATTAATCACTTAATTCCACAAATAAATTCTAGATTAAACGGTACTGCAAAATAACTGTTAGCCCTGCTTTCATAACCAGCCTGTATTCTCTGTGCTATACCAAGGATATCTTACAGAACTTTCCCTTAAAAGCCACACACCACCCTTAACAAATACAGAAGGAGGCACTGTTCAGCTCTGCCACACCACAACGCAGCTTAGTAAAGCAGGGGTATGGATGGAGAGGAACAATTTCTGGTGATGTGTTTCTTCAGCATTTATCAGACACTATTAGGGGCTGCCAGTCAGACACCAAAGCAATGACCAATCAAAGGTACAGACTCATACCATACCATACTGACTGCACAGAGTAGAAGTCCAGAGCTGTTTGTATTATACATCATGGTTGTTAGGTTAGGTTATAAGAACTTCAAGTGTCTTTTTGCAATAATTTGAATTAATTCACAACACTTTCGTCAGGTTGCGCAAGCAAATTTGTTATTTGACTGACTAGCAGCAATATCAATGATGCAATCACAAGAGTGCTTAAGCCATCTATACACTTCTGTTATTTCTATTCATGTATCATAACTCCTTTGCACAGCAGTAAATACCATTTACTCTTTTGTATTTGGTCCACTTATTTTTATGATGTAGTTTTTTAATGAAAAGTAAAATGGCAGACAAACAAAGGAAACAGAAAACTGAGTGGTTAAAGTTCTCAAGTTTGGGTCAGTGAGAGCACACGCTGGTAAGAGGGCTGCAAATCTATTCCCTGACACAGCTATTAAATAAACCTATACTGCTGTCATGACTAAAGACCAAATGAGGGTCTAATCAAAAACATTTTCTTACCATGCACAGCAAAAACGTTACAGGGCTGGGTCCCATGACGTGACGACTCTCTCTTTCCACCCTTGATGAAGGCTGGCAGACTGGGTCTCCTCTGGTCCCCTGAAAACTTTCCCGGCTGCTGCCCCATAAGGGCAGAGTGCCAGGCCGCAGCCGGGACTCTCCAAGCTGAACTTTGTGGGGCACCTTCAAACAGTTGGGTACCAGTCAGTGGAGGGGTCAGGAGAAGACAGGAACCCCTTTCCCCAGCTCAGTTCGTCTTCTACTGGAGTGTGGGTAATGTTGACCACCTTTCAAGATTCCTTCTACTCCAGTATGTCTCTGTTTATCACGCATTAATGGAGGCTGAATGCCTTGGAGGTCAAAGATCAGTGTTTCTAAGTAGTCTGGAGGGGAAAACAAACGATCAATGATTATTCCATTCAGAGCTATGAGCATCTTTTTGGCATGAAAACTGCATTAGAATATAGAAAATGTGCATTAATGAGTCTCACAACATCATGACTTAAGGGTGTACATCATGTGGATGAGATGTATCAATAACAAATGCCAGCATAGTTGTTCAACAGGTTTCTATCACATGCAACATATCCAGATGAATACAAAAATCACTGCAGGTATTTAAAGTGCCCTCCTTTGAGGACACCCACATCCCATGAGTATTAAACCAACTTCCTCCACTCTAAAGAGGATGTTCATCCACTGAATTTCCCTTTTTTCAACTGTTGTCAAACCAGTCAAATATGATACAAACCTTGGTTAACTGAATTATATTTCAAGCAACACATAACTATTTAAAGATAGGGTGTTTGAATAGAGAAAAAAGTACATTAATTCACGTTTAAACATACGTTAGTGTTAAAAAATAATGTGCTTTTATCTCTCAGGATATTACTGTCGTATCCCTGACCACCATTGTCTTTAGGCAATTTTACTTCAAAATCGTTGTCAAAAACACTCAAACGTCTATATGACACACATAAGAGGGATAACAAACTTGTACAGACTTATCCCAAACTTGCACCGTTGTTACAAACGTTTGCAGGAAAAACAAGTGTGAATGTGAACTTACATAGCCCTGGAAATGTTTACAGTGTGGATTAGCTGACGATCTGAAGCTAATGTTTAAGTTAGCCATGGAGGCTAACTAACGTTAGCTGGTGGTATGCAGCGCGAGACCCTTAAATGCACATCGAGCACTCAACAGTTGGCTCGTGCCGAGTCGCTGTTTACACGCTGGTAGTAAAAGGTCGGGCAAGTGCATCGAAAAATCCCCGAAATAACTTTACGGTTTCCACAGTTTAACTGTCTGCAAACAGTCTTCCAAAGCCAGAGTTTTCAATCTGTTTCAAACTTCCGTGTCCACTCTTCCCGTCTTGCGGAGTTTCTTCCCCTGTGGTACCCGGACTAAAGGCACTTCAATCAAGGAGGTGAAGAGAAATAGAGGCAATTCAGCCGGCCAGAGACCCACGACTCTTTCTGCAAGCCCTTTCCTCTGTTTGCTGCGGCCGAGCTCTTCGTTACCAACCCCTCTCTTCCTGTACTTACTCATTGTTTTCACGTGAAAATCTGTGCACTAAACTTTGGCCGAGTAGTAGTTGTGTCGCTAGTGCCGCCATACTTCCATACGCAAGGTGGTTTACAGAAGTATGTGGGTGGGGCGACGTGTGACGTCACGTGCGTGCGTGGGCTAGTACATGGGAGCAAAGCTAAATTTTTGTTATGTTGGTAAAGTATTAGGACAGACCTGTATGGAAGTCAATATTTGCCATCTGGTTTTCAATTTAGATTTCTAAAGCTGATTTTTTTTTTCATTAAAATAAAACTTTGAATTTCAAAACCATCGAATTTCAAGGACGCATTTTTATCTCTTGCACAATTTTTTTTCATAATGATTAAATAAATTAATTTTTTTTAAAAAGGTCTCTCGAAAATATTTGTTTAGTAAAAATTCGACTTAAAAAAACAGTGTAAAAAAATTTATATAAAAAAATTCAGTGTCAAATAATTCAGTGTAAAAGAGACACTCAACATTAATGAAGTAAATCTGTGCCGTCTGGTTTTGAATTTTTTTCCATCTGCACATTTATTTCTTTATTTGCAGAGGGCTTTGTCTTTTCGTTGGTTTGTTTGTTTTTTGCTTCGGTAACTTCTGTTGTGCCTCCTTTTTTTTGCATTCGTTTTTATTTGCAGCAGTGGAGGTTCTGGGCCACCGCAGTTATATTTAAAAAATGCAAATAAGATTTAAGTTTAAAAATAAAAAATAAAATAAAAAGAAGGGCTTCATGTTTGTTTGTGTTTCCCTGTGTACCACACAGGGAAACATTTATTTATTTATTTTTTATTTATTTGCAGCAGTGACGGTTCTTGGCCATCATACAAAGTGCTTTACACAGAAAAAGAAAAAGAAAAAAAAAACAAAGAATACCCAAATCTACCCCAACCCTAGATTATAAGAATACCCAATTCTACCCCAGCCCAACCCCTCATTCCCAAGCCACGATCTAAATACAACAGAAACAATATTAAAATGCATAAACTTAAAAAAGGGCATGATTTTTTGGAAACAGGAATGTGCGCACTGAGGAAACATCAGTTTAAAACTCAAGATAAGAACACTGGAGGTTTAGGTTAAAATCTTAAAACATCTCAAAACAAAGTAACAGAATGAAATTTAAGAAATAATACATAAAATGAAATTTAAAAAAAACAAAAAAAAAACAATAGAAGATACTAAAATGAGAGCACCAAAATAGCTCAATAAAAGACGATCCTGTCCTTAAAACTAAAAAGGGATGAATGCTAAACCAGTTTAACAAAGTTAAAGATCTAAAATTTAATTAAAAGCAGGACTAAAAAGGTATGTTTTGAGTTTGGTTTTAATAATTAAGATTATGTGCAGTCCTCAGGTCTTCAGGTAAACTGTTCCATAGATGGGGGACAAATTAATAAAAAGATGCCTTACCGTATGTCTTGGTTTTTAACTTTAGGTAATGTTAACAGAGAACTTCCTGAAGACCTGAGGGCTCTACTTGGCTCATAAGGTAAAAGAAGATCAGATAGAGAAGATGGGCCAAAGCCATTAAGAGCTTTAAAAACCAATAAAGCAACCTTAAAATCTATTCCACAGGTTTTACTTCAGACCTGGCCCTCTGCTTCCAGTAAAATGCACCAGATCCGTTCAGTTTTATTTGAAAATATACATAAATTGTGCCTGTATAGTTCTCCAGTTTCATAGGAATGGTGATGAGTGAAATAAAACTTTATTTTCAAACGTTGGGGAAAAGCTGTTGAAAAGTGACAAACAAAAAGTGGCCATTAAAACATCAACATTTTATTAAAATTTTGCATGGTCTTCATCAGCTTTAAATCTAATCTGTATATTGTGAGTCAAATGTAAAAATAAAAGATAAAGCAGTTAAAGACAGGCTCTTTTTTTCTCAGTTTGAAGGAATATTTCAAATTTCTGAGGTAATGTCAAATTTCCCCTTGAGGATAAATAAAGTTCTTCTTATCTTAAGAAAATGACCTACAAAAAATGTCACACATCAATGCATGAGACATTGCAAAGCAACACAGTGGGGCATTACATTTTGTAATATTAGACAAAACACACAACAGTGAGAAGTACTGAAAATTATAGAAAATTTATTTTACAAAACATTTCTAGAACACCGTGTTACCAAATGCAAAACTTAGGTACAGCTGCAATAGAGATCTAGAATGCTTCATATCTTTGAAGACTGTTCGCAATGATAGTTGAACACTGACGACCAGTTTCATAAGCCCAGATGCACTTCTTAACAATACAACTGATCCTCATATTGGTAAGGAGGGTTTGAAAAAGGTCAGTTAAGTCTGTGAATGCATGGTCCCTTTGAAGCGGCAGTATGTGATTACAGTTTTGTTACAAGGTCACAGTAAGGATCTTTAACCTTCCTGTTCCAGCAGCTTCTGTTGAGTCAACATGACAATCTCCTCCATCACTTCTGGCTTCAAGATGTCTTTGACCTATAGAGATGGCACAGGGCAGATAGAGATACTTTACTTGGAAACTTGAGGAAAACATCAGCAAGGAAATAGATTATGCAAATTGTGAGTGCAGCTCTATCTAATGATTGAAGACCCTCTGAGGTGACAAACAAGAGCATGTAGTTGATGCGTATTTCCATAATAAAACACCATGGTTATCAATCTTTCTGTCTTGAATTTACCTGGAGGTTTACTTTGCATAAAAAAACAATACTTTTTACAAATAATAATGACGAAATCGAGACCCGATGTAAACACGGTTAAAAACTGTTGTGCTCTCAAAGACCCACAGCTGCACTAATTACCCAAAAAAACCCATAGGTCTCACATTACATGTCTCCTTCAACAGGAGAGCTGCAGTAGTAATCGGCTTCAATTAAACTTTAAAGTAAAACTATACAACTGTTCAGTCTCTCAGAATTCTAATCAGGATAAATGTGAAAAATTATTAATTATCTGTCAAATTATTAGTAGTGCACAAATGGCTCTAACACAAATTTATTTTTGACTTGTTAAAGCAGCAAATCTACAAACACTTTCTGTTTTTAGATCACATATTTTGTTGCTTTTTTAATGACTAGAAGATACTATGTCAGAGCTACAGTCTTAGGCAATAATGCTTACTTTAGTGTACTTAGAGTTGCAGCTTATGTGTTGTGGCCCAGTAATTTAAAAAAACATATAGGTTAAGCTGTCATAAGTTGGGTTACTAGCTCAAGAGAAAACTACTGCAGATAATTAACTGCACCAACACAATGTGGTCATCCTGTAAGCTAACATGCTGACTGCAAAACTGATGTGAAGAATTAGTGATTAACTCATCTGTTCTCCACATACACCATTTTTGATAGATGATTTTAGACCAGCAGAGTCCCAGTTGAGGACTATAAGAAATGATTTCTGCAGTTATACAATTTGACCACAAGATGGCACATGCACTACAGAAAATCTTTCAGTTGAATTGCGTCACATTGTGAAATGGTGGGTGAAGTTCTGCAATAATCCGAAACAGTTCATAAATTCTGTTTCACTGCTACATACCTGGTGCTGAACTGAAGACTCATAGCAGTAGAGAACACTGGTGTCGTACAAAAGGACTTTGTGTGCGGCCAGAGCCAGAAGACAGTTCCTTAACCGAGAAATCACTTCACGGTCTGCAAGACTGACAGGCTGAAACAACAGAGCCATGATGAGACCAACAGATTAGATTAACATAAACGAAGACAACACATTGGGAAATTTAAAAAGGAGGGGATCAAAATGACTTTAAACCAAGTGTGTCCTCTTTTGAGATAAGTATATTGATCTGAATTTAAAAAAGCCTTTTTTGCCTTAAAAAAGAAGGACTGCTTTAGATTTGAGCCAGTATGGTTTTTACATACATATTTGATTCATACCATTTGTAGCTCAGGATTGTAGATATCTGTGCCATGGATATTATTTGTCTAGCTTAGACATCAGTGTGTAATAATGTATACTTTTATAGTTTTATCTATAGGATTCTGCTCTCTGCTGCTGAAGTTCCTACCTCCAGACTGGTGTAGAAACCTCCAGCTTCTTCATCCTGTTGCCCTGGAGTTGGATATAACCACACAAAGCCGTTATTCCCCAGGATTATGGACGCACCACAAGGCAGATTGTGGAAATGTGTTTTCTGCCTTTTGATCAGTGAAGGAGAGAGCTGCACTAGAACTCCTTGACCCAGCTGATAAAACGGAAGAAATAAATAAAAGACAGTGAGGTCAGATGATCAGTTAGTACGAGTTTTCAGTCACAAAACCGAAGCTAGAATTTGTGCTGCAAGAAAGTAATGAGAAACATTAAGAAGCAAAATCACTATGTTTAGCAGCCTGTGATTTAGTGCAAAGGACAGCTCAATTGAACTGCTTCAACACATGCTTCAGAATCAGGTAGGCCTATTTTTTTCAATATAGGAATTAGAATGTTCCTTTTTTTTTTACAATAAACAATGAAAGATTGCATTGTAGTCACTCATTTAGCCCTGATTTGTCTGCAGTACTGTTCTTTACTGTGTTTTCTGCTGCTTCTATGTGGTATCATTTAGAATAACAGCCACAACTACGTAGCTACAACCCTTCAGCGTGTTTGTTTTTTTTCTTGAAGTTTCAACACACACCACTGACCCCACTGTTGAAACTCAAGAGTATTATGGCTCTTGTAAGCATTTCAAGTTTATGAACTTAAATACAAACATTAAGATCTGGCACAAGCTCAACCATTTTATTAGGATTATCCCATACCTATACTCATGACATCCATGTGAACTTTGGTTTAACTTACTTTCCCATACTTCAAACTACGGGTGTGAAGAGAGAGGGCTCCATCTGAGAAGACAGACTGTACCTCGGCCTGTAAGCACAGGAAAATGATGACAAGAGAATTAGAATTGGAGTTACATACAAGAAAATAGAAACATCCATGAAAAAATAATTTACACTGATAAGGTCGCCCTCTTGAAGATACTCCCTCATGGTAAGCTCATCTTCTGCCGATCGTCTCCTCTGAAAGATAAAATCAAACCAAAGATCTTCAGAAATAAATAAACTCACTCATTTACAATCTTCCCTTTCCACACCTATCAATGTTCTGTACTTTGAAAACAAGCTTGTCCAGCATACAGAGCACAGCAATATTTATTTTCCTCCATATGATTAAAATTTTCAAACATCTCACCAGTTCTCCTCCAGGCAGATTGACAGCAGACAATAAAAGCACAGAGTCCAAGCGGGAGTTGGTCTCCACCTTCCATCGTTTTTGTTGTACCTACAGGAAAAACACATAAAACATATCATAGGAGGCAAAGCTTGTTGAACTACTGTATTCTACTTTAAAATGTACTGTATTTGCCAGCATGTAGGGGAGAGTGGGGTAAGATGAGTCACTTTTCATATTTCGGATCACTACATCAAGGCAAACATAGTTTTGTCTCTAACTTGTGTATCTGCATATATTTCAAGATATTGTGCATCCCTGCAAACCAACAGAATGAGTGTAAACAGAACTGTCTTGATAATATAGCATGCCAAAGAAAGTAGTCTCCTATGGTCAACTTACCCCGTGTAAGTTGACCATAGGAGCAGGGTTAGTTGAGCTGTATCCCTGTTTTTTTTTTTTTTTTTAAATAAATGTCTAACCCATCCACCCATGTGCTTCTAACCTTCACAGACTCCATGAATTGATGCCCATCTCCTAAATATTTGGTCACATGATCAATTTCTTTTACCGTTTCCAAGCAACGGGGGTGGCTCAACTTACCCCACTCTCCCCTATGTGTGGATAAGTCAGAAAAAGTGTCTCACCTCTGTGATTCTGCCAACAATTACATCACCAACCTCCCCATTAAACCTGCAAATCGTTGGCACACAATAAAATCATCATCCTTTAACTTCTACAACAACTTTCAGATGTTTTAGTCAACAAATGTACCGTCTTACCTGGTCTTAAGTGGTCTGACACAGATGAGCTTGTCTACTCTCTGCACCTCTCCAGCAACAGATGCTGTGAGCTTCTCTTCATCAACATAGGTACCATGACCCCTGGAAATAAATGGTGTAAAGATAGTGCAGAGGTAATAAGGAATACAGCCAAACACAACGATAGGCAACAACGAGCATCAAATCAAGCTCTTCCTTAGCTGCATTGAGTGGCTAATATTCATTACAACCAGTCCACTTAGGCTAATGGACTTACCTCATAAACCCCGTGTCTGAAGTGATAACATCGCCGGGGACGACGAGATCTTTTCTGTCAAAAGCAGAGTCTAATAAAGACACTGCTTTTCGAATAGATGGTAATCTCATGTCTGCAGCCATGCTTCTTTTACTTCTTCTTCGCCTTTCGTCTCCGGGCGGAAACCTTTTTACCGCCACCTACTGGGATATGAGTGTTTTTAATGAAATTATCAAATAGTTTTAGATCCGAATACAAAAAGGCATGAAATATATGTAGCTTTAACGAGTATGTGCCTACAGCGATACGCAATGAACGACATAAATTGACTTGCGAACAAACTACTTCATTTTTTTTATTTTCTCACGTACTTGCCTCGTCCTTAAACTTAATTAAAAAGCTCATTACCGCCACCTGCTGCATGGAAATGCAACAGGCGGTCTCTTTCAGGGGCTGATGGGGGGAGAGGCCAGAGCAGTGGATTTAACAGTGTTTAATGTGTTAAGGATGTGTTGTTTTACTACTGATGTCTATTGATTGGAGTCTTCTCAGGCAACAAAGGCGGCTCAGCCCCTTTCTGTAGATGTGGTCTATATTCTTAGACCAATCCAACTTATTATCCAGTCTGATTTTATGAAAATCCTGCTTTACTTTGCAATGATGAATAATCAGTTTTGCAGATAATATTGAGGGATTATTTATAAAAGTTGGCTCTGTAAATTACCATCCAGAGCTGTCTTCAGATTAAGAGCCACAGCTGTAAAAGCAGTTTAACCGGGATATGAATAAAATACCACACAACTGAGCACAGTCCTTTCACATGCATCCAAACCCAAAAATAGAAATAAAACTGCAGTTGTTATTTTTTATCTATTTTTTTCTACCTTCAGAATCAAAATATGTTGAAATCATGGACTGTGTGAAACAAGGATGTATCTTGTCACCATCTGGTTCCTAAGGAAGTATTTTTAGATTATATTTCATATTCTGTTAAATCTCTTTTTCAGAAAAATATCTTTTATTTTTTATGCCGATTTAGAAAGAATTTTTAAGTTAATAAAAACATGTAATGACTCCACTCTATATGTTAATTAGTATAAAGTAATATCAAAGGAAAATAGTCCTCTTTCTACTTGAGTGAAGAAGATATTTTGGCTCAGAGCTCATGTGATATTTTTATTTTTTAAAGTTCAAAATCAGATGTCTTTAATGGCTTTCTTTGGTGCTTTATAATGGGCTATGTAAAATAACAAGTATCACCTCATAGTGTTTTTCAAAACAGGGTTACAAAGTGCTTTACAAATGAAGCTACTGCTCTAAAATATTGATATGATAGGAATATATAGTGTATTTTTACTAGCCTGTATTTTAAAAGAAAATCTACTGACCTCAAATGTTGTGAAAAACATATTTAAAGGTATGAAAATTTGATTTAAGTAAAAAATATTCGGTGGAAATTATAATGAAACACAAAGTTTCCAGTTTTTGTTGGATTACCTATGAGACATACTAAGCTATAATATAGTCAAAAAGGAGTAGTTTTGTAAAGAAATAACAAAGGTTTTTGATTTAAGATGCTTTTTAAACTCTTAAACTAGTTGACAAAAATAACCTCCACTTTACTTCGAGAGATATTTATATTCCTTTGAGATTAAAGTGAATTAAAGTTGATATTAAACTTTTAGATATAACCTACCAGTGTAAGTGTTTTTCTAAAGTAAGCAGCATTTTAAATCTCCATGGTAACCTGCGACGATGTAAAAACTTTATATCAATACAAGCCAAAGAGCGCGGTCATTTCTGAAGATCAAATCTGAAGAGAACAGCACGAAAAACTGAAGTGGCTTACAAACTTTCAACTTTTGACGGCTTTGGCTTTGACAGCTCCATCTTGGTTAAAACCTCCCCAGACGACTGAGTTTCAGCGGACAAACATCTGAACAGAGAGGACAACACCGACAACATGAAGACCGTAAGATTGAATGACAATGTTATCATGAAAACTTGTGTTATCGTCGAGACTTTGGGAATATTTAGCTTAAAATTGATGCATTGAAATTGTATGATGAGCCCAAAGTCCTGCTGTGGTCCTGTCCTGCGTGTTTAAGAGCAGAAAAGTTCATGTTATTGTGAGAAATCTCTGCGTTTAGTTTTCGTCAAAGATGTTTTTGTCTTCTTGGCTTTTTAAAGACGTCAGCCTGAAACTTATTTGACGGTTTTTTTTACATTAACCAATGCTATCAGGTGAAAACAGACATTGAACACAAGCTATTTTCACTCTAATTACAGCGAAAGAAGCGGATTAAAGCAGTGAAATGAAGTGTTAAAATAAGGGACACCTTCATAAGTTTAAAGATTTGTCAGTCATCATAAAATCAAACAAAATTAACTAAAAATATATATCAAAGTTATACCTTTTTTTTTAAAAGTGCTCCAATAGGCCTAAGTTACCAAAAAATCCTATGAATAACATTTAAACCTGTTTAAAAACTTACAAAAACAGACAAAATTAAGTTAAAAGAAATGTATTATGTACAGGCTTTAAAATTAAGAGTTTGATAAAGTTCCACATAAATATGTTTTTATGTTTTCATGAATCAAGTGTGTGTGTTTTCTACCACAATATTAAAAACTTCATTATGTTTTTATCAGAGAAAACCCACCTTAAGTGTAATGGAAACACTGTCCTTTTGTAGAAATCAGTTTTTATCAAACTGAAAACTGAGGATTTTCTTATTATTGAATCCTGAAATTATGCAGTCTTTCCCCCATGAAATAAAATGACTGAAAAAGACGTACCAAAAATATAAATTCTTAATGGGGTGTTGCATTGATGTTAATTGTTTCTATTGCACATTAACCTGCTGATTAGAGACTAAATACAAATTCAAATGTTTTGACTTTCTCCTCTTGATGATACTGGTGTTACAGATGATTCCTTCATGACCTTGACCACACAGTCAAATGTTACAGCTTGTTTAATTTAAATGTCTGCGTTGTTTTTGTCTTCAGACCCACCGCCAACGCAGCAAATGGACCTCGGTCCTTAAGGACAGCCCTGACTGGCCCTGTCCCAGGCTGGTGCTCAGGAGGGTCATGGTAGCACCCATGCCCCTTTCCAAGCCTTGTGGTGTAAGTAGGAAATTACACTGACAACATAGAGAGGCCGTTATCATGCCTTCAAGACAACATACAAAACTTTCATAGTCTGAATAATTTTGATCATAGAAATGTGTTTATGAATTTGTCTTTTATTTTAATTTTCTTGAACTGACTTGTATTCATGAATTTATTTCAAAGATGTGAAAACCAGAAAACCATTTCTGCAGAGTTCAGATTTTTGAATTTGTCGATTTTTCTGTCTCAGGTCCGAGAGGTGCAGCACAGCCTCGTCGGGTCCAGTCCAAGGCTGTTGCTGAGGATGGATGGCCCTCCAGGTGTCTCCTCCCCCGAGCACAACCAGGTCCCTTACTCTCTTCCTTTCTCTCCCTCTCTCTTTTCTCCTCTCCCTCCTCTTCTCTCTCCTATTGCCTCTCCCCCCTTCTTTCCATCTCTCTCTTTTTCTAGCTCTTCTTCTTCTTCTCCTCCTGTCTCTCCTCCTGTCCCTCCTCCTGTCTCTTCCTCTGGTAGTTGCTCTTCTCGTTCTCGTGGCTCCTGTACTCGTCGCCCCTCTCTCTGCTCCTCTCCAGCCAGGTCAAGGAAGAGCCCTGTGGGACCGTCCCACAGCTCCCCCCCCTGCCTGCCCTCGCTGTTGACAGAGGAGGACCAGTGGCCAGGTCTGCAGCCCGAGGACCCGGAGGAGCTCGCCAGGAGGAAGGAGCGGTGGACGGCCCCACTGAGAACCCCTACACCCCCTCCATCCACCATCCCTCCATCCAACCGGCTCATCTCCACTGCTCCTGACACCAAGTGGAAGAGGAAGCTGAAAGCGCTCCTCAAACTCAGGTGCAGGGGGTCCAAGGTGACTCCCAAGAGGACTGCTGGACGGATGGGAAACAACCGTCCAAGAAAGGGTCCTTTTGGGGGTCACGCTGGGCCGTAGTGTAATTAAGCTTTTAAGATAATTAAGATAACTTTAGTTGTTTGTTAAATTATATAAGTTAAGGTAGAATAAGTTTCTTAGTTATGATAAGTTTAGTTATAGTAAGTTAAGTTGTTTAGTTTTGATAAGTTAAGTTAGAATAAGTTAAGTTTTAGTTAAGATAAGTTAGAATAAGTTTGGCTGTTTAGTTAAGAAAAGTTCTGAATACACTGACTGTTCACTGACTGTGCTAACCACCTGCTCTTCTCCAGCTCCGACCTCTCCCCTAAGTATGGCTGAAGCAGAAATTTTAGAAATTGCGTTGTTTTGTAATGTGGCATTAGGTAGCCTCCAGCTCGTCTGCAGCTCCTCTTATCCTCCCCTAAAAAACACGAATCGCTTGCTCCTCTTGCGCTCGCTCTCCTCACATGCTCGCTCCTCTCCCGCTCCTCCACTCGCACTGGCTCCGGAACAAATAAACCTGAATCAATTAAAAGCAGAAAAAAGAACTTCACCTTGGACTCATTAGGCATTACCCTAAAAGTCCCTGGTTGTGTTGTGTGGTTATTTATTTTGATGTTATGTGTTGGGATGTTTTGTGTAGTTGCAGGGTTTTAGTATAATGTCTTGTAATGTGTTGTTTTGTTCCATGAGTTGTGTTGTCATGCATGTGTTTGTGTTGTGATGTCTTGTTTTTTTCACTTAGTGGATAAGTCCATCTAAAAGGTGAGTTTGGTTCCTCCAGAGTGATTTTTCAAGGTTAGTGTAGGACTCTTTTTCATTTTGGTTTTCTTTAGGAAAAGGACCTCAATTAAGAAGAAACCCCCAGAGGAGCCAAGCAGGAGACTGAAGACGCAGGAGGACTCAGCATACCAGAGACAGGCCCATGAAGACAAGATGAATGACGGGGATAGGTACTGAGTGTTTCTGGATATTTGAAGGTAAATAACTCTATCAATACTTAAAAGGTTAATAAGTACAATATGCTGGCTTTTAAGAAAAAAAAATACACATTTTCACAGTAACTGAAGGGCTATAATTCATGTTTGTTTTCAGGTAACTCCAAAGAGTCAAACACCCAAAATGACTCTAGAGGAGCCCAAAGATGACGACCAACCCTGTGATGAACAAGACGACATGGAGAAGTAAAGTAAGTAAAGCTTGATGAATGTGTCCTATATCATCAAACTGTTGTCTTGGTGTGCTGCTCTATTGACCTACTTAAGATGAACTTTTAGTTAGTATGCTATTGTGTAGGTTTACATTAGGCTACATAATTAACACAGAAAAAGTAGCCCTGTGCCTTGTTGAAATATAACCAAACAGTCTTATTCATATAGTTGGTCTCTTTTTATTTACCAATTGCAGCATCATGCCTAGAAAGGAGAGGAGAAGGGAAAAAGAAAGGGAGCTACAGCAGGCAGCCCAGGGGAGCAGCTCTTTACTCTCCTGGATAAAAGCATCCACCAGCAGCAAGGAGGAAGATGAAGATGAAGATAAAAGGTCAGAGTCAAGAGTCATGTTCACTGTTTAGGGCATTTTAAAGCTCAAATTTTGAAGTTGAACTGTTCCTCTAATTTGACTGAAATATCTTATAAGCTGTCTACACAAAGTGGTTTGGTTGTACTAAATTAGGCATTAAGCTATTTTAGCTAATGATATTATTTTGTACCAACAAGTTATTTCCATGTTACAAGACTTGCAGTAATCTTACCTTTATAGGCTATATTCAACCTTAGAAAAATGGACTATTACTAAAACTATTATTATTCTATTCTAGGCAGCTACAGCAGGGAAGCGGTCGACCAACGACCAGCAAAGAAGCTGAGATTGATGAATCTCCAGAGTCATCTAGGGATAAAGACGAGTCCATAGCAGCACCAAGTCTATGCAGTTACAGAATCAGAAGTGCTGTCTGATGACCAAAATGAGGGAGAACAAGAAAGGCATGATGTAGCAGCTGCAAGTGGGAAGGGACGCGAGGTGGTCCACAAATTTCAAGACCCCCCCTCCACCCATATTATTATTATTCACCGTCTTTATTGATATTGAATGTTGTTGTTGTTGTTGTTCTTCTTCTTATTGTTATTATTATTATTATTATTATTGATATTATTCTTCTATTATAATTTTCATTTGCTTGTTTGACAATTGTAATTTTTTTTTCTTCATTATTATTCACATATATGATACACACACCACACACACACACACACAAAACCACAAATGCTGTTGTTTGTTGTATGTCTTGCACTGTCACACTGCACAAAAAAAAAAGTTATTTATTTTATTTTATTTATTTATTTAGAAGTCAGGACATGCATATTAATGAACATGTACAGCAGTACCTGTAAATATGCCAGATTATAGCCCAAGGGCTAATTTCCATCTGAAGTCCTCTAGGCAGGTTGATGTTACATTATAAACAAATGAAAAAAAACATAGAATACAGTACATTTCAAATGAATATATAAAAACAGCATAGATCTATACAACAGTTAAGTTTATTACAAGTGTAAGACAAGAGCAATAAAGTATGTTACAGGTATAAGTTAAGACAGAGCAATAGAAAAGCATGCATTCATAGGTGATGGCAAGTTTGGTTGGCTCTGAGCCAAACCTTCACGTGCTTCTTGAAGGTGGTCAGAGTGGAGCATTCTTTTATCCATGAGGGGAGCGTGTCCCAAATTGTTGTCCCTTTAATAGATAGGGCGTTTTGACTGAAGAAAGTTTTTCTGAAGGGAACCACACAGTCCCTGTTAGTAACGGCTCTGGTAGTCCTGGTCGGTTTATATCTGATAAAGATGTTAAGTGGAGGTGGTGCCAGGCCATGAAGTGCTTTATATATTAAGCACACAGATGAGAATTTACAGTAATTAGGAAAACTCAGCAAATCATATTTTACTAAAATGTTGCAATGATGATAAGAAAATGTTTTTTTGTCCAGAATTTTAAGTGCTAAATATAAATATATTAAAATAAAAACAAAGTTTCAGGTCTGTCTAAATCCACCATAGTGATAGATAATCTATCATTGTAGCTTGTAACTTGCTTAAAACCTCTCCATGTGTGTTCATTCTGAAGAAATAAAACAATTGTGATTGACTGATCAGTGCTATCGTGAGAAACTGTACCAGTTCAAAGGTCAAGTAATTTTACAAAGATATTGACATAGATTAATATCAATTACATTTAACAAGTGCCTGTAATGTTTATTTATCTTTTAAATCTCACACTGCTATAATAAGGCAGCCATCAGTTCTACACACACTGCATAAAGTGCCCTTATTTTTCACTCAGCACCTGCCCCCCAAAATGTCTGTGCACGCCACTGGGTGTGCTGATACAAAATTGTTTTGTGAATCACATTCTAAGTATATGCATGATTATGATCTAAAAATAAGAGTGAAGTGGAAAATTTATGTCAAACCTCCATATTACTTGACTAAATTGAATATTATTTTCATGCAGCTGATATCTTTATTCACATATCCGTTTGAAAGTGGAGTTATGAATCAGTTCTATGTTATGCAAATATCACTGTAGGATAAGATCCATTCTTATCCTATATGATAAGTTTCAGGCTTATCTTAATCTATCATAAGCAGAGCACCTTTGAGCATTTAGAAAATTAAGGTGGCGCAGAAGAAACCTTTGCTCTAAAAGGGCAGAAACCTGGATGAGGCCCAGACCCCTGCTAAACAGCCATAAGAGAGAGACAAACACAAAAGAAAAATGGTTCAAAGCTCCTAAACATCCCCGTGTCTACCAGAGGCTTATCTTGAACACATATAGTTCAAGAGTTAAGTCAATTGTTTTTCTGATTGGAGCAGCTCAAAGGCCACTGGGACACATTGGCCTATAAAACCAATCAGACTATCAGTGATTGTACACAGGTGAACCTAAAATTGTCCTGGCAAGCTGCTGTGATGTTGAAACTACAAACTTTTTCTCTATGTGCATGGTGAATGTAGAAGCTACAACTACAACTCTCCATATATTTGTTCAGTCAACATTTCGCAAAATGGGTTTCCCAAGTGACTCTACAAACAATCCTTAAAAAATCAAATTAAAAAACACCACACAAACAAACAAACAATACTGTAGAGTGCAGTTGGACTCCTGACCCCTCAAGTGCTTCACTAAATTTTTACATTGGAGTATCCAAAACAGGTTATTTTCCTGTTTATAATGTTTCACTTTAAAGAAGCGCAGCATGGAGGAAATATTCAAATCTTCTGAAAAACATGAAGTCCTTAAAGTTGGAGTTTAGCTGTGTGCTGGAGTGTCCAGGTCGCTCTGCAGTCCTCTAAATACTTAGCAGTGTGATTTTTGGGCCAGTTACATCACCAGTTTTAGTTCTGAATCTTGACAAGTCTTCATCAGTGACATGTCAAAGACTTTTCATGAAAAAACCTGAAAGTTAGCTATCATATATCTTTTATTGTCTCATACTGTTCTATTTCAATGATAATATGCCAAATATTTGAGTGTAAGATGGTTGGAATGAAAATCTATTAGTCTTACCATTAAATCTCTGCAATTCATCTTCTTTCTTCAGTTAATGACACCTGATAATGTATGCGATTTGTTTGTTAATAAACTGTTGGGTCTGTTGTCTTCCGGGTCCAGCTGTTTCTCCACGGTGACGTCTCGTGCGTAAACCTCTCTGAATCAGGATTTGTGTCTGTCGCCGGGTGCGGTGGCGCGTGCCTGTAATCCAAGTCCCCGGGAGGCTGAGTCCGGAGGATCGTTTGAGTTCAGGAGCTCTGAGCTGCAGTGGACTATGTCGATCGGGTGTCCGCACTAAGTTCGGTATCGATATGCTGATCTTGGGGGAGCCCGGGACCAGCAGGTTGTCTAAGGAGGGGTGAACCGGCCCAGGTCGGAAACGGAGCAGGTCAAAGCCCTCGTGCCGCTCAGTAGTGGGTTCGCGCCCGTGAATAGACGCTGTAGTCCAGCCTGAGTGATACAGCGAGACTCCGACTTTTTACACTCTGAACACGGACTAACAAACACACACAGGATCAACAACAGAGTTTTCAGCGTTCAAACAGCTTCAGCTCTGACTCTGCAGCTTCATGTCTCTATCTTAACCTGTACAGAGCAGCTGTGTGAGTTTGACCTGCAGCGCCTCCACCTGGAGGACACGAGCAATGACCAGCAGCCACTACATTTCTCCTTAAATATCGTCTTATTGCTTACCAATCAAGAAAATTTTATCTGTTCTGTCAGAATTCGATCAAAAGTTTTCATTTGTGTGACCTCTATGAGAAGAAACTCATAGCCTTTTAGTATTGCATTGTGAACATACCAACAATCTAGCTTCAGACCAGAAGATTCTCTGTTTGATGAACTCTGCTGCTGTCAGAGGAGTCCCATGACTTTAAAGGTACAGTGGGTGATAATTTAAAGCATTTAATGGAACAGACTTGGCAGAAAATAAAGGACCCCAAAATCAAATTTTGCTTAGGGCCCCATTGCGGCCTGGGCTGGCTCTTTATATTTTAAAAAGCACTAAAAACGTTCATGTGTCACTAGAGACTGTTGCTGTTTTTAAGAAGAGGCTCAAGACTCACCTTTTTAACCAGGCTTTTCTCTTATTGCCTTTTTATATTTCTCTTATTGCAAATGTTCATTTAAATCGAAGTTCTTAATGTTTCTTTTATGTCATATTATTTATCTCTGTTCTTAGTCCTTTTCTTAATTCCCGTCATAGAGGTTTTTACTTCTTTTACTCCTTTTACATGGTAAAGAGCTCTAACTTATCTGTTCATTTAATATTATTTTCTTGTTTTAGTCCATCAGGTTTTACTCTTTCTTTTTACCATTTTTATTTTTATCTTTTAACTCCAGTGTTTCCCAGAGGTAGCTCTTTCCTCACATAATGTCACGATATCAGGCCATGTCTCTTTAATGATATATCTTAAATTCTCACACTGTTTGCGCTTGAGTGTGTGTATGTGTGGGTGAGTGAGGGTGAGTGTGTGTCTTTGTGTGTGTATGGGTCCATGGGTGGGAATGTGAGTGGGAGGGTTAGATTTTATTGTGTTTAATTGCTGTTTTTAGTCTCTATGAGGCACTTTGAACTGCATTTTTGTCTGAAAAGTGCCATAAAAATAAAGTTGAATTTGAACTAATTTATGACTTAAATTTTGGTGAGTCATTGTAAGGTAATCGAGGGTGTGCCAACTGCTTATTGTGGGTTATCTGTACATTTAAACCTGATTCATATTCCTCTTTTCTTTATTTTTTGTAAAGGAAAAAGATTGCACTGAAGATGTTGGGGGTTCCAAAACAAATATTGCAGGTTTGACTTTGTAGGGTCAGATTAAACACGGATAAGCAACATATTGTTTACTGAATAACACAAAATAGAAGTCGTTTTATTGAAAAATATTTTGTTGGTAAGAGATTTTAATGAGGAATCTAATAAAAATACAATATTATCAACAAAAATATCAACTAACCTGCTAACTTGAAAATATCGTTACAGCTCTTGTGACCTTTGGACCCTGACGTCATCACGTTACGTCTCCATGTGTGCTTGGCAACCACAGAACCGCTACACCGCTGCCAGTCGATTCCACTCTGTAGATTTAGTCCGCTTTCGCAAATACTTCGAGATTGCCACATTTTTCTCTCTTTATTTGATGCCACATTTAACCACCGCTTGACATTCGTGCGAGATGAAACCGAAGAAGAAACACTTGTTGTTGCTGTGGATGTTCATCTGCTCCGGCATGACGGAGGCGATCGAGCCCATCAGCACCAGCATAGCCGTGGGCATGGCTGCGGCTCTGACCGGATTTCTAGCGAGCTACCAGAACATTTTCTACTACTTCCACGAGTGTTGTCGACCCGAGTGGATCTCCTTTAACAAAACAGGTAACGGTTAAGTGCTTGGTGTTATGGTCAAACAAGTGACCGTGTTATTCAGCGACAGTTAGCTCAATGCAACTTGTCGTAATTACGAAGTCATTTAAACCCTCTTTTTCGTATGCCTTTAGTTTTGCATTAAAGACATGTTAATGAGCACATACCGATATATTAATATAATGAATTATTTTTCTACTACTTCCACGAGTGTGTCGACCCGATTGGGTCTTCTTTATCAAAGCAGTTAAGGGTAAAATGCTTGGTGTTATGGTCAAACAAGTGACCGTGTTATCCAGCGACAGTTAGCTCAATGCAACTTGTCGTAGTTACGAGAGTTATTTGAACTCCCCCTCGCGTACGCCTTTTATTTTTGCGTTAAAGACATGTTAATGAGCACATACCGACATATTAATAAAATGAAATATTTTTGAACTACTTCCACAAGTGTTGTCGACCTGAGTGGGTCTCTTTTAACAAAACAGGTAACGGTGAAGAGCTCGGTGTTATGGTCAAACAAGTGACCGTGTTATCCGGCGACAGTTAGCGCAATGCAACTTTCTGAGTTACGAGAGTTATTCAAACTCCCCCTCGCGTATGCCTTTTAGTTTTGGTTTAAAGACGCGTTAATGGGTATAAATCAATATTTTATTGAAATTAATTATGATGCATTTCCAAGGACTCTGTTTTTCGATAGCTTTTCGTACCCACGACAACCTCTGAAAAGCTCTTCTGAGAGTCGCCAGTTAACACGGTCACAGTTTGAAGCGTAACACCTCAAGCTAGAGCACTTTATGTTCTCTAAAGACATGTTAATGGGTATTAATCGGCATTTTGATTGAATAGATTATGATACATTTCAGAGGACTCTGTTTTGCGATAGCTTTGTAACTACGACAACCACTGAATATTTCTGCTAAGAGTCCCCAGATAACACGGTCACAGTTTGAACCGAAACACCCGACAACCTCAAGCTTGAACACTAGACTTCTCTTCCTTTATTTGCTTTTTATTCGACGATGTTCTTAGATGCTTTATTATTTTCAGAGTAATTAAATATCCTTTTCTTGTTTCCTTGTAACTTTAATACTCCCTAACAATTGTTACACCCCCCGTCAAACTTGGCAAACGTTTCTCCTGATGTTTTGAATCTTGTCGCGTGTTTATGACGAATCAGGAAGTTCCACGAGTTAGTAATTAAGCTAACCGCCTGATGTAGCGCGGTTCACTGGTGTGTTGTCTTGCAATCTAAAAAACGACCGATGTAGTCGGTTTAATAGTTTCTACAATGAAAACGGCGCACTTGTATGTATCGTTGCACGTTTTTCTATCCGCCAGTGTGCTGGTGAGCGCATTTGATCCGATCACAACAACAGTGGTTTTGGGTATCGGTGCCACACTGGGTCGGACGATCTACAATTATTTACACGAAAGTTGTGAACCAAAATGGATAGCCTACAATGCAACAGGTGAGCGTGGATTTCCCAAGTGTTTAGTAATGTGTACAGAAAGTAGAGCGTATTTTAACGTTGGCAGTTGGCAAGAAATCAGACGTGTTTCCGTGTTTATTTCTCATTATCATTCGCTTTATGAACAAAAACAAAGGTTGGCCTCACGGGCACCCGTTAATTCTTTAAAACAAAAACAAAACAACAACAAAAAAGGGGAATTAAGAGCTGCAAATGATATTTGTTAAGACGATAGTTTAAACTCAAATTAACAACATTATCAGGTTTCACTTTTACTGGCGTTAACCATCGAGCAAGGTGAAAATCCTTGATGTAAATTACTTTACCAAAGAAACAAACGCTCGATGGTAAACTGATAAAACAATAAAAAGACTGAACAAAAATGATAACCTACAGCGTATTGTGTGTGCATATGGTGAAGAAAAGTGAAATAAGACTACAGGAAAACTGTTTTAAATGCCCAGGATCCTCGGCTTAAAAGGGATATTCCGGCGTAAAATTGATTTAGGGTCAAACACACCGTCGAGAGATGAATATTGCCAACCGCTTGCTTTTCTAGTTATACCAACTTTAGTAACGACCGCACGATAGCAATACACAGCGGTCTGAGGAGCCACACACAAACCTCAACGATAGAGCCACTCTATAGCCACAAATAATGCTCAGAACAGAACCTAACTTCATCAACAGTACATAGAGGGTCCCAGCCATAGTACTAGCCACCAAACATCTTTTTAACTTTGCCTAATTTCTTTAGCAAAGAGACTGAACGCAACTCACCTTCTCTCTTCAGCAGCCGCATGTTTGTAGGGAGACCTCAGGCCAGTCCATAACGGACTGCTGCGGGGTGATGCAGCTCAAGGAAGAACATTTATGATTAACACTTAATGGAAATGCAATTAGACTGAGACGCTTAGGCAGAAGAACTACCACGTCTGCAGTGCAAAATGACTAATATGGAAATGATAAAATAATGATCATAAATGTTCTTCCTTGAGCTGTGTCACCCCGCAACAGTCCCTAATGAACTGGCTGCTACAAACAAGTGGCTGCTGGAAGAGAGTAGGTGGGTTGTGTTTAGTCTCTCTGCTAAAGGAATTAGGCAAAGCTAAAAAGATGTTTGGTGGCTCGTACAATGGCTGGGACCCTCTATGTACTGTTGATGAAGTTAGGTGCTGTTCTGAGCATTATTTGTGGCTATAGAGTGGTGTTTTGGTTGAGGTTTGTGCGTGGAGACGTAGACCGCTGTGTATTGCTATCCTGCGGTTGTTACTAAAGTTGGTATAATTAGAGAAGCAAGCGGTCGGCAACATTCATCTCTCGACGGGGTGTCTAACTCGGTGTTACGGTGCATTTGATCCCAACTTAATTTTACGCAGGAATATCCCTTAAACAAGTGTATTTACTTGAGAAAAGAACTCTGCCCTGTTTTTCTGGTTGTTTAATTTAAGGAGATTGAAAGGAGGCACCGTCACCTCACTCATCTCACCGACCTTTCTTCCTTGTACCCTTTGTAGGTCTGCAGGTCGACCTGGAGAGAAAACTATTCGGACAGCACATTGCCTCACGCATCATCCTGAAAGCCGTGACTGGATTCATGAGCAACGATAACCCGAGGAAGCCCCTGGTGCTCTCTCTGCACGGCTGGACCGGCACAGGGAAGAACTTTGTCAGTCAGTTGATTGCTGAGAACATCTACAAAGAGGGGATGGACAGCAACTTTGTTCACATCTTTACATCTGAGCTCCACTTCCCTCACGCTAGTCAGCTGGAGACCTATAAGGTCCGTACACAGAATCAGATCGACTTAGATATGCAGAGTGGGACTCTTTTCTGTCTTTAATACTCATGTGTTACTGTTTTTCATCAGTCTCAGCTCCAGCAGTGGATCAAGGGTAATGTAACCAACTGTGCTCACTCCATGTTCATCTTTGATGAGATGGACAAGATGCACCCTGGCCTGATCGATGGCATAAAACCCTACCTGGACTACTACGACAAGCTGGATGGAGTTTCTTACAGGAAAGCCATATTCATCTTCCTCAGGTAAGAAGTGAAAGAATTCGAGTCTGGCAGAATTCTTTGTTAAAACTAAAATGTTGATAATCTTAGCCTATAGATAAAAAACTAGGTTGGTTTAAAACTTTATTTTAAAGGTTAGAAAAAAAGAGAAGAAGACTTTGCAACAGAGAAAATAGTTGTATTCAGTGAAAATCCTAAAGCTAAAGATGTTTTCCAACACCAGGTTAAATTTCGTGTACACATCTGATGTGAAGTTAGCTGTCTCCAACACTGAGTTGCTTCAAGTTTGCAGGACTTATTTTTTATTTAAACTAAATGCGACTCAGGCCAGCATCCTGAGGTGCCCCGACTGTCAGCTGTTTTTTGTTGTTGCACTTTCATCCCTCTGTGGAAAACAGCGCTGCACTTGTTGATATTCATCACTGACCAATCAAAGCCAAGGAGAGCAGTAAAAAGAAGTAGCATTAAAGCATCTTGTAAACCTTACCTATACATACTTTTGCATTGATTGACTTTCTTGAAGTTTTCTAACAAAGGGTGCTGGTTCAGCTTAGCGGTTATGCCTACCTCATGTCTAGAAGCTAAGGTCCTTAAAGCAGGCGGCCTGGGATCAAATCTGACCTGGGACGACCCTTTGTCACATGACATATCCCCCTGCTTTCCTTTTTCCTAGTCGCAGCTCTAGCATGACCCAACCTCATTGCTTCTTTTTCCAATTGTCTTCATAGCAACGCTGGAGGAGAGAGCATCATACAAACAGCTCTAAACTTCTGGAAAGGAGGACGAGATCGAGAGGAGATCGAGCTCAGAGACCTGGAAACCGAGCTTTCTCTTGCAGTGTTCAACAACAAGAAAAGTGAGTTGAAATGAAGTCAGTGCCATCTTTTCGGAGTCAATGTCACTCAGAAACTAGACCTGATATTTCTTATTTCTCCTCCTGAAGGTGGCTTGTGGCACACCAGTTTGATCGACAAGAACCTGGTGGACTTCTTCGTCCCATTCCTGCCTCTGGAGTTCCGACACATCGTGCAGTGCGCCATGGCCGAGATGAAAGCCAGAGGACTAAAACCGGACCAGAGCGTGGCAGAGCAAGTGGCCGAAGATGTGGTCTACTTCCCCAAAGCTGAGAGAGTGTTCTCTGTAAAAGGCTGCAAGACGATAGAGAGCAAGTTGGACTATTACGCATAATGCCACAAAAACCCGATGGATGCCACAGTCGAACCCTATGTGCACTTTTTGAAATCGTCATCTCCAGCTCGATGACTAAAGAGGAAATTAAAACTGAACTCTAAAGAGCTCTCCACTGAGGTTTTATCTTTGTGACACTGAGAACAGGTGGAGGATGTCAGCAGGCTTTCAGAGACTCTGGATCTCGCTTACACTGAATGAAGAGGCTGATAGAAGAGCGCGGCGTCAGTCCAATGAAAAAGAAATAAGACTGGAAATGCTATCCTGTGAGACTGATTAAGAGGCTCTCATGAGACAGCACAAAGAGAGTCTGAGATGGTTTTGTTCTCCTGAGAGGTGTCCTTCCAGCAGGGAAACTCAATCTCAATGTCCATGTGCATTTGTTTTCCCAATCAGAGATGTGACCATTGAGGGATATTGTGCTTTCTTTAGAAGAAAAAAAATCCTTTTTGTGAATTACAAAGATATTTATTAAGGAATAACAACAACATTTCTATGGAAAAAATGAAATCAGCAATAGCATCATCCACCCGGTCAGAACGAGCTTTATGTTCAACCAACAGCCAAGTCTTAGTGGGCTTCCACAACCCCAATACCGTTACTTTTTTTTCCTCAAGTCAATGCTGAAGACCTCTGTAGAAAACTGTAAACACTCTGCCTTAATCTTTATCTTTTTTTTGTTTTTATAAATCAGAGGTCTTAACATGTGTCCATCGTAAATAAATAGTTGTAGTCATAGTTGCATGATGCTGATTGCCGTGTTTCAGTGTCGTAACCACATGAGAATTTTACACATTTGGATGATATACTGGGATTTAAAAAAAATATATGGCAGAAGGTCTGGGAACTGGAAAAAAAATTACAGATTGAATTTTTCTAATTGACTTTTTTCACAAAAAATTCTGAATTTTGACTTTTTCTCTGAATTTCAAGATCAAAGTCAGAATTTCTGGATCAAAGCTGGAATTCTGGCTTTAAATTCCAAAGTCTGGGGGAAAAAATAAGAGTTAAAAAATTGGGACTTTTTTGGTGGGCCTAATTTCCTTCAGTAACAAAATGATGGCAAATATTAAAGCAAAAATTAGAAAAAAAAATTTGTAAGATGATGCAAATGCATTTTTAGGAAGTATTGATACCAAAGGAATGTTGAGTAAGGTTTTAATAAAAAAATGTTTTGATCTGTTAAAAAAAATTACCCACCAGCAGCTATTTTTAAAAAAAGTGTTGTTGATTTTAGTGATAAAGGATTCTGACTGCCCTACTCGGTTAATATGTAATGCGACGGTCAACAGGAGCTTTTCTTGTTTTCCTTTAAGTGCATTATTTTTTTTTATTTTTAGTTTATATGTCACATTTAATCTCCTGTGAGAACTTTGGAGTTTGGTCAAACTTGGTGCCACCTCTGGGCAAGGAAGGAAATAAGATGTGATTTCTGTTGCACATAGCCCAGTGAATATTTGGTATGGTAATTTTCAAAAGCCTTGTCTGGTAGCTACCCTGCGGCAGACATTACAGGCATATGAAACATCTCTATAGAAACAATCAGACTCCTCTCTGATGGTCTTGTTTGCTCTTGTTGCTCAAACAGAAACATCAGTATCATTTTCAGTCGGTTTCAATACTGGCTAAAAAATCCTCACAGGAGCTTTAAAGAGATTCATCTGTGTGGTATAAGTTTTACTGTCATTTTCCATGGATATAGTTGTTCTTCAAGTGAGGGATCACCTCGTATTAACTTGACTGTAGCTGCATTTGGACACTCACGATAATATCCTCTCAACACTTTCAAATGAAATTTTACCTTATTTTCAAATGTAGAAAAATGTGGTTGTATCAGCTGACAGAGTTGTGGGTCATACAGTCAGTTCTCTTTGGATCGTACTTTTTCCAAAACACTGTCCGACACCATGTTTCAAGTCTTTTGTAAATCTTTGTCACAGGAAGCGTTTACTTGTTTTTCAGTATCTGACATTTTTGAAATCACAAACTCTTCAGCGGGCGCCTTCTCAGCTGTAAACACAACATAAAAAAACACAAAATAAAACTTTACATTTTTCTTCTGGTGTCACTTTTACTGATACACGTCTGATTGAAAGGAAGAAAAACAAAACGTCTGAATTTAAACAGGGACAGTTTTATAGAGGATGGATCTTAATGTGCTGGTTCTGAGAGAGATGGACCCTGAAAATACTTTTGTCTTGCACCTCGTGGGTGTCACTCTGTTTAATCTATCAGGCAACTTTTTAATTATAGTCTACTTTTTTCCGCCCAAGTACCCGCATTAAAAATAAAAATACACTTCTTAAAGCTCCTATGGGGAACTTATCATTTGGGTGAATTTTGGCGCCCCCTGTGGACAAAGCAGTCTTTATCTTATCCTCACCATCCTGAATCCTGTTCAGGCACCACCAACTAGGATATAAACTGATGCTCACGTCAGCTTTTGGATATTAGAACAAGCTGGAAATGTACATTTTACTCTCTTTCATTAACATAAAAAAATTCCCCATAGATGCTTTAAAAAGCATTGAAAATACGGGGCAGATTTTAAAACGAATTAACAACAAAGCTGCTCACAGGGTCTGCTTGTTTTAGGATATCTAAGTGGAAATAACCTTTTTGCCTTTTGAGACACTTGCTCGCAGCGTCATTAATCATTTAGTACCCATAAAGCATGGGACCATAAAAACAAACCAAATTTACTGTATATACCAGACTGCTAGATGTCCAGTTCACACAGTGTTTATCAAGAGCTGCACTGAATGTGTGGAAACTTTATCAAGAGATCTTAAACGTAGACATAAGTCTAGAACCGCTGCTGAAATTTGATGAAATACTTGTGCAACAAACAAACAGCTTGCAAAACACCGCTGTGCAAAGAGCAGTTTGAGGTCCAAGGCTTGCGTGGTTGATGCATAAATAAGCCCGTTTTTACGTGCAAATAAAAGTATCACAGCAGAACTGCACAAAAACAAGTCGAGGCTGAAGGGAAATAATCAGAAAGCTGTCATTTTTAAAAGTCAAAAGAATTTAAGTTGTTGATTTATTTTGTATTTTTACAGTTTTCTGAGTATATCTAAATACACTATCACGGTAAAACACAACATGCAGATAAAGTAGTCCAGTGGTTCTCAAGTCGAGTCCTCGAGGCCCACTGTCCTGCATGTTTTGGATGTTTCCCTGCTCCAACACACCTGATTCAAATGATCAGCTCGTTAAGCCATTCCAGAGCTTGATAACGAGCTGATCATTTGAATCAGGTGTGTTGCAGCAGAGAAACATCAAAAACATGCAGGTCAGTGGGCCTCGAGGACTGGACTTGAGAATCACTGACCTAAAGCATGTACAAATCTTTTCCCTTGACTTGCTCTCTCTGCAATCAGCATTACACGGACATCGCTATGACGTCTGTAAAGGCAAATCTCGATTTTTTATCTAATTTAATCAGCTGACAGGAGGAATCTGAAACAAGGCCATGCAACAGTTAGCCTTGGCATCATTCCCTCCTGCCTTTTATTGTGTAAATCTCTGTAAACCAAAACAGCCATGACCTGGCAAGACATGGACTCTACATTGAAAAGCGTGCTATTATTAGACTGCACAAATAAGCCATGAATTAACTGTGGGGGGCAGTTTAATCACTCAAGATACGATAAGGATCTGTGCTGCAGTTTGATGAGCGTATAGCTGGCTTCACTGCGATTGTAGGAACTTTTATTTACGAGTATTTAAACAAAAAGTCGACAGAAATACCAAATTATCTGAAGTCAAATCAAGTTTATTTATATCACATTTTACATGACATCACCGCTTTATTTTCCTTAAATCCTCATTCCGTCACAAAAGCTCCTTTGTCAAGTGCAGCGTCGATGATCTTTCCTCCGTTCTGGTGATTTGAAGGCCGTTGTTTGTAGCATCTTTGTATTGTTTGATGTAATCAACGCTCCTTGTATAAAATTAGAGGTATCAGGCACAGTCTGTATAAAGGTCAAGAGTCTTATACGAGCAGAACTGCGTTAATGCAGCCGTCGTTCTCAGGGTTATTCGTCACCTGAGCGTATTTACCTGGAGGGAAAGAGGGAGCTCAGTTACAACACGATCACATCTCCAAGTCATTTCCAGTATCAAACAGGGTTATTTCTGTCTAAAATGTTAAACTAGATGTGCAATAAATAATTTTTTTTCTAGATTATTCATAAGAGTTAGGAAACAGAGTGAAAAATAAAGTGAAGACTCACCCCAGATAACCTTTCCTCCTTGTGTGACTAAGCCCAGCTCGCTGACGTTTACCTCGACAACTGTTCCTTTTGTGATGACTCCCAGAGAGGTGTAGAGAGGTGAGGAGGGGTTCTTCTTCACTCCCAGGATGGGGAGGCAGAATGTGGCTTTCAGCTCTGGATGTGTGACGTGAGCTTTCTTAAAACGCAAACCCTAGAATGTAGATAAAAGAGGGACATGTTATGTAGGAGTTAATAGAGCTACAGAGTTCCTGACTGCGTATCGGGATGCTATGGATTCTGCAATCTTACCATGGGTCTGATGAATCGCTCATACTTAGGAGGTTTCCGAGTGAAGCCGTCACCGACGAAGCAAACTTTGGTGACCATTCTCTTCCAGGCTTTCTTCTGCCTCTTTCCGGTCTTGATGACTTTGAGCACCTCAGTCTCACCCTGTGCTCGCACCTTGGGCAGCGGTACCTCCCATTTTCCCTACAGTGGACACACACATTGATTATGTTCATGCCCTCACCTTGAAAATAATAAATGGCATGCACGTTTCATATTTATGTGTGATTGCTAAAATTTCACTGGGCACTTACAGCCTTCTCTTTCCTCTTCTGTTTGATCATGTTGGAGAGGACCTTCGCACGAGACTGTCCCTCTCTGTCCAGCAGGTAAGCCGGCACTGCTCCCTCTGGGGTCTTATCATCGTTCTTCTGCTTGGTCTTTCTCTGTTCGTGCATTTTGATCCTGCAAAGCAACATGGCAGCAAAGAAACATGTTCAGACCGGGGTTGTTGTCACTTAAAGGTGGGGTAGTCATGATTCTGTTTAAGAAGCATCTTTTTTGGGGGCGTCAAGAAAAAAAAGATTTTAATATCAGTCAGTAGCCATTAGTTATTGATAAAATTTGGGAATATAATGATATCCTGTGTTTTGTTTTGTCTGTGTAGTCAACATTTTAAATTTTTTGAGCGGCCCACTCTTTCTGACTGTAAACAAAGCCGTTCTCCGCCTCCCCGACTTGACTGGTTGTGAAGCAGACTCTGCTCCCTCGTGTCGTGAGGCAAGCTCCATGTCCTCCAATAACGTTCACGAGCCCAAACACAGTTAGCGTGCTACAATATCGGACTGTAGAAACCAACCAGGAAGTACGGAAAACACAAGCAATAAGACAAAGCAAATACTGGAGACTCTGGTGGAATAATGGGCGCTTCAAACGGATGTAGACCGGACAAGAGCTAAAGGTCCTTTCACACTGGGACCGTTTTTATCGTTACATTATTTCGGAAGTCAATATTTTTTTCTTGAACCCGTATCCTGTCAATACAAGCGTTAACATCAGCGACGTTTTCCCGTCCTGCGATATTGCGGCATTTATTTTTTCGGATCAAGGTCGATTTTTTCTCAAGTTTCGCATTCTGTGTGTCCACTTCTGACCAATCCGATAGCCTGTTGTTGCGACGTCTGATTCACGGGTATATCCAACATATGCTGACAAAATTCGCCTCAGAATATTTTGTGATTTCGCGTTCTATATTCATGTCGGCCCAGGTGTGAAAGGACCTTAAGAAGCCGGATCAACATCAGCATACATGATGGGGGACGCTTCGGGTTCTTACAGACCCTGTTACTTTTCTGCTGGATGGGTAAACTGCTTTAACAAAGTTAGCCAAGTGTCTGTAACAGAAGAGTTTCTTATCAAATGGGACCTGCTGCGTGTTGTAGTGCTGCTAAACTGTTTATCTCGGGTCCATGACTTTCATGTTGACTGGGCCCCATTTGTAATTATTTGAAGTTTTAATCTGCATTATATCTGAATTTAATAGAAATGATACAAGCGCGTAGGAGCGTCTGTTTGTGGGCGGGGCTTGCTGGAGCAGAGAGGGAGGGGAGAGGAGGAGCTGAGGGGAAAACTGGTTGGGAGGGGTAGTGTTTACATTCTAGATATGGCACTTCCTCAGATCTTGCCTCCTCCACCTTTAATTGTAGAAATCAGAGAACCCTTTACTCACGTCTTCTTCATCTGGATCTTCTCAGTATGTCTCTGTTTGTGGTAGAGCTTGGCCTTCAGTCCGATCATCTTCCTGGCTTTGTGGGAGCGCTCGTGGGCCTCACGGCTCTCCTTCTTCCTTTTCCTTTCATGGTGGTCCAGGCGGTAGCCGTGCCGCTTGCGGTGTAACTCAATATGCTCGTTCTGAGGCTACAAAAGCAAAAGAAAATGTGATGGCTGTTATATAATGCAGATATCACCTTATATTATTGTTTATACATATACAACAAATACAACAATGTAATAGCACTAAGAAAACAATCACAAAATTGCTGAATTTTTTCGAGTATTTAATCAAAGTGTGATATATACGCTTGTCCTGGCCCTATGTTTTGGATGAATTTTAATGAATCAATATAAATACACAGCTAGATTGCTAATTTTGATGTCAATATTAAAGATTACAGTACAACATTAAAACACAAGTCAATGACTGTTTTGTATCCCCAAAGCTTTATTCCTGTTGTACTCATGTCACTGAAGGTAAAAATATGAGTCCAAACACCAACAACACGACCCTGGCAGAGCAGCCCGTCACTCCGCCACATGTACACCGAAGCTAATGCTAACGCCATATGCTAAGCTGTTAAAACACCCGATTAGAGTCAAATAATGAAATAAAATCTGTTTCCCCGCTTACCATTTTGTGCTGGTTGGGTTGAGTATCACGGTGAATGCGTCGAAGGTGGTAACAGCTGGTTAGGACGCACAATATTCGGTGTTTTCGCTTGAGGCTGGGGTACTTTCGATGTTATTTTCCCCGTTGCCGATACTTAGAGGAAGTACGTCATCACGATGCACGCACTTGTCCGTTGTTGCTTTGACTCCACAACAGTTACCATAAAATTCAGGTCTTATTTGATCAATATATTTTTACCCATATGAATTAAATTTATATTGATGTTTTATTTTATACACGGATAAAACATTAAGAAAAAAATAAACTGATAAACTCGATTTCTTCTCCCTAGTGTTCCGCATTCAAAAGTGACCGTTTCAACTGGCGACTTTCAGCCAGTGCATTGGTGCTTTTCGTACTGAATGCAGTTCTTAATTTATTAAATCAGTCCTCGCGAATATATTGTAGGGTTATTCAATCAACAATATCACATTGTACTAATTAAATGTGTATGTAACGACAACCTGAGGGTTTTCGTGAAGGAGTTTTCAATAGCTGAGAAACAAAGCTGAAGTCTGCCAGTATACGCCAGTTGACACGGTCACATTTTCATTCGGAACATTAAGAACATAAGCTTCAGGCGCTTGTTTCTCGGGAAGTATTTTGGACATGTACCTTATGAAAGCGTGACATTTGACAGCTTGTGAGATTTCCTTATTTTGAAGGGCATTTTAAAGCTCAAGTATCGCATAAATCGGTATTTTTCTTTTGGTCAGAGCTGCGATGCTTCTTATCTTTGATTTAAGAATAATAAGATGATATTTCAACCTCTGGGCTGACAGACAGCAGTGTGTCCGGCTAAGATGTTTCAGAAAAGAGCTGGACTTACTGTAACTGAGAAGCTTGGAGGATAAACATTTATTAGGATGTCTGTTGGAGCTTCTTGGACATTTAGCAGGATGATTTGGGTAAGATTCAACCTATGTCCAATAGCCAAACTGAGTGCAGCTAAAAATGTGTTAAATTTGTAACATTGTTGTTGCCTTTTACAGGGGAGGTATTTAACTGCTGGACTCCAGTGCTGCAGGTGTAGAGTGAACTGGCATGTTAAACGACATTACAGCTTTCTTCCAGGTGTGTTGGTTTTTTAAAATCTGATCCTCAAGACTAGACACAATTCAAGCAACAGAAAACCACAACCCCCAAAAGTTAGGACACTGTGTGAACTGTGTATAAAAACAGGCATGTTAACGGTTTACTTATCTCACCAGGATTTCCGGGTCATATTTAGATATGGTCTGCATGGTACAGTTTTAGTTTGCATTTGTGGGTAAAGCAACAAACTGCATTCTTGGACCACACATATTGAGCCCATGCAGTGATTTCCACTACAGAGTCATGTCTGTTTTAGTTTCTACCTGGCCTCATCCTTAAGCTTGGGTTTTACTTCTGTTTATGATTCTCCTAAGTTTCAGGTGATTATAACTCATATTTTTTAATCTAATGAAGAACACGTGAAAAAGAAGGTCACACTGAGACTAAAAACACATACGTAAAAATGAAATATATCAATAAAATATTTTTTGTCTTTGCTTGCCGTATTTAGTGACATAAATAGAATATGTAACACATTGCATCTCATATTTAATGAGATTTTCATGATAAAACTTGATGTGTATGTTCTAGATGATATCAAATCATTGCGCTCTGTGGTCAGCCCTGATATTTCCAAGTAAGTAATCACATTCTTAATGCACTCACTGCTTTGAAATGCTACTTAAATTTAGCTGTGTGCATAACATTTAAGGTTTTTTGTTTCTGCAGGATCAGGAATATCGGCATCATGGCGCACATTGATGCAGGAAAGACGACAACCACCGAGAGGATGCTTTATTACTCTGGTTATATCAGAGCACTAGGGGGTGAGTATTTATCTAAATAAAACACCTTCATTACTTACAAACTAGCTGTCCATTTTACAGTCTTTTTAATTCATTGAATTGTTTCTTGCAGATGTGGACGATGGAGATACAGTCACAGATTTCATGGCTCAAGAACGGGAGCGGGGCATCACCATACAGTCAGCAGCCGTCACTTTTGATTGGAAAAGTCACAGAATAAACCTGATAGACACCCCAGGTAGAAGCAGCACCTTTGTGGGAATGAAATATTCCAGTGTAAGTTTAAAGGGGAGACCACATGAATATGTCTGCCTGTGTGTATGTGTGTGATTACAGGACATGTCGACTTCACTCTGGAGGTAGAGAGAGCTCTGCGAGTTCTTGACGGGGCTGTCGCAGTGTTCGATGCTTCGGCGGGTGTTGAGGTGAGATCACGGCTCTCAAACTGCTACTTTATAAAACCAAAATCTGAGTGTGACTGTTACATGTGATATTGCACTTTCATGGTGCAGTAAAACATCACAGTTAACACACTATCATGATGTTTAAGGAAAACCTTAAAATAAAAACCCTATCAAGGTAGACAAGGGTAGAGCAACACACTACCTTTAAAACTTATACAATTAACTTGCAGGCATGAGGAAGTTGTTTTGTTGTGTTGTAGATTATGAGCTCTAGTCTAAAACATTTCCCTTTTTTACCTTCAAAACCACCAACAGGCTCAGACTCTGACTGTGTGGAGACAAGCAGAAAAGCACCATGTTCCCTGTGTGTGTTTCCTGAACAAGATGGATAAACCCACCGCAAAGTGAGTCACCAAAAAGTCAAATAATATACAAGATATATATATATTTTTTTTTTAATTATCTGCTTTTGCATTTTTTTCCATGTTTCTCTCAGTTTAAATTTTTCCATAGAGAGCATAAAGCGGAAGCTGAGAGCAAATCCCGTCCTCCTGCAGGTAAACCAACACTTATAATCTAAAGCAGGGGTGGGCAATTAATTTTTACATGGGGCCACATGAGAAACCTGAACTGTGTTGGAGGGCCGAACCAACAATAACTTCAACTTCAGATCAGGAGGGTTCACATATACAGAACAGCAAGCCCAAAAGAAGCGCACCCACGACTCGTGAGTTTTACAAGCGACTTTTGAGAGAAACAAGCCTAAAGTCGTTTAAAATAAGCGGACTTGGCAACTATAAGGCATCTATGTATATTTTGCCGACGTTTAAACTTGTCTCTGTTCATGAATGCAGATCTAGGATGTACGCACGTGTGTCCAAACGGAAATAAAACAATGGCTAGGTTTTCAAAATAAAAGCAACACACTTGCATGTTGATGATTTGATTGACGGACCTCACGAAGGGCTGGGCAGGGACATCCAAAGGGCCGGATGTAGCCCTCAGACCGTAAAATGCCCAGGTCTGATCTAAAGGATAAGAGAGGGTGACTAGTGGCAAAGTTGTGACTGTTGATTGACAAACATGGTGCATTAATAAGACTATTATAAATCGTAATAATTCACTTTATAGATTCCTGTTGGCAGTGGCAAAACCTTCTCAGGTGTGGTTGACTTGCTAACCAACCAGAAGCTCATATGGAGGCAAAGATCAGTGGAAGATGATGGACGAACATTTGACAGCAAACCTCTGGACCCCTCAGATGATCCTGGACTCTTGCAGGAGGTCTCTGAGGCGAGGGTGGCTTTAATCGAGCAGGTATGCAGCAGAATAATCCCAGAAAAGTGGGAATTTCAAATGCAGGATTTTCACATTTTTCCAGGTTTCAACTTCAGTTTTCATTCCCAGGTTGCTGATCTGGATGATGAGTTTGCTGAGCTGCTCCTGACAGACTTCAGTGACAACTTTGATGCTGTCCCCGCCAACAAAGTAAGTGATTTATCCCATGATGCCACAACAAAGTCTTCAGAGGATATCTTGTGAATGTAAAGTGAATTGAGCCGGTGTGTCTCCAGCTACAGGAAGCTGTACGGCGGGTGACTCTGGCGCGTAAAGGCGTCCCGGTTCTCTGTGGGAGCTCTTTGAGGAATAAAGGAGTTCAGCCTCTTTTAGACGCCATCAACTCGTACCTGCCTGCGCCCAACGAGCGACACCACGACCTGGTGTGAGTAACCTACAGCCGGCTCTGATTTAAAGTGTCATGGCACTTTGTTAACCATAAGCTTTTTTTTCTTTTAATTCCTCAATCTGCAGGCGGTGGTACAAGGACGACTTGTGTGCTCTGGCCTTCAAGGTCCTCCATGACAAGCAGCGAGGTCCTCTGGTCTTTTTGAGGATTTACTCTGGCACTCTGAAACCACAGACCGCTGTCCACAATATCAACAGGAACAGCATGTACGTGCTTTAATGTCATATCTTTAAATGCCCACTAGAGTTGTCAGTGTGATGATTTTTCGCATTATTTTTGTTTTCAGTGAGCGGATGAGCAGGCTGCTGGTGCCGTTCGCTGACCAATATGTAGAGATCCCCTCCATGACGGCAGGAAACATCGCTCTGACTGTCGGACTGAAGCAGGTAGAGCATCACGCTCCTGTTTTCTCATTTTTAAGAGTTCTCCTTTGAGAGTTTACATTTTTTCTCAACTCTGACTCAAGGCGGTCACAGGCGACACCATCGTTTCATCAAAGGCGTCTGCGGCAGCGGCAGCCCGTCGAGCTCAGAAGGACAGTGGAGCAGCAAAGAAAAAAGGAGAGCAAGCCAGTGTGATCCTCTCAGGGGTGGAGGTCCCTGATCCGGTCTTCTTCTGCACTATTGAACCTCCAACTATGGCCAAACAGGCTGGTCAGTCACAGCGATCATCATTTTGCATAATTCTCAGCAGCTTTCTCATCACTCATGCTCCTTTTCTCCTTAAAAGATCTGGAGAACGCCCTCAAGTGCCTCCAGAGAGAAGACCCCAGCCTTAAAGTGCGGGTTGACCCTGATTCCGGTCAGGTAAGACCATCATTGGATTAGTCAGGACTTTCTCCAGGGAGATCAGAGCTACAGTGAGTCAACTACATGTGCTCTGCTCTCTGTCTTTAAGACTATTTTATGTGGGATGGGAGAGCTGCACATCGAGATCATCCACGATCGCATCAGGAGAGAGTACGGCATCGAAACTCATCTTGGACCACTGCAGGTGGCCTACAGGGAGACTATCCTTCAGGAGGTCTCGACTACAGGTACAGACATTTCACTGAGGTTATAGATGTTTGCAGGATTCATCTGAAGTCTCACTTTCCTGACGTAGACATGCTGGACCGTACTGTTGGAGAAAGAAGGAATGTTGTGACCGTGGAGCTGACCGTCAGACCTGTGGACGTGTCTTCTGTGGGGGGTCCATGTGAAATGGGTTTCACAGAGGCGCTGGGAGAACAGCTTTCTCCAGAAATAAAAGAGGCAGTGGAGAATGGAGTAAATGGTTCATATCTACAAGGTACAACCAGATAAAACTCATTTCTTCTTCTGCTGACTTCAAGGAGTCACCAGGCCTAATTGTTTGCATTCATACTTTCACCTTCAGGTCCACTGTTGGGTTATCCTTTGCTGGGTGTGTCCACGCTTGTCCAAAGTGTGAAAATGGAACCGGGGACGTCCCCCGCCATGGTCTCCGCCTGTTCATCTCGCTGCATGCTCAAGGTAACCCTTCACAGCTTTCTGTTTCTTGACAGCAAACTTGCAGGATGATCAGTAGATCAAGCGAAAAGTTGTGTTTCTGTGGACACAGGCCCTGAAGCTCGCAGGAGGTCAGGTTCTGGAGCCCATGATGTCCCTCGAGGTGACTGTCGGGGAGGAGCACCTGAGCACTGTGCTGGGGGACTTAGCTCAAAGACGAGGGACTGTCAGAGATATCCAGAGCCGACATGACGACAAGGTGCTGCTGGGGACCGTGCCGCTGGCAGAAATGATGGTAAGAAACATCTGATTCAACAGGTTTGTCGAGTTTCAGGTTAACCTGATAAGCACTTGATAGAGACGCCTGTTTTTCTTCCCCTTCTTAAGGGCTATTCCACGATTCTGCGAACGCTAACTTCTGGTAACGCCACCTTCTCCCTGGAGCTGGATACGTATGAGGCCATGAACCCTCAGGACCAGAACACACTTCTTAAACGGATGGGTGGTCTGATGTGATCTCCTGTTCAACACTGTGGAGACATGAATGGACTTCTGAAACGGAAGCATGGCTGACACCCAAACAGACCTCCCCAAGATGTCTAAACTTGAGGACAGAAAACTAGCCCCGGGTAAAATTGTATTTGTTATATGAATATCGGTAAGCAAGAAAATGATGTACCTTATTCATAGCTAGCTGCGAAATAAACTTGTAGCTTGATATTACTCGTCATGTAAGTATGTGTGTGTTAGTAAAGTTGAGTTATACAGCACCAAAACTGCAGGGCGTCTGCAACAGCAATCCAGAGAAAACTACGAGATGAGGGAGCTCTGACTCTCAGAAAAGACTGTGGTAACTGACAAACACTTTGGACCACTTGGAGGAGGTTCTGAAGAGGACAACACAACAATCTCATCCAGATGAAACATAAGTCTGAACTAATGTCTCACAGGGCTGAGTTTTGTAACATGTTTTTAAAAAGTAAAAAGAGGAGAGAAGCAAACCATTTACATCCAAACCTGGGCCATCAGGACACCAAGATCACACCGTCCAGGTTTCTAGTAGAAGATAAGAAACCAAGTCTTTTTGCCACAACAAGCACATGTTCAGCAGCTGAGACAAGAACTTCTATTTTGTCGGTGTTCAACTGGAAAAAACAATCAGCAATCCAAGCATTATATTGTTCACACTGTCATATAAAACAGATGATTTAGAGACATTTCCTGGTTTTATAGACATGAATGGCTGAATGACACACCTGAAAAAGCTCTTAGAACCAAGGGGGAGCAGATACAGAGGACCTAGGACAGAGCCCTGAGGAACTCTACAAACCAAGGCTCTGACTGACTCCACACACTAAGCGCAAATAAAACCATTCGCGTGAATTAATTACATCTGAGGTCAAAGCAAAGACGCGATTAGACGCTCCTACTACTCTGGCGGCGCGAATGACGCAAATTGGGTGAGAGCTGAAAATGATAACTTGAGCGGATATTCGCATCACGATAACCAATCAGCACAAAGGTTGCCAAGTGACAAACTGATCGGGTTGGGTGTGTGGGGGCCCCGAATTTTATGATACCTTTTCTTTCAATTACCGAAACTGGAATAAAAAGGAGCTCACCAAGAGGCAAGTTAGTGAGGAGGTCAGATTACCTGGTTAGGCTCTATTCATCACCTGATCCCAACTGTTTGAATTGGCAGGCATTACCGTTGAAATTACCGTTGACGCCCAAATGAAGCGAATAGATGATTTTTTCTTGCGCTTGGTGTGAGTGCAAACACATGTACGTCTAACAGACAAATATAAGGAACACTTCAATGTATGGCTGTAATTTTCAAGGAGTACCGAGTCAAGATCTAAAATTGTACAATTTTATTCACAATCATACAAACATTGATAAAAAAAGATAACAGAGTGCATTTAAGTTGACAACATTGGATGTAATGAAGATCTCTGCGGGTCTGCATGTTCGAAAGGATTGATTGGTCTGAGGTTCTCAGCGCAGCACAGTGATGTTTCTACAAAGGCAGCTTAGCGTTGGATTTCCCAGTGATTGTGTGGTTGATTGCGTATGGATTTGCTCCTTTTTCCCTTTTTGTGTGCCCACGGCGAGTCAGATCAGAGGCCTTTGTACTCATGGGGGCAGTAGCTGGAAAACAACGGCTCAGCTGGGATCCCGCGTCTAAGATTGAAAGAAGACAGGTTGGAAAACGCCCCTCAGATGATAAAGCATTTAACAGACAGAGCAAAAAGGTCAGACACTCACTCCACCATACGACAGCGGTGCAGGGACAGTCTGTTGAAAGCATCGTTGATGTCCGTCACGTCCTTTGCGCTCCAAAGCCGCTCTGCCACAGCACTGGCACGAGGCCTGGGAGATGTAAAACAAAGTAAAACAACGTTCCTCTCTACTGAGGTTCAAAATAAAACATGTTCATCGAAGAATCACAAGAACCATACCAGAGTCTGGGTGTCAGGTTGGTGCCGTCCACATACTCTCCCCACAAACAAGCTTCACCACCAACCACGAGCTTCTTCTGAGCCTCAGTTCCTGTTATAAAATGTTATGATCAGTGAGAACAAGGAAGTCTGGGTTAGAGCTTCACAATAGAGATTTAAATAACATAATGAAAACACATTTGATGGTAACCAAAAATCAAACTATTCCCCTTTTTCATTCAACAGGCTTACACATGTCTGCACAGCTGTGACTATGAGGCGTTCAAGTCCAAAGTCAAACAACACAAATAAAAAAATCTGGGCCAGACAGGCAACAAAACAATAAAGCAGAGTCACATGATAGAGGCAAAGCAGGCGGAGAAAAAAAAATGACAATGACTTTGCAACGGCCAAGAGAAGAAGAGCCAAATCATGCAGACACAAACCATTGAAATCCTGTGGGTCGGCCTTGTAATGGCCCTGCCAGTCCTGGCCGTAGGAGATACGGTTCAGGTACCAAGGGGTGGACAGCAAGGTCTGGTACCCTACTGATGTAACAATTGCCATCTCATTCTTGTATTGCTGCTGGTTTCCTTTCCAAACGTGGATTATTGTGTCTGGCTTGAGCTACACAGCACACACACATAGAAATGTCAGTTTAAGTGAGACGAAAAAGAAAATAGTGGGAGTGGAACGAAAAGAATAAAAAGGTCCAACATCTTGACACGGATGTTTCTTTTGCTCTGTTTGGACTTTTTGTTGTTTCCTTTTTACAACCAGTCATATTTGTGTCAGGAAATTTGTGAAATCAAAAAGGAGTCTTTTTTGTGAGGTTTAAATGTCAAAAGTCGGTATTAGATAGTGGCTTAGAAGTGGCCAACATGATCACACAAAATCAGTCAGATCAAATCAACAAGGATAGGCAATTTCATGCTGGTTTAGAGTGAAACGCATGCCAGGTAAAAACATTTCCATCTACCTTAATTTAAAAGACCCAACGATAAAACCACTTTGTAAGCCGAACCGTATTGTGTAGTAACATACTAAAGCTGCTAGATGGCAGTAGCTGAATGTCAGCTCTGCTTAAGAACTGTGCTCCTCACTGTTTTTCCTAAACAACTAAATCCCTACAAAGACTTTCAGTAACACTTACACAAAAAAAGCATCAATTTGTTTTGTACTGTATATGCAATGCACTAACCTTTGAACGCTATCACACCAAAATACGGCCAATCATATCGTTTTTATAGAAATGTTGAAATAAAGCCTGTTTCAAACAAAGACCTCCAGCTTTCTACTAACTGATATAATCCAAGGCTCGTTCAGTAAAATATACCTCATCTATAATATCTGCTATCTACACTGCCCTCTCTACATATCTGACTCACTCTCTGTGTCACAACTGTGCAGTTTTCAAGCATAAGCCTGTTGAACAAAATCCGTAATTTTCTTCACCACCCCAATCAAAGCTTCCCTCCACCAAACTGATTGATTGATTGATCGATTCAACATAAGAAGCAAAATCCTTTAAACAACTGACCGTTGAAGCTGAGCGGCTCGACCTTGTAGTACTTCTGCCAGTCCTGAGCGTAGCTAATGTAATCTAGGTACCACGGTGCGGAGAGGATGGTGGTGAACCCTGCTTCCGTCACCCTGCTCATCTCATCACTAGACGTGCCGCCCATCCACACATGCACTACTGTGTCTGGATTCAGCTGGAACAGTCACAGACCATGCTAGTGTACACATCTATACTGCTAAAGTTGGTTTCCATTAAATAGTTTGACATTCTGGATAACACGGTAACTCAGTTTGTAGCATGAATGACCCAAATGGTGAGAAAAGATCATCATCTGCATAACATTTGAGTTTTAGTTAGTATGAAAAAGTTATATCATTCTCTCATTAAAGTGTTAATAACTTAATAATTACATAACTTTGATCGCTGTTTCTGCTTATTTACCTTAACGCCGTTGTCGAAGACCTCCTGCCAGATCATGTAGCCTTTCTTAGTAGAGGTGACAATATTCAACAGTCTGCGAGATACAAAAAAAGAAATAACATAAGATGTTTATCAATGAGCATCCTGGCATGGTTTAAAATGAGCAACTTACTTCTGGATATAAAAAGACTCCAGTTTGGTGAAGTCTTGTCCGAAACCCTCCTGATCCATGAAGTCCTGAATATCCGGGTTGGACTTCCTTTAGGGCAGAAACAGCAGCAGGTGTTGACTCTAACTGTGTGATCGTACATAAGTTTTGACATTGTGTACAAAGTCTCACCAGCAGGTGAAGTCCACCTCGTCCCCTCCTAAGTGAATGTAGGCGTCGGGGAACACTGTGCTGATCTCCTTGAAGAACGCGCCCATGAAGTCGTAGGTGGTGTTCAGGATGGGGTTGACTGGTCCGAAGGAGCCAGAGGGTTTCGAGCCGGAGTAGCAGGGCGTGAGCAAATCCTTCTGCCCTGAGAGGACGATGCATGGAGAGGGATCGTTACTTTTTTTATATAACAAGCACATAAATTATAGAAGTTTATCCACAAAAGCTTCTTTTAGAGATTAAACTGGCATTGACCAAAAAATACTCTGATCGCCAACATTTTAAAGCCTCTTTCTGCCCAGTTAGAAGATTTGTTCCAATGTTGTCTGAAAATATTGACAAAAGAACATTATGCCTTAAACCTTGGCTGTCGCTGGCCACTCATTTTAGGTACCAGCTCAAGAAATGCGTCTCTACACCTCTTGGAAAACTCACCTTTGCCCCAAGACTGAGTGTGTCCTGGAGTGTCAAACTCTGGGATGACACGAATGCCTCTCAGACGAGCAAATTCAATCACCATCTTCACATCAGCGGGGGTATAAACATGGGTGTAAGGGTGGTACGCCCCCTACAGACAGGAAGAGAGAAATGTAAAGACTGGATTGGATTGGTTGGATTTGACTCCTGGCTACAAATCTAAAATATTGACCTCCTATGAACTGGCCCACAGGTAGGACCTCCTGGCCCTAAGACTTGCAGAATCAGTCACAACCCATTTTTATCGACTTGTTTTTCTGTGGTGCCATCCTCTTACTGCTTTTATCCCTCTCTACCTCCTTATCCTGTTTCCTACTTTGCCTCTTATGGTTTATTTCGCTTAGCCTCTAATTTCATTTCTTGTCATTGCTCTTATCTCTTTTAATGTGCTTTTTCTCTTAACTTCCACTGGGATTAACTACTCTATAACTTCTATCTAATAATTAAATACTTTCATGTTTTTATTGCCTTTTACTTCCCCTTTATTAACTTTAAAGCCTCGGTGGATTTTATCGCTTTAACTTATTTATTACTCAGCGCCTGTGTCTGTATCTACTGCTTTCATTTGCTGCTTTAACTGCTTCATTTATTTCTAACTTTAAATTCATTTCTTTGATTTCATTTGACTGTTTTTCTCTCTTTCTGTGGTTTCTACCTCCTAACTGTCTTACTTAAGTATATCTGAGCTCATGGTCTTAGTTCATATTGTTTTGTGTCTTACGTTTTATATTCGTGGGTCCATGTGTGATCATTTTTGATTTAGGTTGTTCAGTTATTGGGTCTTGGTGTGGTTGTGTCTACTGTGTTTCTGGGTCCTTGTTTGTTTTTATATAAATATCTTAGTCTTTAGAGGTCCTACAGTACATTTTTATTATTATTATTATTATTTACTAACCTTCTGGCTCAGCTGTGGGAATGTTCGGCTCAGGTAAGGGAAGGACTGATCGTCCACAATGTGCCAGTGGAAAACATTGATTTTGTTCCAAGCCATCGTTTCCTGTATGAAAGAGAAAAGAAAACTAAGTCTCAAAAAATAGTGAATGTCACCAAAATGAGAAATCTAATATGAGCTGTAGGAAAAAGAAAGTGGCGCACCAGGTTAGCCAAGATGACTTTGATGGGCAGGTAGTGTCGGGAGGTGTCCAGGAGGATGCCTCTGTGTGCAAATCTGGGGAAGTCACTGATCTGAGTCCCATTGATGCTTTTCTGTAAAGAGACAAAGTTTAACATCAGGCTGGTAGTGAACACCTACAGATGACTATAATAGAGGGAGAGATGAACTTTGAATAATGTACTCCAGAAAGATGTTGTTATTTGTCCTGTATGCTCCTTTAATTTGAGTGTAATATGAGCATTTTCTATTTTTACATAGGGCTGGCTGATTTGGGATAAAAATAAAAACTTTCTAAAGGGTTTTGATCAAATTTTCTCATAAATATGAAACTACAAATGCCTAAGACATGACTCTAAACACTGGTTTGTCCAATGTCACTAAACCAAACCAGTTTCAGACCAATGATGAGACCTGGCCTTCTTGTAAAGTGCAGCAGCCACGATGTTGTGTATGTATCCCAATTTTCTTTGTGAATTTTACAAGAACAAAATGCTGATTAATCAATTTATCGCACAGCCCTATTCTTACATACTTGGACAGGTGTACCATGACCCACTTTAGGATGGAAAGGCTGATAACGAATGAATTTTTGAACACATTGTAAACAGACTGAATGGATTCAAAGTCCTTCAGTATGTTTTCAATTTGAATTTCAGAATAAAAGCATATTTTTCTTTACTTACAGCTCCATATTCATCTTCATACACCAGCTGACTGAAAGTTTCCAGACCTAAAACAATAAACACAAACATGTGATTTTGTCAGAAGTTTGGATCTTATAAAATTTTACATCTTGGTCACTTGACATCCAAAAAAGTTGAACAGCAACAGAAACACGCCATCAGCTTTATTTTCTGCTTCAGGGATCAGATACATGACTGTATCTTTTTAATCTCTTAAAAAGTTCAAAAGTTTTGTTCCTCTTTAGAAAGCAGGAAGTTCACTTATCTATGTCTGTATCAGTATAAACTGTTTCTTCACTGCTAGTGCAGCCAAACAAGCAGTTAAAAAGAGGTTATCTCTGGCTGTGAGGAATTTTATGACCCAGTTTATTGAAAACAAAAATTCAATTACATTTGTTTTCATATAACAACAGAAACAGAATCCTACCACGCAGGGCTCCCCAGACCTTTGGTGCCTTCAAGACAGCAATTGGCTGATCCACCGACAGTTCATCTGTGGACACAGGCATTTGTTTATTACATATGTGCTGTTAGGTACGGCTAAGTGTTAAAGCTCTGCAGGCGGTTATTACGGTGTTTAAGTCAAAGTCTTAGGAGCACAGGGGGGAACTTTGGACACTTAGTCCGACCGTGACCGTGTTAATCCCGGTCCCTCCAGTATCATCCAATTAAGCTCTAATTCCAATGGAAAGCCGGTCTGGAGAAATTCACTTGCTGGAAATGGTAGTTACTCCATATTACCAATGTACTCAAAATCTTCCTTTACATAACAGTAGTGACACTAAAAATAAAAAACTTTCCATTAAAAGTTGAAAAAAGTCCCAGAATTAATAAAATCTGCCTTGGAGAAAAAGCTGGTTCAGCAAAAGTAAAAAAATAAAATGAACTGATAGAGGCCTGAGGAAAGAAGTCTGAATTTCCATCTATAACAAGGTGGAAACTTACAAATTCAAATTAAGTAAAAGTAAGCAAGAATTATGGACAAAAAATAAAAAAGTACCAATTACTTAGAAATCTAGCCTATGCTATGCTGTTTCCAAACTGAAAACGCAGCGTTTTACGTGTTTTTTTACTGCAGACCATCATCTGCTCAGCCATAATAGTGTTACAGGTGTAACGGGTAAGAGTACTAAACTGTGCAAACCACTTCTACTTGATGAAACTATTTCCAAATCATCCCACATGATTCTTTTTGTAGAATATGTTCAGAACTAGAGTAAAGGCCTGATAATACCAACAACTTATATATCTGAAATGGTTCTGAAATGAAGTAACAGTTATCTCACTAAGTCTTTAACCCATGTGCTTACTGCTTAAACACTCTCCTCTTGTCAGACTCATCATAACTGTGTTGAACTTTCTCGTGTGTCAAACAGGACAGGTACTTCTGCAGTCAGGAGTGACTTTGTTTGAACACCAATTAGTAACATGAGACTCATCCTGGTTCTGATTTTGTTCAGGATATGATGCTTGCACCGTTGCACGAAACCCTTTAACGCCTTATCAATGTTTGTAGATATTCACGTGAAGTTATGTGTGTTTTTGTGATACCTAGAAAAGGTCTAATGCCCCGGTATCCTTATTTCCATTAAAGTGCCGCAGGTAGCTAATCCAAGTGTATGCAAACCAGTTTAAGGGCTTATCTTGACATATCAAAAACAACCCAAGTATAGGCCTGATTCTTAAAACCAATTATGAGCAGGAAACTAGAGTGCATGTAAACACACTTAATACTCAAAATTAAGGGTTAATGTATGGTGAGTAGGTTGTTGTGACGGACTGAAACCGAAGTCTTAATCTTTTGACCAAGGATTGACTTTGATGGTAAATGTAGGACTGGGTTGGGATAATGATTAGTGCTGTAGTGAAGGTTTGCTATCAGGGAATAACAGACTGTTGCTATGGAGAGCTGACTAGTTAATTTCTAAACTGAGGAGAATTAAAATGTCCATATCTCAATGAAAAGACAAACAAGTTTAAGTGTGTAAAGAACTGTTAAAAATGCGTCAAATCCAAGTAGATACATAGAAATGTTACATTCTGTTGGTACACAGAAGCTGACTCCTGCTGAAGAGGTTTGCTATCAGGGAATAACAGACCGTTGCCATGGAGAGCTGGTCAGTTATTGTCTAAACTAAGGAGAATTAAAATGTCTATCTCAATGAAAAGACAAACAAGTTTAAGTGTGTAAAGAAGTGTTAATGAGGAGTCAAATCCAAGTAGATACATAGAAGTGTTACATTCTGTTAGTACACAGAAGCTGACTCCTGCTAAAATGTGATATTCTGTAATTGAGGAAGAGATAGGGACTCACATGACTCGTCAGAAGTCACACTGGGGTATCCGTCACACTCAGAATCAGGTGATGTGATCCACACCTGCAGCTCTATCAGCTCAGAGAGGCCTGTTCGCCTGCTTTTGGTATGCTGCTGCCTTTTTGTACTGCCAAACATGTATTCAAAATACCTGATAAACGAGACAGAGGGGAGAGGCGTTGTTTACCTTAGCGATAACAGGTCCCTGAACGCAACACGGTGTACAGTTTCAAAGTGATACAGAAAGAGACAAATGAGTCAATTCAGGTTTGTTACCGTCTGTATGCATCTTTCAGGAGGCTGCAGCTCGGACCAGCCGATGACTCTTTGGCGTCAACTATTTGGAAACTGGCGCTCATCAACTTGAATGAAACCTCAGAGATCTGCACTTTCTGAGGCAGAGGCCACAGAGACCCATATTCGGACTCCTGGAAAACGAGCTCGGACTCGTCTTCATAATCGTCGATGTGGTTAAACTGCAGACCCCGACAGGAGGAGAGGGCCAGCAGCAGGACGGTCAACTTTAGAGTGTTGCTCATGTCGGTAGAAGACAGGAGAGTCACAAGATCTCTGAATCTGAAAGCAGCATTATGTTGCAGGGGGAAGTGGGCGGGGCTTCACACGCGGAAGCAAATATTGCGAAAAGATTTAAAGGGAAAGTACACCCACTTCTACTGCCTTTGAAACAAGAGTAGGGGAGAGTGGGGTAAGTTGAGCCACCCCCTGTTGCTTGGAAATTGTAAAAGAAATTGATAATGTGACCAAATATTTAGGAGATGGGCATCAATTCATGGAGTCTGGGAAGGTTAGAAGCACATGGGTGAAGGGGTTAGACATTTATTTACAAAAAATAACATTTTTCACTCTTGAAAGTGAATTTAGTCTGTCATAAGTTTTATGAGAAATGTGTTCAAACCAAAAAATATAATTTTAAATTTGTTTTATACATCAATTGTGGTATCTATGAGCTCCAACATGAGGTCAAAAACCTAGAATAAAAGTCCACCATTTTAGATTAGAGGACTAACAAAGCCATAATAGTAGTTCTGGGGTAAGTTGAGCTCAACTGATGAAGTAAAGGAGTCTGATGAGAGGATCAGAGTTTCAGTTCAGATTGCTGAAATGTCTTAATTTTTCTTTCAAAAATACAGCTGTGAATGCTCTGAATCACTTAAAGGCATTCTCATGTTAAAATGGCTTTTTACAAAACAGCTTTTTAGCAGTTATATGCAACAATAATAAAAATAATTATTGTACCAGTTGAATAGCGTATAATAGATTAAAATAGACATGAATGTGAAGAAGTGACTGTTATTTAGGGAGAGAGAAGGTGAAGGAGGGCTGGGCTGGAGAGTGGAGGGGTAGTAGGGATGCAGCTCAACTTACCCCCTCCTATGGTCAACTTACCCCATACACGGGGTAAGTTGACCATAGGAGACCACTTTTTTTGGCATGCTATATTATCAAAACAGTTATGTTTATGCTCATTCTGTTGGTTTGCAGGGATGCACAGCATCTTGAAATATATGCAGATACACTAGTTAGAGACAAAACTATGATTGCCTTGATGTAGTGATCTGAAATATGAAAAATGGCTCATCATACCCCACTCTCTCCTATATATAAACTTCTTTTTTTCAGCACAGAAAGTTAAATAAGATGTAAAATGGAAAAGCAATTAAATGGTGCATTACAAGTAAGTTTGTCTCTTGAACTTTGTTTTTTAGTTTTCTTCTTACATTATGCTATCTATTAGCAGTAATCAAGCTGCAACTTATCGTCTCACAATGTTACAGTATGGTTACATGTTACAGTGCTACAAAGTTGTCCACAAAGTTTCTCAGAAGTAGAAGAGGACTGTTTAAATCAAGTCATTCTACCACCAGGACCACAGAGGAGAAGAGCTGAGTCTTTGGCTTTTACCTAAAGGTAGAAAGGGACTCTGCTGGTCGAAAAGAGATGAAAAATTCATTGTACCAACAACGGAGGACAAAAGTCTCGTAAGTGACTTGGGCCCTGTTGTGATCGAGACATCAGACAGCTAAATCCGGGCCTTGGTTGACATGATTTCCTTCGGCACAACTGTCCAGAACATGTTAGACAGTTTCCAGCTTTACAATATAACAGCTGTCCAAATTATTGCCCCATATCCTGATAAAACTCTGCATGTTGTTGTTCTATATCTTGCCGGAATAGAGATTTATATCTTTCATTTGGACCAGGACCATTTAATCTAACAAGAACAAACTGATCTTTTCCTCTACTGAATGCAAAGGTGATAAAAATGAACACACAGGTCGGAGGAGAAGCTGGAAGAGCAGTTTAACACCTTTGGTATCGACTGAGCAAACATGTTAGATACCATTTTGTTAAATTTTACTTATTTTTTATCTAAGAAAATCCAAACTATGGGATTTGTAACAGTTTAAGAATTAGCAGTCTGACTGATATGAGCTGATATCAGTTTCCAAGGTGTGTTGCAATGAACATATTGTCCACCAGATGTCCCTCTTGTCTCATCTATGAAAGCGCTCACTGCCAGGATGAGCTTTTCTTTCTATCTGAAGACGGTCTCAGCAACACTGTGTTGTGTTGTTTTTAATACAAAGCAGCAGTAATTACAGGAACAGCTGTGATTTCCTCCTCCGTACAAACAGTCCATGGGAAAAGAAACTGGATGTGAGTGTGTGACCGCTCAAATCACCACAACATAAGTACAGTGCACATGAAAACAAACAAAATAACAAGAAGATGTCCTGGAGGGCGCGCTGAAGACTTTAGTCACAGCCTGGAGAACAGAAAACAAGCTGCACTGATGTGACTCACTCAAAACGACCTGGGATAAAATGGGACTTCCCGTTCCCAGCTACCCCGACCAAAAACCACAATGTCTTTATAATCCTATAGGACTTACATTGTGTCTGTGTTTACTGTGACTCACTCAGACTGTATGGTATGATAAACATGATATTGTTTAGTATAGTTTTCTATAAGTATGACTCATTACAGCACAATATAAGAACACTAGGCTGTTTTTAGACATGGAGTGATGGCTTTTTGGGATTTCCTCCAACTGGAAACAATCGGATTACTGTCGCCGTTTGGCAGCTCCTGTGATAGTAGCTATAAATTAATGCCATGCCAGACATACCAGACATTTTAAACCGGATTAAATATGAAAAATAAAGCCGAATCATTAAAGAACACTTTAAACATTAGACATACCATACTGTGTAAGCTTTGCTCTAAGGCAGTTAAACTTTCACCCACTGTTCTCGTATTCCTTTGTCTTTCGATTCTGTCACTCATTGTATTAAATTCTTTTCATTGAATGACATATGAATGTGGCATATATGGAAACAATGACCTACACTTGTTCCAGTTTCAGGAAAACATAAGATTAATGGGTCTTTGGTTCTACTCCCTCATTTTAGACAGGCTAAATGACAGAAAGTACAACCTTAAATTGAAATATCTTATTGTTAAAGGATAAAATAGCCTTAATATTGAACATTTACTGCAGTTTTAATGTGTAAACAGAACCTTAAGTCACATTGGTGTACCACTAGACCAGGCGACATTATGGACAATTATCGAAATCACAATTATCAGTCATAATTTACCAAACTGATATCAGCGTATGGAGCATTTTCAGCTATTTCATTAACTCTTTAGGGCTATAAATACAAAGGCAGGCTGTCGTTTTTTTGTGTTTTATTTTGTTAAAGCTCCTCTAATCAGTTTTTTACATCATGAGACTGACTCAAATTCATATTGAGGCCTTTTCATTATACTCAAAAGCAAACAAGACTATCAGAAAAAAACAAAGACAGTTTGTAAATTGAGAATCATTTCCCAAAAAGTCCTCACAGGAGCTTTAAACCAACCAATAATTATCAGAAAAGCCCATGTCAAACACTGTATAGATATATCAATGGGAACAAAAACAGTTTTAATGGCTTTACAATGGGAACTCTTTTAACTGCATTTTATTGAATCATTGTTTTGTTTCTCCGGCACATTCACACAAATGAAGTAACTGAGCTCTGTTTGTGCCAATGCTCAAGAGTAACCAGTAAAATGTATTCAAATATTTTCCTGAGAAAACAGAAGAAACACATGCAGGAAAAGGTTAGCACTGAGAAATAAGGTATCAGTTTGTCCACAGGGGGCGCCATAGTCCACTAGACCTGAAAGTTCCTCACATGAGCTTTAATAAAAGACAGAAATTCTGGTGTTTGGTAACTTTTTAAAAAAGGCACCAAATTTTGCCAACTTGCAGTGTAGAGAGAACGTGACCTTTAACCTCAAAAATCTAAAAACGCTGAATTTGACTTGGTGTTTTATTTTTCCAGAGCTAAGAGTGAAATCATAAATAAACTTCAATCTGAGGAGTTCAAGCCACTGGGGGATGTGTGGGAAGACACTCCACATCCTCTCTCTCGCTCTCTCTCTTCATTTCCTGCTGGGTGACGGTCCTCCCCCTCCCCCTGCCTGTAAACACACCCACAGCCTCCAGTGAGAGGAGGACTGGGAGCGCAGGAGGAGGACCGTCATTGAGGAGCAGCAGAGCCTTGGCGCAGGAGCGACACCTCCAAACATCACCGCTCATCCTTTTACGCCGAAACGCGTCAAATTTTCTATTATTTTCATTCAAATACAGAAGAGATCTGTAGAGCACCAAGTTTAGGTCGTTATCGGGGCACAAAACGTCCCCATACTGTCCGTTTCTCCGCCAGCATTTTCGGGAATAAACGCGGAGTTGTTCACACTCCACGGGCGCAGGCTTGCATCGTGGCTCATCCAGAAGTGGCATGTTCGAGGGATACTGCGGGCACTATTGAACTCCTGCTTTCACCCAAAGAGGTAAATTTAACTCTCAATCCCACCTTTATAAATCATCATTCTGATTTTTCTAATAAACATCAACGACTGCATCCTTTTCTGCTCAGCCATTAAAGGGAAACTCAACCAAGACGCACAGAAACCATATGAATGCAGGAGGGAGTATCATTGAAACCCATTCATACTTCAAATTTAATCATATTTCTAAGTTTGCTGCAAACTTTTATTGTATGTTTCTGCTGTTTGCACTACTGTTGCTACAGATTTCCTCCTAATCCTTTGTGCGCCTCGTCCCTGCGTTTTCCTGCGTTTTTGAGATGTTTGACATATTTTAAAGGCTACATCAGGTGTGCCACGCTTTTCCTCTGCGGTGTGAATTGATCGACAGTCGGAATTTTCCTTGAAACCTCACTCAGATGTTGATTTGAAGCCCCTAAATCACAGACTTAAACAGATGCAGACGCACAGATCAATATCCAGACTCTTGGCTTCTTGTTTGCATCTTGTTAAAATTATCTCCTCAGAGCAGCAGATGTACAGAAGAGGCTCACAGAAATGTTGCTGGTGTTTACTTTTGAAGTCGCTCCCTCCCATCCCTCTTCCTGCATGAGTCTCTGGTTGACTGTGAACACCTGGCAATGATTTTAAACAGACTGAGAGGCAGCCCAGGCTCTCAGATAGAGAGAGCAGAGTGTGTGAGCTGCGAATGGTGTGTGTGTGTGATTCCTCAGTGTGGCATGTATGTGCTTACAAGATCTGTGAAAGACGTCCAGCTCTGGCATTCACGCTCACACTGATGTCATATTTTCTTTCTGCTTCAAAGACAGTGATTGTAGATAAAACTGATGTAATTGTAGAGCTGTAATAACTCCATTAGATTATCAAGGAATCCCTGGATTGATAGTTTAACTGTTAAATTTGCATCCTAGAGCCTGATTTGTTATCTTAAAACTACTAAAGTTCGACTATTTAAAACCTATAGATGGTTAAGTTACTTGATCTGTTGAAAAGAAAATTGCAAATCATGATGCTGACTGAAGTAATGTGGTTTATTTCGCACTATTTTTGACTGGAGTTCAGTCAAATGTTGGAGAAATTGTCAAATAGATTCCTCTATCAAAAAGATGATGTTTGTTTTGGTTTTAGCTGAAAGATGAGTCATTAAAGCGTGTTTTTTCTCTTTTATTGAGGAGTTTCAGCAAGATTTTAATTAGCAGGGTTCATTTCTTGTGCTGCAACACCGCTCTTCACTCTTATCATACTCTCACATATTGACTTAAACATCTGGCTAATTACTGTTCTTCATCATAGCTACGTACAGTAAATGATTTTAAAATGCCTGTGCCAATGCTACTACTTATATATAACCCTACATCTCGCAACATAATGAATTTGTGTGACAGTAAAAGGACGGATCGTTTGTACCAACTTGTTAGTTTTAATGGCTGAAGTCCTCAAACTTTTAAAAGTTTTCCTTCATACTTTGTCATGGATTGTCATGAAGGGAAGAATTGCTTTTTGTCACAGTAACTCCAGTGCAAATAAGCAGAAAGAGGATAGATAAAATAAGTAAAAATAAGTAAAAATAAAGAGATAATATACAAGTATGTACACTATATACCACATAAAATAGTAAAGTATCATGCATGTAAATAGTAAGCGGATGCCAGGTAAAGACTACTGACTGAGGGTGTCAGACTCGCTCTGCAGATAACAGTTTGATGTATTCATGAGCCGATTTGTGATCTAACAAAGTGGCTGTTTTGTCTCAAAGTGTCATAACAAGTGAACATTGTCAACCAGTTCCTGAGCGTGGCATCTGAAAAATGCAAATTGACTATCATTCTGTAAGTGTTAAAGCCTTATGTCAGATAAGCTTTACATCCATTTATATCATGCATCAGAAAATCGATTCTTCCAGCCTGAAGCAGTTCTCTCTCTCTTAACTTAGGAAAGTTGTGAAACACGAGACGCCAGTGTCCGCCAGACAGTTGTCAGGAATTCCACAGTGACTTGTTCCCTCCAGGATGTTTACTCTTGACAACCAGATTGGAGCAATAAAGTGATCTGAGTGGTTTTACAGGTTGTTAGAATCTTATTTTGTCAATAATCTGCGTTTACATGCTCTAAACAACGTTTATAATGTATGGTATAATCTTCAAAAAAAGCCTCTCGCTGCACAGATGTTGGGTTCAGGCTCATTAGTAACAATACACAAAATCTCATTTAAATTACAAATATATGAAGACGGGGTTTTAGGACCTGCAGGCCTGGTGGGTAATCCAGGCTTAATCCTTTTGAATGCAAATTGTGTGAATACCTGCTTTACTGCTCAGCTCTCCTTTTACTGTATGTGTTGGTATGCTTGTGAGCTCTTTCACCCCTGGGAAAAATGTGTTTAATTCGATGTAAAAACAAGTTTATACAGGAGGAATTTCTAGGAAGGATATGCATTTTATCCTGTAGTGGTAGAAAAGACCGTGAAACTGCTTTTGCAGGTGGTTTAAATTGCAGTGAGCGCATCACAAAGCTTAATAATTAGCCTTGGACAAATTAAACAAGTTTTTAAATGTGACTCAGACTGTTTTTTTGCCAAAACAGACCATTTTCTGTTTATTTTTCTCAGGGTGACATTGTAAAAACTGTGATTTTCAAATTAAGGGGGATAGTTGTTTCAGTTAATTGAGAAACAGATTTGACTTAACTGTGGATGTTTGAGGTCTGGCTGGTCCTTTAATTTGATTGTTTCAAAAAAGAGCTGTGACACCAACATCAGCTCTAATATTTTAGCTTTTTTTTTCCAACTACAGAGTGATTTTATTTCTTTCTTTGCTCAGACACTTTACTTTTATACACCACTTTACATTTCTAGACTCATGTTTTGGCTAAAATTGAATCCTCCTTCATTTCCAGCCCAATAAAAATACACACTAACACAAGAAAACTAGGAACAGCTGTTTGCAATAAGCCCTGTATGAATTTTAAATCAATGCAAGTCCACTGAAGAGGTCCACTCAATCCCCAAACAAGCTGATTAGACACGAACAAGATAGCTAACCTTAGCTGCTGCTCGACTCACAGCCTCTCCTAGCAAAACTGCAACAGTAGAAACCCCATACCTCGACTTAAATCTCCAATTTTAACCATCTTGACTGAATGAAGAAAGTTAAAGTCCTGAAATACTAAAATGAAAACACTGCTGACTGTCCTCTGCATTTGGCTTGTGTTAAACAGTTAGCATCACACTGTTGTTGTTTGCTAACGCCACCTTTTAGCTCACCTCACCTCAGCTTGTTTGTTATGTGCCAAACTCCTGTGTAGGCTTCTGCTTTCAGGAATAGAAACAATCCTTTTAAAATCTCTCATGTATTAACATATTTAAGATTAAAAAGTGCTTCTCCGATACTTTATATTTACCCGAACAATGCTAAACTATCCCAAAGGCACTGAGATACATCCTCATTTGAAATAAACACCTCTGTTTTTAATAGTTTTTCCATATTCCTGTTGGACTCCACCAAACTGTTTCTGCCTCTGAATTTGGACTACTCAGGATTATATCAGTCCATGCAAAACCTCTCAAATTAATTAGGTCTTCTGACTAGTTCAAATTAGAAAACATAAGCTGCAGTATCAGTGGTGTGAGTGAAGCATGTGTGTGTGTGTGTCGGGGGTGTGTGTGTGTGGGAGGTGAAACATGCAGGTGAGAGATAATCATTGTAGCACAGCCAGAGGCCAGAGAATGACGGGTTTGCCAGTTTTTATCAGAGCTGGAATGCAATAAATCCTGTTGAACCAACACTGCTGTTGGTTTTGTATTTCAATAGGTTTTGCTAATTCATTTTCCTTCAAGTTTGGTCAAATCCAGACTTCAATCCATGCTTAAAATAAAAACTTAAAAGAGGACGGATCTAAAGACACAAGAGTAGATTCTAAGACGAAAGATAACTTCAGAATGTTTGGTATTTGTCTTTCTTTAAACTTAATCTCAGGATGGTCATCCTTTTGTCCCTTTCAAACACATACTAAACCAGATTTTTCTTTGATGAGTCATTGAGAAAAGAATAATAGGACTCACAGTCATGCTAACCACGAGCATATGTGAGGCTGTTACTAAGTGTGGAGAAACCTTGAGCCTTAAGCTAATATCATGAAACTAACTTCGCTTTGTTAAGGAGGTTTTAATCATAAGCTGTGTTCTGATTCAGGGGTAGAGTCCTACAAAGGACTTGGCCTTAATAGCTTTGAGCTGAAAAATATAAATACAGACTTAACCCTTATTTACTTATTGTTGTGTGTCTTACGGCGAGTATCAGGAAATCATTAGTTTAAAGTTTTTATTTCTACAACCAACAATAATAAAAGACAAACTGTGTCATCATCCAGCTCAGCTTATTTCTTTTTGGGAGGCAGGTGAACTTATCTGTTTTACTTTGGTTTTCCTCACTTATCTGAAACAGCACGTCTTATTGAATCCTCGAGAGGACATACAGAAAGGTCAAGAAAAAGCCATAGCAGCTGGTAAAAAAATGTCCCAATACACTAAAAAAGTCCAGACACGTCAGTGGAGTCCATTTGCCACTCCACCAAATATGTATATTCATCATCCTACTTGAGAGTATGCCATCTTTTCTGAATGGGTATTAAATGAATAAAGGGACATAGTGCTTCATGAATCCTTTGTGGTGTAGAAAAGCAAAGATTTATGAGTTGTCCTTATCAGAAATAATGACTTTTAAATTGCCTCATTCAAAGGATCCAGCCCCCTGAAATGAAAAGTAGCTACAGTTTGTCCCGTAAGAATTCAAAATTGCTTTAACCCTTTAATGCCTTTTGTATCATATTTGATACAAACTTTTATGATACTACTCTTAAATCAATATGATTGACAAATAACTGAAAAAACACCTGAATACAGTCTGATAAATGCTAAAAATGTCCTTGTGGTGTATCATTTCCAAAAACATCTAATGTATCAAACAAGATAAATATATATATGTGTTAAATTTTAAAGGTATTTGATATTTTTGTTTTTCAGTAGTAAGTAAAATAAACATTTCAACTCCAAAAAAATTACATTTTCTGGCCATAATTTGTGGTTTCAGGCATTAAAGGGCTAAATGCGAGTTATAGCAAGGTTAAATATTTGCTTTTTTATCCAGGTGATTCAAGAGACAGAGTCATACTGTCACAGTTTGTTTGACTAAGACATAAATTTCCGCTCTGACCGAGTTGTATCAAGTATCCGGAAAAAGACTGACACAGTTTTTTCCATGGATACTCTCTTATCTTCACTGTTCACATAGAAATGAAAACAGGTGATTCTTCATTTCCACTGGCTTCCTTATCTATATTTCAGTTTTGACCCCATGGTTAAAAGCAATGCTTGTAAATTATGCAAAAACATGTTGCAGGTGTTGTTATCCACTGTAACAGAGGAGCTGCTTTCAGTAGTTGAATTGAAATTGAATTATGTCCCTGAAAGTCTGAACATACAACAACAACCTGTGTCTACTGAGCCCAAAGAAAAGCTTTAGGGACACTGCCTGGCACAAAGCCCTGTTGGCCTTTCATTTTGATGCACAGGGTTCACACCTGATTGTCTATTCATGAGGCGGCACTCAGAGGATTTTGGGGCAGCTGATGCAATTTAAAGAAAATGGAAACAGTCCTCTCCTCCCAGCTTACGTGCTGCAGAGGAATCATTTATGACCCCTGGGAGTGTTTGAACTCTATTTGTCTTTAAGTAATGGTTTACGAAAAATCTATTTCACCTCCTGAAGGTTTGTAAAAGATTTTCTCACCAGCAGAGAAAAAGTGGCCGTTGTGGTCAGCTTGGTTTCTGCTAGTTCCTATCAATAACAGGGAGCTTTTAAAGACAAAAATGGCATCAGAACATTTGTGTCTTTTGAGAGAGTGAAAATAAAGACATTTTTGACATCATTGGCTGATGGTTTTCTCAAAAGATTTGAGAATATGCAGCTTTTTTGTTTTACAGACTTTAACTGTCTGCAAGCCCACTTAAAGAATCTGTCAGCCGTGTAAGTACAAGGTCAGATGAGGACTCTGCACCCCTGGAAACAGAGCGTATGAGGCGCTTGACATATCTGGAAATTGGTTGGAATGAAAGCTAGCTCTGAGCGAGGACAAGGCAAGGACAGTGAGGATGGGAGCTGTGACTTTCTGGAGGGGGAGAGTGGAGTAAATTCTGTGCATTTCTCAGAGGCTTAAAAGACTCCTGCTGTCTCTTTCTTTCCCCTCGTCTTAAAGAGCTCTGTGAAAGGACTCTTACATGTAAATTGTGGTATCTCCAAACGAAGGGGATTAGCAGCGCCCAGGATTGAAATGGAAAAGCCTCCCAGTCTCTGCGTGGAAGACAAGTGTTATCTACTTGACCTTCCTAACTCCCAGAAGTATGCTGTTTTGCAACTTGTAATCACTGGATCTCTTGCTAAATGTCTCTATCTCTCAGGGAGGATCGCAATACTCTCCGAAAAATGCACATCATTCATCACATTATGGCTGGGCTGCAGAATATAATATCACAGTCTGTGTGAATACACAATAGTTATGCCTGAGAGTACAATTTAATAAGGAAAACGAGGCCTTTTTTAATATTCAAGCTGTCTGCTTTTGCTTGACTCATCACAGTAAAAAATTACATCTCTTCTGAGTAACATCATCAAGCTGATTTATAGTGATGGCACCCTGCTTCTGCACAAAGGCATACAGTATATTGCAGTGTAAAATCACAGTGCAGTAATGACAGGAATGAATACCTCAATATTTTAAGGTTTTTTTTGCCGATAACAATTGAGGGCATGTTGCATCTCCCTAAAAACGAGCATCATCTTTGTTTTCGAAGCCAAAGAACCTCCATGCGAGAGACTTTGATCCACATCCAGCAATCAAATCAGAAAGCCTCTATTTTGAAGCTGGTGGGGCTTGTGTTTTGTCTCATGGTACTGTTTTAAATTTCAGCCATGAAGGTAGTTACTCTAGTTTAGCTTGTTAAGGCATGTACAGAGTTAGGGACCGTGTCCACTCAGGCCTTTTTTTTGGTCATGGGCTTTTCATTGGCATTTCCTGTCACCAGGTTCCAAGAGTTGTCCTACAGCACTTATGCTAATCTTAGTCCCGCCCCTTTTGATCCTGATTGATGATTAAGAAATGATATTATTGGACGCAGTGGTGTCCCAAAAGGTGAACCAATTTCAACTGAGAGGGCGTTTTGCTCTGAGAATGCTAAACTGCACTTGGTTTGCCAGTGGACACAGTCCCTTAATCATCAGTATCATCAGATATGATCATTTCTACTAACATGTATTATGTCAGAAATAGACAGTAGATATTGGGTCTTCATTTGGTGTAATTATTTATTGGTATTGATATCAGTATTGACCAGAATGCATTGAAGATATTTACAGTTGAGATATCAGTCAAAATCCACTATCGCACATCCAATGCAAGGAAACAGTTGTGTTTTTTACTTCTGTTGGAGAAAATTCCTGCTATTCATTACCAAGTATTTTCAACTGGAACAGATGTGCATACTTCAGACAAACTTTATCTTGAATGGAGAAAAGCTAGGAGATCAATTACAGAGAGAATACTCAAGGAGGATGTTAAAGATCTTCAGTGAATTGAGATAGAGTTCAAATGATTGAATAAAAATGCCTTAAATCGCGTTTCTTTCCCTCCGCTGTGTCTTGACATCAAACAGACTCACATGTCATTACTGAAAGCTTGCCCCCTCTTTACGGGAAACTCATTATTTTGTTGCTAAACACTTAACTGCCACCAAGAGAGTTTTAAAATGTTCCTCAACAAGCAGATATAATTGTGGTGAGTCATTCTTTCAACAGAGGACCTTCCCCTTGGGTGTCATACTGGCACGGCAAAGGCATTCTTTGATTGAATTTCAAAACTGTAATGTTTTTTTTCATGGATATTGAAAAGGACTGGAGCTGTTAAAGAGACTATCTCTGCTCTGGGCTGCATTAAAAAAGCCTCTTTTAGTGATTAGATCAATTTGATAATGGTAACAACCTCCAGCAGAAAACTGAGAGAGTATTTTGATGAGTGTATCGGCTGAAATGCAACGAGGATAATGTGTCTGTCGTGTACAGCCCACACCATGACTCACACGGCCATTAACAAAACCCAGAGCCTTGTGTAATGGACTTTAAACATGAAATGCATTCAAATAAGGTTTTTTTTTCTTTTCTTTTTCAGGATTCAATGAAAATGTCCGTGTGCGTCCATGAGAACCGGAAATCCAGAGCCAGCACTGGCTCCATGAACATCTACCTGTTCCACAAGTCCTCCTACGCCGACAGTGTCCTCATGCACCTTAACTCACTGCGGCAACAGCGGCTCTTCACAGACGTCCTGCTGCATGCTGGAAGTCGCTCTTTCCCCTGCCACCGTGCCGTGCTGGCCGCCTGCAGCAGATACTTCGAGGCCATGTTCAGTGGTGGGCTGAGGGAGAGCCAGGCCAGCGAGGTCGACTTCCGAGACTCCATCCACCCGGAGGTTTTAGAGCTCCTGCTGGATTACGCCTACTCATCACGTGTGGTCATTAATGAAGAGAATGCAGAATCGCTCTTAGAGGCTGGAGACATGCTGGAGTTCCAGGACATCCGGGATGCCTGTGCCGAATTCCTAGAAAGAAACCTTCATCCGTCAAATTGCCTCGGCATGCTGTTGCTGTCCGATGCCCACCAGTGCACCAAGCTGTCAGAGCTCTCCTGGGGCATGTGCCTCAGCAACTTCCCTGCTATTTGCAAGACAGAGGACTTCCTCCAACTGCCCAAAGATATGGTAGTGCAGCTTTTGTCACATGAGGAGCTGGAGACAGAAGATGAGAGACTGGTTTATGAAGCTGCCCTGAACTGGATCAACTATGACCTGGAAAAGAGGCACTGCCACCTCCCAGAGCTTCTGAGAACAGTTCGTCTGGCGCTGCTTCCAGCTATCTTTCTCATGGAGAACGTTTCCACAGAAGAGCTGATCAACGCTCAAGCCAAGAGCAAGGAGCTGGTGGATGAAGCTATCCGGTGTAAGCTGAAGATCCTACAGAATGATGGTGTTGTCAACAGCCCATGTGCCCGACCAAGAAAAACCAGCCATGCCCTCTTTCTTCTGGGTGGGCAGACCTTTATGTGCGACAAGTTGTACCTGGTAGATCAGAAAGCCAAAGAGATTATCCCCAAGGCTGACATTCCCAGCCCTAGAAAGGAGTTCAGTGCATGTGCCATTGGCTGTAAAGTGTACATTACAGGTGGAAGAGGCTCTGAGAATGGCGTGTCTAAAGATGTGTGGGTCTATGACACAGTCCACGAGGAATGGTCCAAGGCGGCACCTATGCTCATTGCAAGGTTTGGTCACGGTTCTGCTGAGCTGAAACACTGCCTCTACGTGGTTGGAGGTCATACTGCTGCGACTGGATGCCTTCCAGCCTCCCCATCAGTATCACTCAAGCAGGTGGAGCAGTTCGACCCGGTGGCGAACAAGTGGACCATGGTTGCTCCTTTGAGAGAGGGTGTGAGCAATGCAGCAGTGGTCAGCGTCAAACTCAAGCTCTTCGCTTTTGGAGGAACAAGCGTCACCCATGACAAGCTGCCTAAAGTGCAGTGCTATGATCCGCAGGAAAACCGATGGACTGTTCCTGCATCCTGCCCGCAACCTTGGCGTTACACCGCCGCTGCCGTGCTTGGAAACCAAATCTTCGTCATGGGCGGGGACACCGAGTTCTCAGCATGCTCGGCCTACAAGTTCAGCAGTGAGACCTACCAGTGGACTAAGGTTGGGGATGTAACAGCCAAGCGGATGAGCTGCCAGGCTGTAGCATCGGGGAACAAACTGTATGTGGTGGGCGGGTACTTTGGCACGCAGAGGTGTAAAACTCTTGACTGCTACGACCCCACATTGGATGCTTGGAACAGCATCACTACTGTGCCCTACTCGCTTATTCCCACTGCGTTTGTCAGCACCTGGAAACATCTGCCTGCTTGAGCCCCCAAAACACCCCTGATACCCTTTTCATGAGGTAAGTTTGAAACCTGATGTTTATCTCTCTGTTTGACTGGGGAACTCCAGTGTTACAAAAAAAAAAAAGAAAAAAAAACCCACACACAGAGCAGTAACTCAGCTCTGCAGATGATGTAGAAGAGAATCAGTAAATAGTCTGTGTTCACTTTGAAGTGTTTAAGCTTTCAACCATCTGCAAAACATGGATGCAGTTTGATGTATCAGCTAAATCAGAATGAACTTAAGATCTGTCGTCATTACTTTGCTTAGAAAAAACTTAACTTCAGCAAAATCTTTATGGCCACGATCCTTCTTTTTACAGTTTTCTTTAGATCCCCAGAATATTTTAACTATACAATTTACATATCTGTTGACCTGTTGCTCACACAGTCTCTCACTGAGGGGTGAATCTCTTCCTATCTTTACTTCTTAGAGGCTCAGCCTCTCTACAATGGCTCTTTTCATATCCTGTCATGTTACTAACATCTTACAAATTAACCTAATTGGTTAGGGGACATGCCTCTGGGTGTTTTTAGCAATACAAAACTTTTTCAGTTTTTCGTTGTTGGCTTTTTTAAAATGCATTTCTGCCATCAGATTTAAAACAAGCATACATTTTTAATAAAATACAAAATCTAAATAATTAGCAAACCATCAACAGCTGTTCTTATCTTCATTTCACACGCCATGTTTGGGGAATTTGGATTGGACAAGCTGACATCAGTAATGAGGTATTGATCAGATGCTACCTTTAAGGCTTTTGAATTGTCAGAATAATAGAAATGATGACAAAATCGGCTCAGTCTTTTAGGGACGAGAGGAAGTATCTCTGGAGGAGGGAGGCTGAACCTCTGGGGGGGGGGCCTGATAGGGGATTGTGTGCGTTAGTTAAGTGAGTTATGTGGCTGTGGGGATGTGCTGAAGGACACAGAGGGTAATTGAAAGAGAATAGGATACTTTTATTGCTCCTGTGGGGGAAATCCCTCTAAGCAGGGAAAAGGGGGTCTGCCAATTAGACAAGCCACACACCAGCAGGCTACAACACCCTGGCGAGGCTAATCCACTCTCAGTCGCCTTGCTTTGATGAGGTTATGGTCTTTACACTGGGTGAGAGGGAGGCAGCCGGGCGACTCACGCCGTGTCGGAAACCATTCATCATCAGTTACAAGCAGTGGCGGCTGAGAGAAGTGGCAGCAGGAGGAAGCGAGAAGGACGACTTGCAGGGTTAGAAAGCGCCGGCGCCCCCTCCTCTGCTCAGTCAGGCACACATCATCCCTTCAGAGCAGCGGTCTTGCTCTGAAAATTCACTCTTTAACTTGACCATCTCCTCTGCCTCCATCATGTAGTCTTGGCCTCATTCAAACCCTGCTCTCCTGCTCTGATGATGAACAGCCAAGACGTATGTGGAGCATGGGTAGTCAGCTGGCAAACCTGAGCTTTCCTCTTGCTGCAAGCTCTCGATCACATCGCATCTCACAGTCTCCGCGGCCCACACTGATGCCCCCTCACATGCCCATGAAGGCAGTCCTTTTCATTTAGCTCCATTTGATGAAATGGCTGGAGGCCCTCAGCTCCTGAGAAAGAAAAGGAGGGAATTAGAGTGACTCCCCAGCCGTCCAGAACAGCACAGCCTCCAATTTGATTACACCAGGAAGCAGCTCAGAGCAGCTTCACTGTGATGTCCCCCCCTCTCCACAGGATGAAAACTGTTTTAAGACTCATTATTCTTTTTCTTTTCGGTGACTCATCTTTGAAAGGAAGAGACTAGACTGAAGGTTTTAACTATCTCTAAGCCAGTGCAACACAATGCTCAGGGAGGGAAATAATCCTACTGCTGACTTAATACTGAATTTGTTTTCTGGAGCGCCCGCCTATCATTGCAACTGACAGTCTACTCGTCGTGAATAGCAAAAAAATTGTGCAGGGAAGAAAAAGAAAGCTTACTGTTTAGGAATGAAAAGAGAAGGAAGTATTTTAGACCTCAGAGGAAGAAAGAAGAAGTCTCTGGGTTTTTTCTCATGGGAACATCTTGTCTGAGATTCCTCCTTTTGGATTTTTTCTTCCCTTGAAGGTTTGAATAGAAGTGTCAAAATCAAATAACACCGAATATATGACTCGCTTCCTTGTGGTTTTCAACGTCGCTGGAGTTCAGATATGCGGAAACTATTTACACACAGAGACACTATTATGAGTAACGTGGATCATATGACCAACCAAATATTCATTCATTGTTAAAGCCTGAGAAGAGTGAATACTTACTCCATAATGTGGCTAAATGAGTAAAAGTAGTCGTTCACTGAATTAACTCTTTATCAACTCTACTGGCTTTTCAAATTCCCATAATATTACACAAGTGACACAGACCAGGTTATGGACACAGTTTTAGGTGGATAAATTGTCATTTTGTGAGATAATCTGCTTACTTACAGTAAATATATAAGAGCCTATTTTTGAAATATGAAGCTACAACTAGCTACCTGTTAGCAGAAACCTTTGGAAATTTCCATTTATGAAGAAAAGACAGTACAGAAGAGGATTAGGGCCACTGGAAGAAAACAGGTCCAATCTATGAGGAAAAAGTCAGAATTTTGACTTTAATCTCACAATTCTGACTTTTTTCTTGGAATAAAAATAATTTTAAAAAATGGAAAAAAAAAAATCTTATTTGTTACAGTGGCCCTAACTCATCTGTAACATAGCCTCTAGGGCTGGGACGATATACTTTTTTCGATTCTTCTACGATTTTCTGAAAGCCAATTCGATTTAAATTGCGATTCTATGATATTGTCAATTTTGTTGATTTTTAACACCAGTGAAACAGTTTAATGATTATGATTGTCTACTGACTGTTCCAGGAACCATATTTCCCAAAAAATACACATCACATTTCAGTCAGTTTTTAAGATCTATCCTTAAATTTGAAAAAAAAAAAAAGATTTTTGAACAAAAAATTGTGAACTAATGGGAATTGATTTTTTCTCCCACCCCTAATAGCCTCCAGTTAAAAGCTACTTCTAACTTAATGTAATTATTTGGCTGTAAAGGGCAAAAGTTAGCTCGCTCTTCCTTTTAAACTACTTTGTAAAATGAGATAAAGGAACAAAAGCTTTTATTCCACAGAGAAGAAAGTGCTCTCTAGGTTCACTTATTCACTCAGAAGAAAGAGAAAGGTCTTCTGTAGGCTACCTACAAATGCAGATAGCTGATTGTGTTACACTCACATTAGCCACGTAGCACGGCTATAACCACCCGTGCTGCATGAATAAGTATGCTTTAAGTGAAAGCTTTAAGAATCGAAAGGTCAGAGTGAAACTCTGAGAGTAAAACACACTCGTGTGGAAAAAATGTGGTGGGCTGAGGTGGAGAGAAAGAAGCTTGACGGCCAGACTGTGCTGAGGAAATAGAGTAGGTGGATTCACAAAATCTATTAGCCTAGTGGGAGCTGCACAGTTGTTACAACAGCAACATTTTCACAATGTAAAATACTATTATGCTGCTTACATTTTAGCCATCAATATGTGTTGATTAATTTCAAAGGCAGCTGCACTTTATGTGAGTCGTGTATGAGATGAAAAGAAATGAACAGTGTGAGCCTCAGAAGACAAAAATGAGCAGCAGACTGAGAAAATCACAGCACTGTTGCTGTGAGTTTTGTTATTTTTCTGGTATTAATTGAGTTCCTTCTCTGTACACCTCCAGAGAAAAACATTTTGAGAAATAACACTTTGAGAAGGGACTCAGGTGATCAAGAAGCATTATGCATGAGTATGTTTCCCTAAATGTGTCTTGTTGTGTTTTGTACTTTGAATAATTAACAAATCACCTTTGCACCGTTGAATATTTCATCGCTCTCAGGGTTTAATAGTCCATCTAATTATTTCATCTAATGAGTTATTCTTTTCCTCTTCCTCAGATTTCCCTGTTTTGCATCATCTACTGGACTCCGACTGTGAAGAAGCACACATCATTCTCCTCTTAAAAGAAACGCTGAGCAGAGATGTACAGACGCTCGCATTCATACAAACTCGTACAGCTGGACACTTTCACCCGAATGATGTCACGTCTGGGTTCTGAGAAGGAGGCGTGCAGTTCTGCCGCTCGTGTAAACAAACAAACAAACAAACCAAACAAACTGCTGCTTGCTGTACGAGGCGCAGACGCCCGGCTGTGCGTACGTGTGGCGCATCAGGCTTTCATGCTGCAATATGAGGACTGAAAACATATCTCACAATTTTCCCATTTAGTCATGACAGGCTTGTGAGGATGTGTATTGATGTTTCTCCTTACATAGGAAGAAAAATACTCTTTTTTTCACAGAGACTGCAATGTATAGCATGATGGATGTTCTATTGAGATGGAAGGAGGGAGATTGCGATGATCGGTGCGTTTAGGAGCAGTAAGCGACTCGGTCTGACTGAGTTTTGCTGGTCTATAAAAGGCACAATGAAGGAGCTGATCTCCCCCTTCTTTCCTCTGATAAGCTCTTTTATTCGACCCTTTTGTATCTCGTTTTTCTCTTCAAAGACTCAAAAACAAACCTTCGAGTCTCCTCTCTCGCTGTCACTGTGAGCCTCGTGGTGTTGACGACCGATGCCAGCTGAGGTTGAGGAGGACAGCGGGGGTCGAGGTGCCTCGGGGTCACGACCTTACGTGTTTGCTGTTTTGCGGCTACGCATTAACGCCCGCTGAGCGCCGCTTCACCAACCCACTTGCACACAGGGGCGGTATTCAGTGTCAGGATTCAACGCTGTCACATTCAGCTGTACGCTTAATGCTGTAATTGACCGGCTGTGCTTCTGTTATTCTGATAAAATCTGCGGCTCGCTCGCTGAGTCATAGCTGAATCCTTTTCCGAGCATGTCCACTCATAGTGATTCAGTGAAACTGGCATGAACTCTCTCTGTGCTCGCAGAAATATTGTCACCTTAACCCTAAACTGAGAATTAATCAGTTTCTTTTTTGAAAACTTGCTGCAATGTAGTCTTAATTTATATGACAATGATAACTCTGTTATGTTAATATGTTTAATCCTATTTATTTCCTCTCTGCCTGCATTCTTATGTGAATGTATGTCTGGGTTATGTCATGCATGGCCAGGTGTTGTGTTCTTTTTTTGATATCTCAGTTGGGCTGCATTTTGCACAGTTCAGTCTTTCCCAGGTGGACTTTGTTCTTTTTAAAAATCCTCTCCCGGGATTTTTCATTTATGTCAGAGTGTGGATGGAAGAGGAAGGCTGGCTCGGGTTACTGATGGTGTGAAGCAGTTCAGGCCAACAAATAAGAAGACTGAAACCTGTCTTAGCATGAAATCTTTAACTGCTACAATGTCTGTAAGGATCATTTTGACCTCTTTTTTTATTAATATTATTTGCACATGAATTTCAATAATTATTATAAATCCCAAATGAATCTGCAATGATTGGATCAGTAATTTATTAGCTTTGGTAAGTACAGAAATAGCCAATATTGAGTCAGAGTTGTGTCAGAAAACAGTAAAAAAACAAAAACTATTTATGATATTATGATTTAATAAGTTTTTCAAAACATTTTAATGCTAAAATGACAATATCAGACAGTTACATCATTTTTAAAAGCAAGAAAAAAGGGTACATTCAACACTTATTGCGGTTCTATGATTAAGATTGTTAAAAAGTACTACAGGGGCATGTCTGAAACTTTAAGATCAGGGTGGCCCAACGCAAGTGCTGACAAAGGCAGAGGTTTCAGTGTTTTGCTTAAGCACACACATGAATACCATCACTCTTCATGTTTACATAATGTTAAAAAATAATAATTTATTATGTTAGTCTGACAGAAACTGGACTTAAAAATTACATGTAAACACATTAGTCCAACAGAGACTGCACCAAGTTGAATTTCTTAAAATTGGACATACATATCCACATGACATAACCAGTGACTAATGTCCTCTATATGTACCTAAACTTAATTAGCCTAAGCATTCTGCATGAAGTCAAACAGCACAAGTAACAACTCAGAAGAAGACACAAGTAAAGTTGAAAGAGACACAGTTGTGTTATCGTGCACATGATTGATTGATTGATTGATAAGAAATGCACAAAGCTGTTAAGTCGACCATGTTTCCCTATTTGACGCAAAACAAGTTAGCGTCTTGCTAACTTGTTTGTTGATTGTTTTGTATTTGAGAAACGATCAACCAAAAGAAGGTCCAGTGGTAACTACATGGAAGAGGGCGTGTCGCCACCAAGTGTAGCAAAGTTAAGACAGACTTTCAATAAATCGGTTCTTACCTGGTGTTTGTAGACTGGGAGAAGGACAGTAGTCTGGTTTAAACACCTAGTTGAGCTTGATCTAGCTTAACCTGTAAACATACAGACTTTATTAGTTGACATTGGCTTGTGTGGACTTTTAGCAGTAAAAAGATACACTACAGAATGGTGACACGTGACTCTTAGCTTTATTCTTCTTGAGCTCATAAGATGTTTGTCCAAAATCACAATTTAACACACCAACAAAAAGGAGTGTGCTATGCTGGTAAAGCAAAGAAAGCTACCTGTAGCCTGCTTAACACAAGACCCGCCTTTGCCAAGACATCTAGCCAATCATAGTTGGGGATTTTGAGGCGGCAGCAGGGGTGGCATGTCCAAAAGGGGACAGTGCCACCATTGTACACCCATTTGGACACGCCCCTGGATCTTTCCAATAAGAAACACTTGGGACTCTTATTTTAATAAAAACTGAAAATAATCAAGAGTTCTTCATTACCATTGTAATCACTGTAACCTAATTCGGTACAAACATGAAATTAAGGCTAAGCAATAGATTATTTTACAATTTTAAGTAAGATTGGACGTTTCTTTTTGAAGTTGGTACAGCTTATAACAAAAAGTAAAGGTCAAAATGACTCCTTCGGTATCTACTGGGTTAAATCTTTCTGTTTGGGACAGAAGTGGTTCAACAAAACAAAAAGATATGAACCGTGAAACAGATAAGGCTGCTGGAATGACGCGGTGTGTGACCCAGTGTTTATCAGGGCGAAGTTAGAGAGCAACCCTGACACGGTGAAGAATGCGACAGTCTTTGCAGCTGTCTTGAGGACAGCTGGACGACTGTCACATGTGCTAACTTGGCTTCTCAGAGAGTTACCCCCCCACCCTTCCTAGTCTTCTTCACCATCAGATTGAGGAAGAATTGAGTCCAGTAAGCTGTGCATCGATAAGGGCAGACACCGCAGTGCTTTTTTCACCATAGTGTCAATAATGCACATAGAGAAAAAAAAGAAAAAATCATTGCAAGTTTCAAAGACCAAAAAGAGAGAATGTCTTAAAACACTTGCATATGTGTTCACTCTGATCAGTGTTTTTGTCTCTGTGTCTGTCTATGTGACCTGAACATTGACGTTTTGCATTTGAATATTAATGGAATCATTGAATTTCAATGTAAGAGGTAATGTTTCGGTGGGATTTGTATATATTTTTCAAATGTCCTTCCTTGTGGAGTCATGAAGCCAATCAAATCTGTCGGATCAGTTTGTAAAAAGGAAAAAAAAAAAGAAAAACACTCAGTAAATTCCTGCTCGGCTCCTTGAGCCACCCAAGAGTTCATCCTTTTATTGGCCATTTCCAAAGCTTCTATAGGGACCCTTGTGGCTCCATAATGTTGACCTCCTCCGACCGCTGAAAACAGCCGCTGGCTCGACCAATCAGATACGAGCCTCTCCTTCCCATAGGTCCCAAGTTTCCCCAGCAACAGCGAGTAATGAATGCCCCCTTCAATTTGCACCTAATTGCTGAGTGGCATTTCCCCATTTCTGCCCCTGCCCTCCTCTTTATCCCGTATTTTATCTGGATAATCCAGCTGGCTCTCACTGGAGCGCAGTATCTCGCCTCGTGTGATGATGTAAATTAGACAGAAAAAAATACTGTCAGTGTGCATCAGTTTCATTTTTTTGTCATGTAAGAGTTTAATTTCTATTTTTATGGCATTATTTTGTACATGTGATTTTTTTCACAATGTGAAATTCATGGCTAATAAACATAAGAGTTTTTTCCTCTTGACTGTAACACACCGTCTCTGTGTTTCTCTGGGTATAATAGTGAAGATTTAAAAGCAGCTGATTATCATATGTTTCACATATTTAGGCTGCTTTAGAGTGGAAACAGCAGCCCAAGTGTCCAGAGGTATTTAAAGTAGTATATCATGCGTACAGCCTTTGTTCTGTGGAGGAGGGACTAAAATCATCTTATCTATGCCTCTGGCTCTCCGAGCTTCCTGCTCAAGAACAGGCGAAAACACAGCCAGATACTTTCCCTTTCTCTGTCAAGTCACCTTGGCAACGGCAACCTTTATCTGCAAACTGTGGGGGCTGGAGGAGAACATGAAATCTTAAAAAGCACCTCTCTCCATTCCACACCTCCCTCCCTCCCTCCTTCCCCTCGTGGCCTTCCTCCCCTTTCACTTCCTACGCCCCCCTCTCACACTTTTCATCAGAGAAATGCATTGTGAAGCGACTGGCTGGTCAGTGGAGTTGGACGTTCCCTGGTTTGTAACAAGTCTGACATCCCATTAGTGAGTGACTGCAGAGCACACCGTCACTCGCTGCATTCCTCCAGCTCCAAGGAGTCCAGCTCTGTTTACATTCTTCACCCTGACGTGACTCCTGGGGTTGAGAAACACCAGTTTTACTGGATCTTGACCCTTATGCATGCACAAACAAAATACACCCATACACAAGGGTTGATCGTTAAGGGAGAAGGTTGAGAAATCAACATTTTTATGGTCACAATAAGTGCTGCAGCATTTTCATGAGCTGTTAAGACCTTATCTGCATTTTCCAAAACAGCTAAGCCACAAACTGGTCCTCCGTGAGCACTTGTTTGAGAAAAGAATCCACATTTGAGGTGAAATGTGGGAACCCTGTGTGCACAGAGGCCCCCACAGTGCCTTCATGCGACCCAACAGTCCCCCCATTAATCACGACAGGAAGTTGAATTTCCTGTCCGCCAGGAAGTAGGTCTTATCCCCTGCCATCGCCACCCCTCCCCCCTTACACGAGCATACCGCCGATGGCTCACCCCTTCAACACTGTGAATCCTTTGGGTCCTGTTAGCTTATGCAGAGCTTGGCTGAAGAGACTGAAGTCTAGAATTTTGTGTGGGCAGTCTGCATGTGTGGTCGAGTGTGATAAAAACAATGTACCTACATGTCACCGTTGCTAGGCAACGCAGGCATTAGCCCCGTCTCAGTCATGTGAGTGCACAAACACACACAGACACACACACACACACACACAAATGAACACATCCACACATTACAGCAGAGATATTCTCCAATATATAATTGCACACTAGATAGTGTGTGTTAGTAAAGGCCTCTAATCATACTAAAGGAATTTAAGCCCTCACAATAATACATCAACAAGATGGTGTGTGTGAATTCAAGTTTCCTTAAATCATGAAAACTGAAATTAAACAGTGTGTGTAAGGCTAACACCTCACAATGATATACAAACAAGGAAGTGTCATTTGAAGTCTGCTCAATAATAAAAATAAAAATAAAAGCATCAACTGTCGTCTCCACAAAAACACTGAAAGAAGAAAGTATGTGTCAGCAAACAGTCCCCTTACTCATATAAAAAACAGGAAGTATCATTTGAAGTCCTGGTATTATTAAAAGCAGTATGTATTGGTTAGAAAGTCTCCAGAGTTATAATTAAACTGGACAATTTGTATGCGGAAAGGTCCCCACAGTCAGACACAAATTAGAAGTCCTACATTGATCTACAAACAGGTGTTGTGTGTGTGAGACAAAATACCCTTTTAATGAGAAAAACAAAAACACAAACACAAAAAACAGAAATATCATTAAAAATCCTTACAGGGGTTTAAAACACAGATACTAACAGCCATAGTCCACTTGCGGATATAAAATCTAGATAAAGTGTGTTTGGGTTAAAGGTGGGGTAGGCAGGATTCTGTTAAAGAAGCATCTTTTTTTGTGGTGTATATTCAAAAAAGCTTTTAATATTAGCCAATAGCTATTAGTTATTAATGACATTTGAGAATATCACAATATTGCTGTGTTTTGTTATGTCTGTGTAGTCAACATTTAAAATTTTTTAAACGGCCCGCTCTTAGTGACTGTAATCAAAGCCATTCTCCGCCTTCCCCAACCTGATTGGTTGTGAGGCAGACTCTGCTCCCTCATGTTGTGAGGTACACTCTACATCCTCCAATGACATTCACAAGCCCAAACAAAGTTAGCGTGCTACAATATTGGACAGTAGAAACCAACCATAAAGTACAGAAAACACAAGCAATTAAAACAAAGTAAATACCGGAGACTCTGGTGAAATAACGAGCGCTTAAAAAGGAGGTAGACCGGACAAGAGCGAAGAAGCCAAGTCAACATCAGCATAAACGATGGGGGATGTTTCGGGATCTTACGGACCCTAAACAAAGTAAGCTAAGTGTCTGTAACATAAGTGTTTCGTATCAAATGGGACCTGCTGCATGTTGTAGCGCCACTAAACTGTTTACCTCGGGTCCTGGACTATGTCACTTTATCCTAGTTGTAGAAGTCCTGCAAACTTTGTGTTTGCTGGTAAGGTCCTTTCACACTGGGACCGTTCAAAAATGGTCCCAGTCGTGTGATTATTTCGGATGTCAATATATTTTTTCGAACCCGTATCCTGTCAATACAGGCGTTCACATCAGTGATGTTTACCCGTCCTGCAATATTGCGGCATTTATTTTTTAGGATCATGGTCGATTTTTCTAAAGTTTCACATACTGTGTGTCCACTTCTGACCAATCAGTTTGCGTGTTGTTGTGACGTCTGATTCACCGGTATATCCAACATGGCCAACCGGCTTATTGTTTACGTGTCTGAGAACAGAGTCCTTTATGATAAAAGACACAAATATTACAAAGATAACGACCTGAAGGACAACTTGTGGAGAGTCATAGCGTTGGATCTCTCATATGACGATAGTTTGCGTGCTTTAACAGTTTGCTAAACGTCTTTGTTTTAACTTTCATCTGTGCTAACGTAAGCTAACGATTGTTACCATAGTTTGAATTGCTTATCTTATTGCCTCTGATTGGCTATAAGTGCTGACCGTCTTGCTTGAGCGTGTGATGGCTTGACGCATATAGTCAGGCGTGTCAAAATTCGCCTCCGAATATTTTGTAATTTCGCGTTCTATATTTGCGTCAGCCCTGGTGTGTAAGGACCTGAAGTCTGTTGGCATCTACAGTAGCACCAATGCTGTTTACCCATTCATAATTATCTGAAGTATTTATCTGCATTATATCTGAATTTAATTGGAACAATACGAGCGAGCAGAAGCGTCTGTTTATTGATTTCTCCCAAAAACTGGCACTTCCTCGGATCCTGCCTACCCCACCTTTAACAGTTAAATTGCTCATCCCAGATACAGACACTATTTTCCACTGAGAAAGCGATTCTCAAACTTTGGGGTCAGACTCCAATAAAAGTTTCAAGATAATTTTCAGGGGTTGTAAAAAAAATTAAAAATGAAATAAGATATTTTTGACTGTATAATGGTTTTTATATTGTGTGGGTACCAGAGGCGCAAGTTGTTTTAGTGCTTTTTTAGTGTTTTTAGTGCTCTTTTGGTGCTATAAAAACCTACAACATTACTCTCAGGGTTGTAACTTGCAAAGGTTAAGAACTACTGCTCTAAACAGGCAGTCTGGATTTGATTCCAGCCTACAACCTCTCTCTGCAGTTTCCTTCTCTATCCACTCTCCTATCACTCTCAATAAAGGTGTAAAGCCTCCCAGAAGAAAGTCCTGACAATGATACAAAAACCAGACGTTGTCAGAGAAAGTCTCCACAAATATAAAAACGAGACTGTGTGTGTCAATAAAAGTCTTTTTAATTAAATTTCTTTTTAAAACACAGGAGTGTCAGAACGCCTTAGTCACAGTCCCCATGAAGCAATTAAAATGAGACTATTTGTCAGTGAAAGTCCCCACATTAATATAAAAACCAGAACACTCATAATGCAACTCTTAGGGGATTAAGCCATTATGATTAATGGGATGTTCTTGTGGTGGTGTGTTTTTCTTACTGTCAACAATTACCATTTATAGACCAACTCCGACAAAGTGTTAGACTGACTGATTCCTGCCTCTTCGCCTCGGGCACCAATAAGCCTCAGGTCACTGGTTTCTACTGAGGATGTCAGTCTATCAATAAAAAATAAATAAATAGTTACAATTTTGTCAAGGCTTTATTTTTTTTAAACAAAAACAGCCAGACTTTTCAGATTTTAACAAACATCAGTCAAATTAAGGAAGTGGTGCCTTAAGCTGGAAGTATTTAGTTATTAATAAATTCTACATTTAGACCTAATTGGGATTCTTGGATTACCTTTCTCCTTGACTAGAAAATATATGCACCGAGCTGCTATTTGCTCTGAAGGAAAGCTTTATGTGGATTTGATCTTTTCATGAGGTTTACTTTGAAAAACATAAATTTGTGTTTTATGTGCTCAAGCTGCTGAAAATAAGGTGCACAGTGAGTTAAAATATTCCTCATTCCTTTCATATATTTTTTTTTTGCTATAATTGCATAAAAAGAAGATCCCAAACAGATAATTTCCCTCTAGATTTCTTCAGATTTCATCAGTGTGCTGGAGGTGTCCACCCATGAATTAAAAAAAATCATACTGCCGGGTGGAGCTGGTTCAAGCTATTCCAAACACACACACACACGCACACACATACACACACACACACATACACACACACCAGCAGATACTGTGATCATGTCAGGGATGTTTTCCAAATGAGAGAGCTGTCCACTGGGCTGTGCTCACTCTGACCCCTGAGTTGCATCAGCATTCAAGCAGGCAGCTGAGGACCGAATAGGCCTCAGGCAAGGGGACTGTGTCAGGGGCCAGGGTGTCGCTGTCAGATCCACTCAGCTGAAATTTAACACAGTAATCCACCTATAGAAAAGTTTTTATCCAAAGAGCAGAAGTCTTCTATTTCTACTTGAGCATATTTCTCCTGATGCTAATTTTTCCTGATTTCA